ATACATGGAAATGGACTTCAGATTATAAAACAGAAATTTCTTGTTGCTAAATGGTACTTCTTCTGCTGCCAATATAATTATCATTGATAATAATCTTAATTGAATTTTGAAGATGGAGCAATTCATGTTATTGATGGCTAATACTTTAATTACTTCAGTGGATAAAATCATCAAAAGGTACTTGTAAAAATTTATTCATATATTGTTACTATATATCTAGTAACAACCAGGTGCAATAACTTGCTAATCAAATATTAATGCTTTCAAACGATATCAATTAATTTTGCATTTCCTTGTTCACTGTAAAAAAATTTATTACCAGCGTAGAAAAATTGGGATATCAATGCCTTTTTCTTCTTTTCCTTTTCTAAATGATATAACATATTAATCAATGCTTCTTTGAGAGCAACAGGTGATAAAGATGGTNTCAATCCAAGATCAGACACTTTTAAGTGTTTAGAGAAAAGACCTATATAATGATACCCATTTAGTCACTATATTCAGTACCAATTTTTTCAAATGCTTTGTTATATTTTCTTAGAATATATTTTATATTATTAAGAGTGTTTCCTGACTCAAATAAAGAGCACAAAGAACTGTCTGGAGGATAATGTTGGTGGCTTGAGACCACAAATGTAATTATATGAATATTTTCATGAATCATGGGAGAATTGAATCAGACCTGATAATGGACCAAGACTTGAATTGTCATATGGTTTTCATTAGGCATAAAAAAATTTAAATACATCATGTTTAGATTGCGAGTTAGCTATAAGTATTTCGATAGAATTTATGAAATATATTTCTGTTAGGAGACCCTCACTAAAGAAACATTTATTGTAACCACCAGGTTCTCATGGTTTTTGAGCACTAGATAATATCCAGTTTTTGCCATTTTCATTTGGTGCAATACAATTGAGTTGGCCCACTTATTTAAAACCAAATTGTGTTTATGATAATAATTGTATCGCGATGTTTGAAGATAGATTCATGGGCTTTGATGGGTTTTCATTGAATTTTATTGATTGATATTAAAAGCATGGAACAAAACAAAAGCAGGCTAGTCAATAAATAGCTGAGAAAGGAAATAAAATTTTTAATTATATTACCCATGATATATCAAAATCAGTCTTCCAAAATTGTGAAAAGCCTTTTGTGTCTGAATAACCTATAATAATCAATGTTCATTTAATATGCTTGAAACCAAACAATATAAAGCAAACAAAAACATCAACTTTATACATTTACACAGTCATTAATGTCTTTATAACTAACATCAATTACAATTATTATCTTTAATCAATTTCATAAAAAACTAAAAATAAAATAACTATAAATCCGATGAAAACTAGTTGATAAATGTGTTAATATTGCAGTGCAAATCTTAATTATTTATTTGTTTTGGTTTCAAAGAAAATAGTTTATTTAAATATATAAGTTATAGATCAAATAATAAAAATGCAAAACAAGAACTTAATAAAACACTTGATAAAACAATTAATAAAACAATTAATAAAACACTGATACCATTTTTACACAATCTTAATTCTTAATCTTTATAATAATTTTACTTCAAAACTATTCAAGTCTGATTATTAATTTTTTTCAAACCACTTTTATAATAAGCTCAGTGATATATGATTTAAATGAATGCTTGCAATGTTGAATATTTCCATTTCTCAATCAGAATAATGTGAGTTGTGAAAAATGGAATATAAAACACCTGAAGGACTATTCATTTGCTCTTCATCTAATAACATATCGTAGTCTGATTAAAGTCTTTTTAATCTATGCTGATTCTTACTTGGTTTAATGGAAGCCTCTTAAACAGTTGCAATTTAAAAAACTGTTCGGACATTAGCTGGAATCTCAAAATTCATCAACTCAGTTAATAGGTTATGATCCAATTCAATAACTTTTAACCTGGAAAGATTTGTAGCATTTTTAATAGAAAATATTTCAATTATATTATATGAAAAATTAAAATATTTAACATTATTTGGAATATAAATGTTTTCTAAATCTTTAATTTCATTTCCAGAAAATCTAATGTTTCTTAATTTTTTGAAATGGTTTCTATTTTCAACAGAAAATAATGCTTCTTTAACTTCTTTGATTAAATTGTTGCTCAAATCAAGACTGACGAGATTTACTAACTTGTTTATTTCTCCTAAGTCGACAAGTTTATTATGATTTAAGGATAATTGTTCAAGACTTTGTAATTCAATTATTGGATCAAGGTTTTGAATTATATTATGATTTCCTTCTAAATAAACCAATTTGTTTAATCTTGATAAACTATCAATGTTTTCAATAAAATTTCTAGAAAATGATAGCCTTCTCAATTTTTTTAATTGGGCCATAAAGTCAATATTTTCAATTCTATTCTTACTTATGTTTAGATCAGTTAAATTAATTAGGTTTCTTAAAAAAGAGACATCGTTAAGGAAATTCCTACTTAAATTTAAACGCTTCAATAAAATTAGTTCGGCTAAGGGTTTAATAATAGTAAAACTTGAATTTCCAGTAATATGGAAATCTTGACTTAATTGAATTGCATCGTCGTTATTTTGTTGTAGTTGTAGTTGTCGTTATAGTTGTCGTGGTAATTATTGTCGTAATTATTGTAGTAGTTGTTGTAAGTGTTGTTGTAATTGTGCTCGTAGTGCTTGTTGTTCACCACCAACTTGATTTTGATTTTGATTTCGAGTATCTTCATTTAAACAATCAAGAAATGTAACTGAATCATCAAACTTTAAAGCAGTTACATTTTGATTATTCAAATTTACATAAACAATGATTAAATTTTGATTATTTGACAAATCCAAACCTGTTAAATTAGTTATTCTCGATAAAGATGATATATCTTCAATTTTATTATCTGAAAAGTTTAATGTTCTTAAACTAGCTAGATCAGGTAGCGTTCCAATGTCCAGAATACTGTTTCTAGACCAATCCAATTCAATAAACTCTGCTGTATTTGTTAAATTTTGAATGTTCTCAAAACTAAGGGCTTGAAATCTTACTGTTTTCACCCTAAGAGAGGGAGAAAAGGAGTGTATATCTATTTTTGGATTGATAGATGAAAAATCAATTGAAAATTTCAGAATTGAATTTAATTCTGTAAAAAATATATCATCGTCAATTGGAAATTGATTTAGATGATGAACATCACCTGTAAGTTCTGTAAGAACACTCCCAGTGTATTCTTCTCTGTGAAAAAATATACCAGTATACTGCGATCTTTGATCTTCAAAGAATAAAGAACTGAGATCAAATGGCTCAAACTTCAATAAAAATCGTGCACCATTTGTTGAGTATTTGATATTTCTATTTTCGGTTAATTGATTTAAAAACCAAAAATGATTGGAAACATCAATTGAAAAATCATCCAAATAAATATTCGTCTTATTCAAAGAATTTGAGTTAAAAAGTATTAATAGTTTTGTAAATTTGTTCCAAATTTTATATTTAGAGTTAAAATTTTCAATATTGTTTGATGATTCATTAATACATTCAAAAGGTATATTTCTACTACCATAAATAATAAGATTGATTTTTTGTAATTTTGTTTTTTTTTTAGAAAATCAACCAATTGAGAATAAGAACTCGAGCCAAATTTAGAAAAATCTATTGATAATCTAAGATTTTGAATCAATCTTGTATGTTCACTGTTAAGTTTTATGAAGTCAAAGAGCCTAAAATACAAACAATCTTCTGATATATCCAAAGTTTTGTTATCAAACCAATCAAAAATAAAAATATCATGAAAACCATGATTATTATTGTTATTAAAAACACTTGTATTATTTTCAAAAGGGTAATATTCATCGTCTTTAGCAACATGTACAAAAACAGAATTATATAACTTCAAAGCAGCAAAATATTCCACTCCACGAAGGTTTGATAGTGTGAATGGCAAAAGATTCTTGTTTGAAACATTTAAAAATATTTTTTCAACTAATTCTCGAGGAAGCAAATCCATTTTTTAGTATTTAGTGATTTGTATATCTGTGTTTATTGTTGTGAAAATTGAATATATTATATTGAGAGGTGAGTATATCATAGGTATAGTTTCGATTGTGAGTATATATATGGATGTGAATATTAATATCAATATGGATAACCACTGCATTATTTATATGGAAGAATATGAAAGAGAATATGAAAGAAAATATGAATCAATTATTTCGTTATTCACATTTTTAACTAGAAGCGTTTATTGAAATTCGAGTTGCAAATATTTTGTTGGCTTCATTACAATCTCCATCAATATAAACACACCAGTGCAGTTTCCATATTAGTTATTGATACTTTTCGAAATGAATCATTTAAATTCTGGTTCTTGAAAGATAATTCCAAATATATCAAATGCAGTGTATCTGCAGTTGTATGCAATGACATGCAGTTTGAGGTTGTGAATTTATCTCAACAAAAAAGAATATGGAACAATATCAAACAATGTGGTTTAGAAGTTTTATTGTTTTGTGAAATGAAGTGAGATACGAATGTTAAAACAAGAATCATTTGAAAGGAAATCTGTCTGACATTGGTGATTTTCTGAAAATACACTTCTCAAAACCAATGATCTAAAGTTCGTTTGAAGACCAACCATATTCAGGTCAACATGAATAAAACTAACGTATAGTTTTACGTTTTTTGTTTTTTATTAAATAATGTTGTATAATTGAATATAAGCCAAAAACCTGATTTATTTGACATCTGTTGAACTCCTTTTGATTTAACTATAAATGCAGTACAATTTAGTGTTTTTATGGTCAATCGTTTGCCTTCTTTTCTTTATATACACTTTAAGTTAATTTTCGGTGGTTGAAAGATGTCATTAATAGTTCCATTATTATCCCGTAAATAGTTTTTCTAAAAAACAACTTTTCTTTGAAGGAAAATTCAAAAAAAAGGATTAGTTCACGTTTCTGGGAATTGAGACAATTAAACATCTAGTAGCTGGCACAAATTGCAAGTGGTGGATTAGGATAGCAAGAGTAGAACTTCACCACTAGCATTAAAACATCAATTAATGCGAAAAAACTATCATCACTGGATGAAAATACTGATTTAGTTGGCAAATAGAATAGAGTAAAATACAAAACAAATGTAAAGTATCAAATCTCTCCAATCACTTGATAAAAAAATTTCTTTAGTGTGAAAGCATTTTAAACGTTAATGTGCATGAAACTGCATACAACTGCATACAACTACAATCTGATTTACCACATTTATGGGACATGCGTCTATTGGACAATTGGTTTCATCTATTTGCCTCTTCTGCTTCTTCTGCTTCTTCTGCTTCTTTTCATTTTATTTTTCTGTTGGGAAATGACGTTGAGCATATAAACAACAACATCTGTAAATTATCTGATAATGACAATAACAAAACAGAAAAAACCGTGAGCGATTTAAGCATGAAATTACAGGTCTAAGGTTGGAAAGTTTTGCAACTTTTCTAACTTGAAGCTTTTCCAATTATCCAACTTTTATTTTATTAATAGGGGAATTTTAAGTAGATAATGAAAATTAAAAGGTTGAAGATTGGGCATGGGATCTATAAAGATGTCAAAGGTCGATTGCCGATATATTTAACAGATTGGGTAGATGGAATGAATTATCGAGTTATTCCATCAACAATTTTTTTATATTTCATTAATTTGTTGCCAGCAATTGCTTTTGCGCAAGATTTATTTGACAAAACTGACAATACGTATGGTTTGAATGAGATTTTATTGTCGAATGCCATTGGAGGTATTGCTTTCGGAATATTTGCTGGCCAACCATTGGTGATTGTTGGGGTTACAGGACCAATAGCTATATTCAATATAACCGTTTATGATTTGGTGAAAAATAAAAAGGACTGTGCCTATTTTTCATTCATTGGATGGACTTATATTTGGGGTATGATTATACATTTTATAATTGCGATACTTGATGGAGTTAGGTTTATTAGATATATTACATCATATTCTTGTGATACGTTTGGTTTGTTTATCAATTGTATTTATATTCAAAAGGGGATCGAGATTTTAATAGAACAGTTTGAAGTCAACGGCTTCGACGTTAAAGAAGAGAATTATTTGGCTAATGGGTTTTTGTCGATAGTTGTTTCTTTATTAATGGTGATAATAGGGGTTTCCATCAACTTAATTGGGAACTATAGCAATTATTTCAGTCCCAAGATCCGAAAATTATTAGTCGATTACGGCACACCATTCTGTGTTATATTTTTAAGTGGATTTAACCATTTTGGCGGACATTTGAAAGAAGTTGAATTGCAAAGGTTGAATACTTCAAGAAGCTTTTCACCTAGTGATAATATACTAAGAAATGGATGGATAATTAAATTTTGGGAAGATATATCGGTGTCAAATATATTTCTTGCCATACCCTTTGGAATATTGTTGACTTTCTTATTTTATTTTGATCACAACGTCTCCTCATTGATGTGTCAAGGGATCCAGTACCCATTGAAAAAGCCATCTTCATTCCACTGGGATTTCTTTGTGCTAGGAATCACTACAGGATTGTCGGCACTATTGGGGATTCCTGCGCCCAACGGGCTTCTTCCCCAGGCTCCTCTTCACACAGAGTCGTTGTGTGTTGGAGAACAGGACGAAGACGGGAAGATGCTTATCACAGAAGTCGTCGAACAGCGCGTGACGAACACAGCTCAGGGCCTATTGACGTTGGCGACAATAAGCAACCCGCTTCTCGTGGTGTTGGGGCTGGTGCCCCAGGCAGTGTTGGCCGGATTGTTCTTAATCATGGGCTTGCTTGGGGTCGGAACAAACGAGGTCGGCAGACGCATCAAGTACTGCGTGCTTGAAAAGAGATTCCGGCCACCAGACAGCGTGTTCACCAAGCTTTCATCGCTCAAGTGGTTGCACGTGTTTATTGGGTTGGAGTTGCTTGCGTTCGCCGCAGAGTTTGGCATAACCCAGACGAAGGGTGCAATTGCGTTTCCAGGGGTGCTCTGCGTGTTTGTACTTGTTCCGTACTGTGCACGATGGGTGTTTCCGCCGCACGATCTCCGGTTATTGGACGGCAAAGCAGTCAACCGGTTCATACTCCAAAATCTCAGTTCGGTGTAGTTAGAAATTTAATGGGAACATGTTGTGACCTTCGATAACCGATTTCCGGCCGTTCGTTACGAGTTAATACACTTTCAAGCATTCATTCTAGTCGTTTAAATCCGGATGCAATATTCGATTCAATTAACTCAACTCTCTGATTTAATTCATTGATTTTGGAAGCCATTGGTGAAGTATCAAGTTCCCTTTCGTTATCACTATCAGNGTTCTTGACTTGGATGCTGTCAGGTTGACAGTCGTCGAAGGAAGGATAGAGATTTCTTCTAGTGCTCATGACTTAGTAGACTTCTCTTTCCTTTTCCTCTTGGTTTATTTTATTTCTATCTAGCTATTTAGTGATCATATTTATATTATTTGGATTGCAATCTTCATCAACGTATTTGTGAATTAAATGTTTTTTGTGGAAACACAATTTTCGTTTCATAAGTGGTTAAGTCTTGTGTATTTGGTTTGGGCAACGGACTATAGTGGCTACGAACGTCCGAGCTTGGATTGGGTTTTCCGACCACACCTCGTGCAACAGTATACTGACGTAATCCTGATGAAAAAGACTTCGCGTCTGCATGCATCAGCACTATTGGCGAATTTTGTTCGGGAGCTGCACGGATGAAACCGATTCAAACAGTTCAGTGCGTGCTTGTGGTTTCTAGCCGATAAATGTTCGTAATTTTTCGGCGAAACTGTTTCTGATCCAAACAAAATCAAAACTCTTCTTGCTCTTTTTTTTGGCTTTTGAGAAAAGCGATGAAGAACCCTTACCTGCTCCTCTTCTTTCTAGCTGGTTAGTGCTGAGCGAAATACCAATTTGCTCACAAATTTAAATTCAACATAATAAAATCCAAAAAGTCTAGAGGTTTCTTTTGGCAGCTTGAGATTTCCACAGTATTACCAGTATATCATTGGAACTCCTCCACAAAATTTGAATGTTTCATTAGATTTTGATTCAAATAATCTTTGGGTCATTTCAAGGTTGAATCCATACTGCTACTACAATTATTATCATACTTTTTTCTATTACAACAACTTTTCATATCCTAGTGGTAGTACAATTGTCAATTATTGTTCAAGGTATGGTGTATATCAAGAATATAATTCATCTACATCCAGATTTCTTGATGATGATGATGATGATGATGATGATCCAATTTCGTCAATCAACTCTTCATTCAGCTTGAATTCTTCTGATTTAACTGTGACAATTGGTTTATGGGGAGTGGGTATCTTGCACCTTTCCGAGAGCATCAATTTGAAGAATTTTGAATTTGGACTAGCATTGTCAATCAATAGTCCTATTGGGAGTCTCGGTATAATATCGTTTGATATCACAGATCAAACTTCAAATTTATAAAAAAAAGACAGTCTAATCGACATGTTGATTGAGCAGAAGTTGCTTGAGAGAAAAGTATTAGCCGAGTACTTCAGATACGATACACCCTAAACCTTTAGTTACAAAAGAAGTCTTTTATTTGGGGGGCATCAATCATACAAAGTATGAAGGCACTTTGACAACTATGCCAATGATCAACAGATATGACCAAAATCTCAACCCAGACATACAACATTTAAATGTCACATTACCATCGTTTTCAATCAAGTTATCTATTAATTCTTTGTAAAAGTATTACAGCAGTTTGAATTCACAAAGTGTGTTTAATTTTCTAATTTCTCAATTAGATACAACACAAGCAAAATCTTTCACTGATTCCATCAATGATTATGGATCTGAAGCAACCATAACATTTACTGATAGATTATATCCACTATCATTCACTCATAATGGATCAAAATCATATTTCCCACCAGATATTTATAATGCATTCTTGAACACGATCACTCCTTTGGATTCTGATTTAATACACACATATGATAACTATACAAGCATCTATAATATATTATTCAATTTAGAATGTTATTTATCATTTAATCTTTCCGGTTTCTTAGTCAATATACCAATTAGCAAAATAACTACTAATTTTTTACAATGTTAATTTTTATTATGAGATGAATGATGTGTAATATGAAGAGCAAAAATGTGTGTTATGATAATTTTGATTTTCGGAAGAATCCTCATGGTGACTTTTTTATATTGGGTAATTTTTTTTTTAATGAATATTATGCTGTTTACGATTATGATGAGTACACCGTATTACTTGCTTCAACAGTTAATTCAACAAGCAATTGGTTCCTAACTGATGAAGAAATGTCTGATTACGTTGCAAATTATCAGGAATACTTGGATGATGGGCAGATTGATTACAATAATGTTGAAGTAGTGTCAAAGAACCAGCAAATATTTCAAGCAACAAAGGCCAAATACTATTCAAATTCATATTTTGAATATGTCACCTCATACATCAACGACACAACGTATCCTGTGACCCAAACATACACATACCACAATTACACCCTATACTCGTCATACACCTTAAAGACGTTTTTGTGATCCACTGCAGTTGGAACATACGACCACTACACAACAACATCAAGTGGTAATGGGCCATGGACAACAACAGTAACAGCAACCATTACTGAATGCAGTGAGGCAGTAGTTTCGTTCAATGAAAACATCAAAAGTTTGGGATTCACAAAGGCATTCACCACAACATCACATCACAATGGAACCAGCCTTGAGTTTATTGGAACTCGAAATGGAAACAGTCCAGAGCCCAGTGGAAATCAAAATAGTCTATTCAAAATTACGGTAAATCAAAACAGTGGATTCGGAATTACGGCAATGGATTTTCCAACACTATATATTCTGACTGCCATTTGCATTTTGGTTCTGTTGATGATATGGCTGAAATGAGGAAAATGGGGCCATTATTGTTATATCTTATTACTTTTTCAATTTTTTGATAAAAATTGTTGTGATTGGATTTGTGTTTATAATTGATCTAAGTTTATCTGTTTTCTTTGTTTTGTTAGGCATTTAATGATCTATTTACTAAGCAGGTAGTCATTTTTATGTTTAATATCAATGGTTCGATCAAAACTTTTTTAGTGTTGGTTGATAATAATGCTTATGGTCTGTATTGAAATATTTATCGTATATACAGTTGGTAATTCATTAAGTAACTTAGAGATAGAGAATCAGCTTTAAGATTGTAAACAAAACACTAAATTGTGCCTTATTAAATAGTTTTTATCTTCTTGTGTTGAAAGGTTTCAGAAGCTCCTCAATAATCCAAGCATAAATAATAAACATAAGTAATAGAAATAGCGACTATAAGTGTTGTTGTGCGCTAATACATACAAAATCGATGTCAAATTTCAATTCAATAAAACACCTTCTCTACTTTTACTTCTGTCTAACACAACTTGCTCTGGCATTGACACCTGTTCTGTGATATTGTTACTGAATTTGACTTAAATCAATACCGGGTGTACCAATCAATTCGGATACCAACTCATTTGCTTCTGATTCGTTTTCAGAAGAAAAATCAATCTCAAATGTGTCATTCGAATTTAGCTTCTTCCAAAAAGACTTCGTGACCCTACCGCCCTCAATATTTTGACTTTCTTCAATCCACTCAACATTTTTCTTACCATTTGTGCTTGCTGAAAACATTATATACTCACTGGAATTGTTGGTCTCTTTGCTTTTTTTGAGTTTTTTATAAACCTTTTCGTTTAAATCCATACTTTTGGCACTCAATTGTCTCACCATGCTCCCTGATGATGCTTGTGCATTTGATTGGTTGACTCTCACTCCCTCAACAGATCCATCCTTTTCGTTATTATCATTATCATTATCATCATCATCATCATCATCATCATCATTGTCAACACCAAATTCATTTTTGAAATACAACTGATTTTCAATGTTTAAACTGGACAACGAGTTGGTTCCAATATTGTTGCTAATTGGTGTGTTGGTGTCCCAACTTCCATCTACATTGCTATTAAGCAATTTTTCAAAACAGCTGTCATTAAACGAATGTGTGAGACTTGAAAATGAAGAAGATAGTCGATTGCCCGGTCGATTGCCATTATATTCTGTCAATGAAGTTCTCTTTAGAGACTTGGAACTGTTACTTCTGATTTTACCATATTTGACTTTTGCGTGTTTGTGATCAGTTGAATGAAGCCTTTTTATGCTTGTTTTTCTCTCAATCAGTGTGTGTTTTTTCTCTCGAAAAAACGACTCAAGAGGAGAACTTTCTGATCGTGGCCGGCAACTGTAATTTATGTTTATTATTTCACTAGAATTCGAACCATCAGGTGAAGTGTCTATATTCTCAAAACCTTTAGCGCTATTTTCATCGCCAGTACTGCAAATATTCCATCCATATCGTTTCATATCATTCAGATACAACCCGTCCCTTTTGGATATTAACAAGTAGCTGCTTTGGATGTGTTGTCTTTTTGAAATGATTCTTGATCTTAGTTTTGATATAGTTGAGTCCAATAAAAATTCAATGCAGCAGTGGTTATGAATCAAATCTATTTTTGGCCAGGTGGCTCTGGCGCCTCTGACGATGCAGTCCAACAAAAACTCTGGGCTTGGGTCAGTCAACATTTTGTCCAATTCCAAGATCCTAATGCCAGGCAATATAGTTATATCCCCAGAGTACTGTTGACTAAAAGCAGATTTGATCTTTTTAGTGATGTCAGTTGAAATGTTCAAGTAATCAAGCGTGTTCAAAAAATGTATGAATTCTAGGTTAATGAATTGAAATATACTGTTTGAAATGTTTTTTAATTTAGCACTAAACTCATTTTCGATTTCTCCGCCAACACATTTTAAAGATAGCTTTAAAAATGGCACAATATGAGGATTCACCTGTGAAACAATAATATGGTTGACATTGAACAATTCTGACAACTTTTGCAAGGGAATATCATTATCCACAGAGCCGTCAATGAATTTGACAGATGGGTGATTCCATTCCTGTATTTTACCTGATTTGAGGTTTTTCTCATATAAAGTTGTTGAAGGGAAGAAACCTGGTAGAGCACACGAAGCACAGACTGCAGACCATACTAAGACGTTTGGAGCTGTCAAGTAGTTTAACAAGTTTGGCTGCTCGTAGGAAGATGCAGACGAGACAGTAATGTTCAATATCCGGCCGGTTCTGTTGTAGCTTTCTCTGAATGTTAGGTTGCCCAAGAACTCAAACATAGTCTTTTGTAAATGTCTGCTCTCGCACCAGTTGCCAGTTTTGAAAAAATGGACGAGATTGAAAAAGGCACTCGATAGCTTGTGACCCAAGGAGGTGTCCTTTGGTACTTGGTTTGATATGTGGTTAGGGTCGTTGCTCAATTCGTTGATGTCACTTGAGAATATATTGAATTTCTTGGACAATATGTCGTCCATTAGCACATTGATTTCTTCGTTTGAATGGGCGCACAAAATAGCAGCAACAATTGAGCCAGCAGAGCTGCCTGAGATGATTTTGGGCAACAAGTTGATTTCCAATAATGTTGATAGGACGCCAATGTGAAACATGCCAAAACAACCGCCGCCACTGAGAACAAGTGCAGTTCTGCCTATGGCCTTTCTTGTTTGAATTAATATGGATAGGATGTATCTGTCATCGATGCCAGTTTTGATTTCGGGGTTAGCAAAAGAATTGAGAGCGACCTGGCACTCTTCCAAGTAGTCTTGGATCAAGTATTTGGTACCCACCAAGGAATGGCGGTATAAGTTGATGTTGTTGATGTTGGCCACATTTCTGAACCATGTTGTTCTGATGATATACAACAACTTTGAATAGTTTTTGGCGCTTCTCAACTGTCTGAGCTCGTTTAGTTTGAATTGAAGTAGGGCATGGTCATACAAGTTAGATTCGGGCACTGCTTTCCAGTCGTTATTTGATAGCAACAAGTCAATGTTGCTGGAGCAGTTCAACCACTCTTTGTACGATGTGGCGATCTTCTGCTGGGAGTACAACGAATTGAGATTGGCTTCAATTTCGTTGGGTGGCCCAATAAACTGTTTGAGTATGGGAACTGCCCTGAGGAGATTGACGGAGCTGAGAAAAAGCGACGAGAAATTAAGATCAGTCTTCCTGTGGTACTTGTTTTGTATTTTGGACCTGAGATAGCGAGTGTAGTTATTGAGTTGGTTGGGCTTGAGAGTGTTGTTGAAGATTCTCAAGGTGGTGGTGGGTGTGCTGTTGGTGTCATTTCCAGTGGCATGTTTGCTGTTGTTTTGAGAGCCATTCTTGGTGTTGTTATCAGCTTGATTGTCCTTCCCATCGCTTGTGTTTTTCCTGTTCCCACTTTTTCCAAGCGCAACAACATGTCTTTTAATTAAGGTTTCAGTGATCAACAAAGCGTCAGAATCCGGTGGGAAGATAAACTCCTTCATGATTTGTCAAATACAGCAGGGTGTCGATGTAATGTGGGCAATAGGGATATGATAGTAGATATGGGTATCGACGAAGAGATCGATAGAAATAAAGATACAAGAATATAGAAGAGTATAGATCTATGCATAGACGTAGCGTTGGAACAATAACTAATCAAGCGCTGGTAGATATATAAATCAAAGAGCGATGCTCAGAAAAGCAGATGCAAAAAACAAAAAACAAGGAGAATGCAGCCGGTCAGTACTGCCGCTGCACTTCCGACTATGGCAGATAGAGGCTTTCGGGTATAAACCGGCCGTTCGGAAATCCAGCAGCGCAGGAAACAGCTGTTTGCGTTGCCGAACAAAAACATACGCACAGCCATCGCGAACACAGTTTTGTTTTTCGACTGTTGATTCCGAGCCAGACAACGAATTCTCCGTGAGATTTCTGTCGAGAAGTAGTGCACTCTCAGAACCAAACACTTATGATTCTAAATTGTGAGAGCCACAGGCACAGATCGAGTTAGTTGAAGCGGAGGTATGAATCATCGCTGATACACGCATACGGGAAGTTCGGAGTTTTCAAGCATGGTCCGGCTGATTGTTCGGCTGTTCAACAACCGGAGATTGTGTGGCTGAAATGCCCACCGTGCACAGTACGGAAAAAACACAAACACGCAGAACACCGTGGGAACACAATCATGGTGTAAATATTCAAGCTGTTTGGTGCCAAAAGTCGCCGAACATTTCTTTTGTAGCTGAGAAGGAATGAGCCTTTCTACAGTGGTAAATTACGCCGCGATTTTGGTGAGAACGTGGTGGAAATGCGGACAAAACACTGCTTTGCTCTTTGATTATATCGTGTCGGCCCAATCGGGAAAGTCTCGCGGACCGGTGAGAAAGGAAGAAAAAGGAAGAATTAAAACAAAACCATAAAATCAATAGTCTCTTTATCATAAATGGCGTAAGTACATTTGATACTCAGTGTAAATGGAAAAATAATAAACAATTTACTAACTGCATTATTCAGAGATTTGGCTGATAAACCTAGATCTGAGCTATCTGAGCTTGAATTACAACAGCTCGAAGAATACGAGTTCAGCAATGGGCCAATGTCGTTGCTCAAAGAAGCAGTCGAGACTCATTCACCAGTTATCATCAGTTGCAGAAACAATCACAAATTGATAGCCAGAATCAAAGCATTCGATAGGCACACAAACATGGTCCTAGAAAACGTCAAAGAACTATGGACAGAGATTCCAAGAAACAGCCATGGTAAAAAATTGAAGCCCATTTCAAAAGAGAGGTTTGTAAGTAAAATGTTTCTCAGAGGCGATTCAGTAATAGTGGTCTTTAAAGCTCCAGTTGTTTAATTTTTTTTGAATGATTCACAATCAATCACCATTACACATCTCTCTGGGCACTGATATACCTTCTCTCTCAACAGGGACTTTCTTTTTGGCAAGCAATTGAGTACAACCACACCAAACCTGTTCAGGTCATTTATCTCCACTCCTCTTCAGACACATTTGCTTTGTTTATACACATTTAATTCATATTTAAATAGTTTAGCTACTTTGTAGTTTCTACTCCCTGCCATCACATATTGGTATATTCAGATATAAATCAGCTACTCAATCAGCTACTCAATCAACTATCAACTTGGAACTTACTCAAAATGATGATCGAATCGAATCTCATGAAGCACTTGCTCTCCAGCTCCAAGAAGGCGTACCACCACTTCTTCAAGGTAAGTCCCCAGGCCTACATGATAATCAACTCGCGAAAGCCCATCACCAAGGGCGTTGTCTATCTCAGCACTGTTTCACTTGTTACTTATTACTCCCTCCAGGGCTGGAAATCGCAGCAGTTCGAACCCAGCCAAACTTTGTTCTTCACCACCTGACTTTTCTGGCTTGGATCGGAAATTTTTCGAATTATATCAAAATACTGGTATATTCAATTATTCACTATACTCTAACAATACTATAATATTTCTCTTTCTTTTCAATATTGTTGATATTTTCTACTCATTTTTATAAAGCCCATATATGTTATTGCAATGATAACAAAGGCTCTTTCAGGGTCATTATTCATTAAGCCCATTTTCACCTATACCACTTTTAAAAAAATTCCTTTTTATTCTTTAAGTTCAAGTTCAAGTTCAAATTCAAATTCATATTCATATTCATATTCATATTCATATTCATATTCACGTTTCTCAACCTTTTCAAAACTTTTAAATAATAACACTGAAAATAACAATAAAATAAAAAAACAAAATTCAAGTGCCAAAAAAGAAGATAAAGTCAAACTCGAAACTCAAGAAAGAATATCAAAAATCCCAATTAGTAACTACAGAAATTTCTCGATAGTCGCGCATATCGACCATGGAAAATCAACTCTAAGTGACCGATTATTGGAATTAACAGGCGTAATTAAACCTGGCGATAACAAGCAAGTCTTGGATAAGCTAGATGTTGAAAGAGAACGAGGCATAACAATAAAAGCACAGACATGTTCAATGATTTACAACTATAACAACACAGACTATCTCTTACATTTGGTTGATTGTCCCGGTCATGTTGATTTCAGATCAGAGGTGACAAGAAGTTTTGCTTCAGTTAATGGAGCTTTGCTACTAATTGATGCCTCTCAGGGTGTTCAAGCTCAAACTGTTGCAAACTTTTACTTGGCCTATTCACTAAATTTAAAACTAATCCCAATTATAAACAAAATAGACATGGATAATGCTGATATTCCAAAATCAATTGATCAAATCAAAAATTTCTTTGAGTTGCCCACAGAAGATATAATCTCTGTATCTGCGAAAACAGGTTTAAATGTTCCAAGTATTTTGCCGGCTATTATAGAAAAGATCCCATCTCCAACTGGAGATATCAGCGGGAGATTGAAATCGTTTATTGTGGATTCATGGTATGATTCCTATGTTGGCTGTGTTTTACTAATCAAGATTGTTGATGGAGTTTTGAAAAAAGGTCAAAGAATAATGTCTGCTCACACAAGAAAAAAATACGAAGTCAAGGAGTTGGGTATAATGTATCCCGATAGATTCGCAATGGACCAAATATCAGCAGGGCAAGTTGGTTATATAATCCCAGGGATGAAAAATTCTTCTGAAGCGCTAATAGGAGATACTTTAATGTTGGTTGGTCAGGAAGTTGAACCATTGCCTGGGTTTGAAGAATCAAAACCAATGGTGTTTGTTGGAGCCTTTCCAAGTAACGGTGGTGAGTTTCAAATGTTAGATGAAAGTTTGCAAAAATTAGTTTTAAATGATAGAAGTGTCACTTTGCAAAAGGAAACGTCGAATGCTTTAGGCCAAGGCTGGAGAATTGGATTTTTGGGTTCATTACATGCTTCTGTTTTCAAAGAAAGACTAGAAAAAGAATATGGTGCTCAATTGATCATCACTGCTCCAACTGTGCCATATAAAGTTCAATTCAAAGATGGAAAAGAAAAAATAATCAGCAATCCCGATGACTTTCCTGACTATACAACAAGAGGTGGTAGGATTGAATCGCTTTTGGAACCCTTTGTCGAAATCATGTCAACCTTTCCAAGTGATTTCTTGGGAACTGTTATAAAATTGTGTCAAGATAATAGAGGTATTCAAACTGATCTCCAATACTTGAACACCGGGCAGGTTTTGTTGAAATATCGAATTCCATTGAGCAGACTAGTCGATGACTTTTTTGGCAAATTAAAATCAGCCACATCCGGATATGCTTCTCTAGACTACGAAGATGCCGGTTATGAAATATCAGACATTATCAAGCTAGAGTTGTTGGTAAATGGAAAGGGAATAGATGCCTTGGCCCAGGTTATGCATAAAAGCGAGATTGAAAGCACAGCCAAACACTGGGTTAAAAAATTCAAACAGCATATCCGATTCCAGTTATTTGATGTGATCATTCAGGCAAAAGCGAACAACAAGATTATGGCAAGAGAAACCATAAAGGCAAAGAGAAAGGATGTTTTGGCCAAGTTGCATGCCTCTGATGTGTCGAGAAGAAAGAAATTGCTATCGAAACAAAAGGAAGGTAAGAAAAAGTTGCAGTCAGTGGGAAACGTTACTATTGACCAGGAAGCATACCAGTCGTTTTTGCGTCGCTGAGAGCAGAAGGACGTTTGTACATAATTATTTTCTACACTGCGAGACCATATATAATGATATAACGTGTATTTCACTAATGAATAATGACTTTGATCCAGCATAAAAATGATGCCTGGGCTCGGTGGCCAATCAGCGCCCGGCTCCAAACTGTGAGTAATTTCCATGTCGAAACACTCATCAAAGCCGTTTTCAGCAAACACAAATATAAATATAAACCAGAGATTTCTGTTTCTGTGTGTGTTTTATTGAGCTATCACAGATCGAGAGAAGCAAATGGCGTCAGGAAGATCGTTGGAAAGAAGCGAAGCACACTACTATGGTGCTGGGCCAGCCTTGATGCCCACTGAGGTTTTGCAACAGGCTGCCTACGACATCATTAACTATTGTGGTGAGGGTGTTGGTGTTGGGGAGATTTCTCATCGAAGCAAATTGGCTGACGATATTATCAACAATACCAAAAAGAACATAGCTGATCTATTGAGTATTCCAGATAATTACGAGGTATTTTTCATGCAGGGTGGTGGCACTACTGGCTTTTCATCAGTAGCAACAAACTTGAGCTCAAACTTCTATAAGCAAAATGGCGATTTGGGCATAAGAGCAAAGCCATATTATATTGTAAATGGCACCTGGAGTTTGAAGTCCTTTGAAGAGGCCAAGAGATTGGGACTTGATGCAGAAGTCTACTACAATGTTAAGCAGTCCAATGGCAAGTTTGATGACTATAAAACTAACAGCAACAAACAATTGCCAAAATTGAATAAAGACCAAGTTTCTTATCTTTATTACTGCGACAATGAAACTGTCAATGGAATTGAGTTTCCTGAACCTCCAAAAGTTGAATCAGGAATCAACATTGTTTGTGACATGTCTTCAAACTTTTTGTCTAAAAAAGTCGATGTTAGTAAATATGGATTAATCTTTGCAGGTGCTCAAAAAAACGTTGGACTAGCTGGGCTAACTATATACATCATAAGAAAAGATTTGATCTCACAATTAAACGAGAAAATTGACGAGGAAAAAAAAATAATGGATAAATACCACTTGCCAATTACTCCAATCGCAAATCATTTTCCTACTGTTATTAAAAATAACTCAGCTTACAATACTATTCCAATTTTCACTCTATACATATTAAAATTGGTAACTGATAAGCTAATCGCAGAAGGTGGTCTTGAAAACCAACAAAAACTAAATAATTATAAAAGTGAAATACTATATGGTGTTTTGGATAAATATCCTAAACTATTTGATTTGCCAGTCAATACAGAAGCAAGAAGTAATATGAATGTTGTATTCAGAATCAATGGGGATGGATTAGAGAGTAAATTTATTGAAGAAGCCAAAAACGAAGGATTCACTGGTTTGAAGGGCCATAGATCAGTTGGTGGTTGTAGAGTTTCAATTTACAATGCAATTTCTAAACAAAGTGTTGAGAAATTGGTCGCATTTATTGATAAATTTGCTGCAAGTCAATAAATACCCATTGCTTAAAATCATGTTGTTAATATTTATTTTTTTTTCCTCTTTTTATTTTTCTTTTTCCATAACTAGTTATTCATTAACTACTCAATAACACCATTTATATAGAAAATAAATTCAGCGTCATCGGATTCATCAATAAACAAATGCAATATTATAACATTTGGTTCAGACATTATTATCGCTGTATTATTGCAAATCTGGCAAATTTTAGAAGCAGATTTGAAGTCATTTAATCGTAAAACCACACTCACATCATTGTTTTCATTGGGATTGAATATATTAGAAGAGTCTTTATAATTTTCGCCATCTTTATGATCACCGGTCTTATTCATATCGATATCAATACCAACACCAACACCAATATCGTTATTAGTATGACCACGAGCACCATTACTTTTCTGAACCAACAAATTTGAATTCCATCCCAACTTCACAATTAAAGTGTCTGATTTCAAAATCAAATTGAGATTTCCCTTTTCGTCAGCATTTATCTTCAAAAATTTGTATTTACTGCTTTTAAATCTTTCAATTCGTTTGAATATGTTGATGAAATCGCCTGGCAACTTTAATAATAGATTGATTTTATTAATTTCAGGCTCCACAATTTTCAAATCAGATTTCTTTTTCAACAATCGTACTGGAATCTTGAAAGTATGGTGGATAATGATATTTTGCTGAGATTCGCTATAGAAAACAGCCAAAATAGCATGGTTTTTGAACTTCTTATTGTTAATATTTGCTGCCAAACCATTATTCGCTTTATTGTCCCCATTCAACGTTGAATTGGCAGACGAAGATGATGAAGGATTGACTCTCTGCAATCTGATTGTCAAGTCTGACGAATTGACCTTATCGAAGTTCCTAAGCACCTGGCACAACTGCTCCAAATTGCACTCCATCGAGATCTGGTTGTTATTAGCAGACTCTATCTCGTACTCGTCAAACAACAAACAGGAAAACTTCAACCATATCTGAGGCTCATTTACCACTGACGAGATGACGATAAAGTGCCTGCTAGTGAATCGCAAAACACACTGCTTTCTGATGTGTAGAATCGACGCTACTGAGTTCTTAATCTTGTTGCAGTTGCTCAAGGCTAGCTTTAGTTTCATTGGCACAACCAGACAGTAGTTCTTGCCCCAGTTTCTGCTCTTCCAACTGAGTTGCTTCCAATAGCACTCTTCAACTGCCTTTAGGGAGAAGAAACTTTCCACCACACTCAAAACGGGCAGAGCTTCTTCTGCTCTTTTGCTGTTTTCTATCCACTGGCAATCGATAAGCAAATACTGAAATGAAGCTCAATTGGCTAGTGTTGTTTGCTGCTTTCTGCTTCTGTGTCGTGCCCTCGTTGGCTGTCAAAGAATACCTTTTTAAAAAATGCTCTCAGTCTGGGTTTTGCCAGAGAAATCGCCATTTTTCTAACCAAGTGTCAAAGTTGTCCCTCAACGATGAATACCAACCTAGATATTCGATTGACAAATCATCAATTAAATTCCACAACAACAATTCAACACTAGTTGGTAGATTGAATAAGAAATTGAATGACGATTTCACTTCGGTTGCCTTTGGATTCCAGCTTAACATTTTGGAAAACCACAGCATCAGGTTTAGAATCGAAGATCAGCTAACCAACACTGTCTCTAATTTCAGAAGATATAACGAGACCTCTTACTGGTCTTTTAAAGATCATGTCCAGCCAGATTTATTGTCAAATGATGATTCTCTCAATGTTATCTACAACTACAACAATCCAGACAGTTTCGAGATTAACACAGAAAGCAAGAGTGAAAACATTATCATTGGCTATTCTAATGGTTTATACAAAATCAAAATTCAATTGTATCCATTTAAATTGACTTATTATTACAACAACTCTCCCTCCATAGTTTTAAATGACAGAAATTTCTTAAATATCGAACACTTCAGAAAAAAAAATGATAACGATTTAACTAAAAATCTATCCCCAGAAGAATTGGACTTTGATTGTTTTACAGACTCCTTCAAAGATTCCAGCAAGAACACTTTGAAAAGAGGTCCTGAATCAGTTGCTTTAGATGCCACTTTTAAAAATTTTTTAAACGTCTATGGCATTCCGGAACATGCTGATTCAATGGCTTTGAAAACTACAAGAGACAATAGAGATGATGCTAGTTATGATGGCAAAGAAAGGGATTTAGATCCATATAGATTGTTTAATGTTGATATATTTGAGTATGAGACTGATAGTAAACTTCCGAACTACGGTTCCATTCCTTTTATGCTTGCTCATAGTCACAACGTATCAGCTGGATTATTTTGGGTAAATTCTGCTGATACCTGGATTGATATAATTAAAAAAGACAAATCAACTAAAACCCACTGGATATCTGAAGCAGGATTATTGGACATCATTTTGATTTTAGACAATTCTCCAGCCTCTATTAACCAAAAATATGGTGATATAACCGGTTATGTTGCATTGCCTCAACTATTTTCCTTGGGTTATCATCAATGTCGTTGGAATTATAACAACCAAGATGATGTCTTGAATATCAATAAAAAATTCGATTACTTTAAAATCCCAATGGATTCAATCTGGCTAGATATTGAGTATACTGACGAAAAAAAATATTTCACCTGGAAAAACTCCTTATTTAATAACCCAACTGAGATGCTTTCAATTTTAGGTGAAACTGGTAGAAATTTGATTGCTATTATTGACCCACATATTAAATCTACAAATGATAAAAATTACAACATTGAGCAACAAATACTTAAAAATAATCTTGCTATAAAAGATTCTGATAATAAAAACCCTTTTCATGGTCAATGTTGGCCTGGTGACTCGATTTGGATTGATACTTTTAATCCCAAAGCTATTACTATCTGGGCTTCCTTTTATCAAAATTTTACCACTTTTTCAAATGACTCAACCAACTTGCATATTTGGAATGATATGAATGAACCATCGGTTTTTTCAGGACCTGAAACAACAGCTCCAAAAGATTTGGTTCACTATGGAGACTGGGAACATCGTTCTTTACACAATTTATATGGCCATAGTTTAATTGAGGCAACTTATCAAGGATTAAATGAAAGATATCAAAATATGAAAAGACCTTTTATATTAACTAGATCATATTTTTCTGGATCGCAAAGATATTCTGCAATGTGGTCTGGAGATAATATGTCAAAATGGGGCTACCTAAAAATTTCAATACCTATGGCTTTAACCTCTGGAATTAGCGGTATGCCATTTTCTGGATCAGATGTTGGTGGATTTTTTGGGGATCCTTCAAGTGAATTACTAACAAGATGGTACCAAACAGGTATTTGGTATCCATTTTTTAGAGGCCATGCTCATATCGACTCTAAAAGAAGAGAACCCTGGGTTCCTGGCGATCCTTATACGTCTATTATTAGAGATGCAATAAAACTAAGATATTCATTATTGCCAGTTTTTTATAACTCCTTTTATGAATCAAGTATCAACGGCTTGCCTGTCATGAAACCATTATTCTATGAAAATCCTAATAATGAAAAAATATTTGATATTGACGATGAGTTCTTTATTGGAAACTCAGGAATCTTGGTCAAACCTATCACTGAAGAATCATTATCAAAAGTTAACCAAAAAAATGAAAATTCTAATACTGATATAGATGAATATGAAGAAATAGATAACAATGGAAAGTTTGAAATTTATATACCTGATGATGAAATTTATTATGACTTTAATGATTTTACTAAAATTGACCAAGGGGAGGGAAAATATGAGTATAAAAATTTATCATTAGATAATATACCAATTTTAATCAAAGGAGGTAATATAATTCCTAGAAAAATGAGATATAGAAGATCATCAAAGTTAATGAGACATGATCCATATACTTTAATAATAGCGTTAGACAAGAATCAAACTTCAAGTGGAATTTTATACGTTGATGATTTTGAAACATTTAATTACAAAAATAATGAGGAATATTTATTATGCAAATTGAAATTCGAAAATAATCAAATTTCTTCTAATATAAATAACTATAAAAATTTTTTTGATGGAATTGATGAGTATCTCGAAATTGAAAAAATCATTATAGTTGGTCTTGATGATTCAGGTGATAATTTCAAGGGAGAAATTTCTCAAAATAATAAAATTTGGAACGCTTCGATAATTAGAGAAAAAAATAGCTTGGTTATAAAAAATCCTAAAGTTAAAGTTAATACGTCTTGGAAAATTAACATTTTCAACGAAAAACCATAAAAAAAAACAAATAAATAAGTAAATAAATAAATAAAACTTTAGTTTTAAATGGGATTCAACAATAAATTTTCAAATTTTTATATATAATTTATCATTTTTACCAAATCTATAAATGAGGTTGTTTTTTTTGTTTTTTTTGTTTTTTTTTAATTTATAATATTATCTTCAATAATTACATTCTCATTATACTCATCATTGCCGATTTTGCTAGTATCATTTTCAGCTATTTTCAGTTTTGATAAATATTCGTTTTTTTTCCTTTCCCCTGATTGTTCTTGCTCCAAATTATATAATTGAGCTTGAGATTTGGAAGAGCTTGAAGGTTGGGGTTGATTTACTGGAAGAGGTTTACTGATTAAGTTGGATATACTTATACTAAAAATTACAGACACCGCAACTAGTAAAATACTAAAGATACCTCTTCTTGTAAAAGCCCATCTTAAACTTTCAGCATTAAATTTGAATTCTGAAATTAGCTTTGAATTTATTTTTGTGGCCAAGTCAAGAATCAAATTTTTGATTTCCTTTTGTAATAAAGAGTTTTCATTTTTATAGTTATTAACTAGAATAACCACTTTATTTTTGGACTTGATATAGTGTTGATTTAACTCATTGTGAACCAAATTTGAATCTCTTTGTAAAAAATTCAATCCGTTGATCAATTCGTGAAGATGAGAATCTCTTGAGGAATTAATTTCAACTCTGAGTTCAGCTCGTGCAGCTTCAAATAAATAATGTTCATTTTCCAAATCTGTCTTTGGAACAAATTCGTCAACCTTTTTTTTCCAATTTGAAATAATTTGAGATTTAATTAAATTTAGAATAATGTCAGATTGATCACTTGTAAGGCCAGAAGATTTTAGGGTCTCGAACATTTCATTTGTATCTAAATCTAATGCATATTCGCCATCTTCATCAAGATCAATCTCAGGGAAAACAGGTTTAGAATCGATTTGTTTATCAGTTTCATCGGTAATTGAGCTTTCATTTTTATCAGTACTTGCAGTTTTAGTGGAATTTGTGCTTGAAGACTCAATTTTAGAGCTGTCAGGACCATCAAAACTCTTGTCTTCAATTTTCTGGGAATTCTCCTTAATCTGAGTTTCATTTAAATTGTTGGAAGACGATTGATCTTTCGTTTTATCCTTTACCTGATTGACATCCTCACTTGAATCACCGGTACTATTGGAGCTGATTTTATGATTTTCGTTTTCTAATAATTGGTTCTCTCTATCTATCAACTCTTGAATTTCTTTCTCTTTTAAAGCCTCAGCTTCGTACAACTTGTTTTTGTTTTCTAAAAAACTGCTGAATTCCTTTACATTGGGGTATTTTATAACATTAGAATTGGAAGAATTGGAGGAAATGTTTCTCTTACCCAGGAACACATCATAAGCATAATGTTTTGCGATGGCTATTGATGATGGAGATACACGCCGTATCAATAAACGATTGTTGTAAAAAAGACCTAGGTGAATTCTAGGCAGACAAAAGAAAGAAGGACCTGATGCTGAAACATTTTTCCACATTATAGTGACAGTTTAATTATCTAGAAGATATCAAAACCCAGGTCTTTTATATGCTGTTTCCCGAAACGATCTGGAAGCTGTTCAAAGGCGGTTCGAATCCGACTGAGAACACGAAGGAAATATGAACATGGCACTCGACAACAAACCTCATCTCACAAATGAGGATACAGGCTTAAACAGGCAATAAGCAGTTTGTTTGCAGTAACCTTTTATTTGAATAATAATACAGTTGCTTTCAAGTTGTACCATTGATTGAAAATAAAAATAACTAGTGAGCTAAATATAACGCTTATATGTGACTATACAAAGGCTAAGGCCTTTAGAGGAGTACACTGGAGGGTTGGCCGAGTGGTCTAAGGCGGTAGACTTAAGATCTACTGGGAGATTTCCCGCGCGAGTTCGAACCTCGCATCCTTCATTTTTGTGTTTTTGTTTTGTATTTGGTCATGTGTGTGTCTGATTTTATTTGGAAGATTTTTGGATTAGAAAAAACTTCATCTTTGGCAAAATCAGTCATAAATCCACCGAAAGAACATGAGCTCCATAACACTATTTCAGCCTGAATTGAACTATCAAGTCGACAGTTTTATAACGTATGTTTTCATTTTGATTGACGATTTGTGAATGTTCGGATGGTCTAACTTAGCTGTTTAACTTTTGTAGCAAACTCAAACGACGACAGATAGTTGGTTCAAGTGCTGTTGCAATTGAAACAGCACAACTTTTGATAAGGGTTGTTTCTGCTTCCAAATGGAAGAATCCAGATCATCTCATAAAGCAAATAAGGCGATTGGGTGTGTTTTTAACAGAATCCCAGCCAAAAGAATTTACTTGCGGAAATATTGTTAGAAGAGTGTTATCGTTAATTCGAGATGAAATCGACGACACACAAGTTGGTACTAAACTGAACCAGCCTATTTTCACATCCATGTTCAACTTATTAATTCCAACAGACGAACAATTGGATAAAATAAATAAGCAAAATGACGGTTATATTGAACTGAAATCCAAACTTGACAAACCAGATAGACAGTTTATAAATTCATTTAGATCCACCATCATTCAGGATATTAAAGAATTAATTGATGAGATTAATCATGTTGATGAGGGTTTAGAACACAAAGTCATAGAATTGATACATGATGATGAGGTCTTGCTAACTCCCACACCAACCTCTCAAACTGTATTGAATTTCCTTAAGAAAGCAAGGCAAAAGAGAAGATTTACAGTTGTTGTAACTGAAAGCTTCCCAAACCACACATTAACTGCGCATAAATTTGCAAAGGAGCTTGCTGATTCTAACATTGAAACAATAGTGATTCCTGATAGTTCTGTTTACGCCTTGATGTCTAGAGTAGGAAAGGTTATCATTGGAGCTAAAACTGTTTTCAAAAATGGTGGTTGCATTACTAGTCCAGGTGTCTCTGCTGTTTGTGAAATTGCTAAAGAGTTAAGAACACCGGTATTTAGTGTCACAGCTATATATAAATTAACACCTCAATATTCTTTTGATACTGAAAGTTTGGTGGAATTTGGAAATCCGGGTTATGTAATACCATTTCAAGAATCTGACATGATTCAAAATTCAGATATAAGCAATCCAATTATTGACTACGTTCCTCCTGAAAATATAAGCATTTACATTACCAATTTGGGAGGATTCGCACCCAACTTTGTTTATCATATGGTGCAAGATAATTACAAAAACGTTGATTTTGATTTGAATTAGATCAGCAAATAGATTACAAAAAAAAATAAAAAATAACAAATCATAAAATAAATTTGATTGATTGACTGATTGATAAGAATTTCAGAAAATGGGTCTAAATGGCAGTGTAGGTGTTTTACTATCCTATGCCCTGTACCTTGCTCGGTTTTATGTTTCATGTATGAAATCTTGAGCTGGATGCAACAGTTACTTACTTTGTAAGTCATTTACTCTTGTAATGGGCAAGATCAATCAAAGGATTTTATTTGAGTACGATTGCATTATCAGTAAATTTGAAAAATGGTGTAATTGTAATTACTAAACCTTACATTTCTATAGTATACATATCATCGTGCATTGTATTTTTAATATAATATATTTGATTCTATTTATCTGTACTATCTGCTTTATTTACATGATTAACGTCGCTCGTTGTGCTATTTGAATTTAATTCAAGTTCTTCCTGCTCCATTTCCATTTCCACTTCTATTTCAGACAGATTTAGGAAAGAAAAATCATCTTGATTGTTGGAATCTGCTTGCTCTGCTAATTTTTTTTCTTCAGCCAATCTTTGGTATTTTCTTTTTGATTTCTTCAGCTTGCTTTTCTTAGACTTGACTTTTAAATCTTTAATAATTTTTGTTCTACAATTCTCCGGATCATTGATTTCTTCAAGCTTCAAGGCAATTATTTCTCTTGCTTTCTTTCGATTCTGTTCTCTTGATCTGGTGGGTTGAGCACTGATTACAATTCCAGTGGGAACATGGCGCAACTGAACTTTACTATTAGTTTTATTTATCTTTTGACCACCACTGCCTCCTCCTTTAATAAACACTTCTTCAATTTCATCCTCATTCACCTTGGGTCTGGGAGGTAATCGGTTCTTTTTAGCCAAATAAACGCTTGATTGAAATAAAAATCTTGAAAAGTTCTGATATCCCAAAATTGATTTGAAACCTGGTATGTCTATCAACTTCATATTTCTACAGTTATACATTTATTCCACCTACATCAATAGTGAACTTGATTTCAACAGATACTGAAGAATCTTTCGGGCCGAATTATTTCGAGTCTATTTCGAGTCGATTTCGAGCCCGTTCTAAAAATGAGAAATCAGGGCATTTGAGAAATGGACCATGTTTTCGAGAATGAATCAACAGTAAGATAAAAAAGATAAAAAAGATAAAAAAAGATAAAAAAAGATAAAAACCAATGCCAACACCCAAGAGAAGCCATCCACCAACATGTTCAGTATCAGTTTGCTGATCAAAATGATGAGCCTTTGAGGCTACCCTCCTTCTGTATTTGTAAGAAAACACCGGCAAAATCAAGAGAAAAGTTCCGGCGGGTAATGTCTCTGTGGGCTTCGGTTGAATTTCCCAAAACAGCAGTTGCTTTTCATGCTGATTATCTTCCAGTTGGTGAAGAGCTGCTTTTAAGACAAAGCTTCTGAGTATCGCTTCAACTAGCTCGAGTAATTGCGATAGATAAGCTTTCTATCAAGATTAGCATCTTTAATCGAGCCTTTTTAAAATTCAGTGGATCTATTTGTTGCTCCACTTTTATGGGATTGCTCATCATAGCTCGATATTATGAAATAACTAGTCCAACCTAATTGGCTGATATTATCCATTTTCAAACTTTTTGAGCTCTATAAATTCGAAGAGAGAGAATACTTTTGACTTTGAACATTGAGAGTGTTTTTGTATATTGAAAATAATGAGTAAAATTGTTGTCATTGGGTGGGTATTTCTATAAGTTATTAGGCATATTATTTATGTTGTATTATAACTAACAGATTCAAAGTGCTGGTGTTGCAGGTTTAACGACAGCTTATTTGCTAGCTCAAAAGGGTCATGATGTTACCATTGTAGCTAGGAATATTCCTGGCGATTTGGATCCCCATTATACTTCTCCTTGGGCAGGAGCAAATTGGTCTTCATTTGCTCAAAAAGACGAGATTGTGCTACAAAATTTTGATAAGCCTGCTTATCATGAATTTTTGAGGTTGGCTAAAAATGAACCTTTAGCAGGCATTAGAACAATCTATTCGTATCATTACATTAAAAAGGAAAATGCCAAAGATTATGAATCTCGCTGGTTTAAAGATTTTGTTGAAGGATATGAGGTTTTCACTGATCCAAAATTACTACCAGATGATTGCTCAATTGGGTACAAATTCAAAACTGTTACAATTTCCACTTCACTTTACCTATTTTATTTACTTAAAAGATGTGTGGATTTAAATGCTGTTTACCGAAGAAAAAAGTTGGATCATATCAACCAAGCATTTGACCTACACAGCTCGGGATCTAAGGCTGATTATGTTTTTAACTGTACTGGCTTATTAGCAAAAACTTTAGGAGGTGTTAATGATGAAAGCATTTATCCTGTTCGAGGCCAAGTTTTATTGGTAAATAACACAGGAACAAAACAGGTGGTTGCTTCTCTATTTCCAGAATACTCCAATGAATCTTTATATACAATGCCTCGAAAAGAAGGTGGAACTATTCTTGGTGGTTGTTTTATTAAAGATGTTTGGGATACTACACCTGACAACGCATTGACTCAGAGAATCATTGAAAGAGCTAAAAAATACCAGCCCGAATTGATTGATCCAAACGTCAACAACAATCCTACTGATATTGAAATTATAAGAGTTAATGTTGGCTTGAGACCTTTTAGAAAAAATGGTCCTAGAGTTGAAATTGATTCAGTCAATCCAAAGATTATTCACAATTATGGTGCTGGTGGTGCTGGATACCAAAGTTCCTACGGTATGGCGGGTGCAGCAATTGAACTATTGGAAGCTTCTATTCCAAAATCCAAATTATAGGTCTTTATATTGGTATATATTTGAATAGTTTAATTTATATATTTTGTTTTTATATTATTGGAGATAAAATCCACTACAACGGATATGCACAAATACGCACAAATACGCAAGAGACTTTTACATTTATATTTTTTTTTGTTTTTTGATGAAAGAGTTTGAAAGCGAAGGAATCGCTATCAGATATAATAAAAATGAAGTCTCAAACCAGTGATGCTCAGCTATTTAGACTTGACATACTAGAGGCCCATTTCCTTCAAAAGCAACCGAGATATTCAAAAACAAAGTTTATTTTGAAATCGAAGAAACTAGACAAGTTAATTCCCAAATCCGAAAGAGAAGCTTTAGAGGAAATACTATTTTTAAAAAAAGAATTGATTCTACGAAAGTTTTATTCCAATGCTAACAAATTGAACAAAGCTTTATCCAAATCTATAAACATTGAAAAAGCTTTTATTGAGGCTCATTTGACCAAAAACAAAGCTGATGTTAAAAAATTTACTCGACTGAAGGAACTATTAAATTCAGATATATTTAATCAAAAAAACATTCAAGATATTTCTCACCAAAAAGTTGTTAAATTAATATGCGACATTTTTTTGGCTAAAGGTAACTACAAACTATTCAAAGAAGATCCCGAACAGTTTGAGTTTATACCTTCTTTTATAACAGAAGCAATTCTTGAAAAGAAGAACCAATATCATCCCACGAAATTTTACAGAGAACATGATGATAAAATAGTTAGAGGACTTTTGTCAAAAATATCAAATACAAAACTCACAAAAGAGATTAGTGATTCTAGTAAATACTCGTTGAAAATCATTGATGGAGCAATATCAAAACAAGAAAAAAAAAAATTAATCAAAAATGAAAAAAAACTCTCTACTCTTAAAAAAAATAAAAACAAAAGAATAAAAGATAGTTACGATGACAATAATGATGATAGTAATGATGAAAATGAAAATGAAAATGAAAATTTTGATAAAATAACTCAAGATGATGAAGATGATGACGAAATGGACTATTCAAATTTTGATGACATAATAGCCTCATCATCTGATGAAGAAAATGTTAGAGTAATAAGGAAAAAAACTGTGAATGATAATTTCCAAGATTTCGATGAAGATGGGGATGATTCAGAAGATGAGAAAATTATTTTAAATAAAGAATCAAGTAAAAAAAATAAAAAAGAAAAAAAAGAAAAGAAAGAAAAGAAAGAGAAAAAAGAAAAAAAAGAAAAAGCAAAAAGTAGAGCAGTTTTGCCAGCGTTGGCTACAGGATATATATCTGGAGATTCAGATAGTGATATTGATGATGATGTGGTTGTGAAAAAGCAATTGAACCAGAGAAAAAACAGAAGAGGACAACGAGCAAGACAGAAAATCTGGGAATTGAAATTTGGTAAGAATGCAAATCATGTTAAAACTCAACAAGAAAATGAGAGGATAAAACGAGAACAAAAACAACAAGAGTTCGAGATCAGGGAAGCAAGACGTGCTGCTAAAAGAAGTCAAGAAAGTTTTAATTCAAGTGCAAAAAAACCCTTTACAGATACAAGTCAAACCAAAAATACTGAGAAAATGCATCCTTCTTGGATAGCTAAGCAAAAGATGGAAGAAAATTTATCAAAAGCCAAATTTCAAGGAAAGAAAGTTGTATTTTGATTGATGATGTACAAAATAAATATGTTTATTGCCTATAGTATATAATTTTAACTAAATATCAGCGAATAGTGTATCCATCGTCAATAACCAAATTGTGACCAGTTATGTGCTTCTGATTGATCAAAAAAAGAGAAGCTTCTGCTATTTCGCTAGGATCAATAAAACTGTTATTCAAAACGTTTTTATCAGCGTAGAAAGCTGGGCTTGACATAATACCCATTTCTGTCTTAACCAAGCCTGGAGAAATGCAATTCACTCTGATTCCTTTCGATCCCACTTCAACTGCCATTGATTTTGTAAAGGAAATCAAACCACCTTTGGCAGCTGAATAAACAGCTGAACCAGATAAACCACGAAGACCTAAAATCGAAGAAATGTTGAGAATCACCTTGTTGCTTGCTTTATTTTTGAGCATTATCTTTAGTAGCCTTTTGGTTAAAACAATGGGAGCTACTAAATCGATATTTATGAGATTAGCTATGTCAGTGTTTTTGGTTCTCAATAATAGTGAATTTTGAGATATTCCAGCAGAATTGATCACTATGTTGACATCCTTTAGTTTGTCTAGGTTTGCATCTAATCTCTCTTCAATTGATTCCACCGCTGAAAGATCGCAGCATATGTAACCATGTTTTTGCTCTATTCTAGTTTCATTGGGAGGATTTTCATTTAGTATTGAATTGGGAACAGTTGTTAATTTATTGACAGACTTTTGCAAAGTTGATTCAGTTTTTGAAAGCAAAATACAGCTGCAACCTTCGCTCGACAACTTTTGAGCTATGGCTAATCCAATTCCCCTAGATCCTCCTGTTATCAAAGCTATGCTGCCCAGCAAAGGGAATGTTTTCAAAGATGAAAATGTGGTTGATGAAAGCTTTCTGGTGAATGATAAAGAGCATACTCTATTCATTATGTAGTTGGTGATTAATCCAGAAAGTAACAGTTTTGAATCGGGTTTTCTATTGGATAAAAAAGTCATTGAAAAAAAAATATAATTTAGATTGGAATAGAGATAGATAATCGCATAATTTAAGAAGAGCTATTAACATAACAAACAAATAAACAGAATATACAATCGTAAACTAGCAAGAAAAAAAAAGGATTACAAAAATAACTAAAAAAACAACTAAAAAAACAACTAAAAAAACAACTAAAAAAATAAAGAAAAATAAAAGAAAATGGAAAAGAAAAGAGTAAACGTCGAGAAACAAATTAAATCTCTAGGGGAAACATGAGTAAGGACATAAAAAAATTTATGGAAAATAAAGGTACTAAAAAAATATAATACGTAAAACAAACTCAACATAAAAAAAAGCAGGGAATTGAGCATAAGAATAAGTAGAGGAGTGAATATTTTATTTTCTCTTTCGGAAAAATTTCAGTAAAAAGCTTTTTCTTCTCCCTCCCTTTCTATCTTCATCAGTGGTGGTCTCAGAATCAGATTCAGGAACAACACTAGGAACAACAGTAGAAGAAATAGTAGGGGAAACACCAGGAGCAACAGTAGAGCCGGTAGTAGAGGTAGTGTTGGTTTCTATATGTGTGGGAGAAACAGATCTAAAAAATCTGTCTCTACGATTTTCAATTTCATTTGAAGTCTTTTCAGATCTGGCTCTGTCTGTTTTTTGAGAAGTGGATCCCTTGGTATAATAATCAACCGATTTTGATCTTTCACCTAAAGTAGGTCTGAGAATGTTGCTTGCTTTTTCTAGAGACGGTTTTGCAGTCAAGTCAAATTGAATGGCAGAGGCCTTTTTGGGGACTAGTAGACTTGCAGGAACTGGTTTTGGCTCAATAATCATTGGTTTGAATGTTCTAGTTGCACCTGTAACATCTCCAGTTATGCTTCTGACTAGTTTTGCGCCTTCACTGGAGGGAGGTAGTTTTTTGATGAGTCTTTTTAAGTCTTTGGACAAGTATAGACAACAATCTGAAATCGTTTCTAGTTTTTGAACAAAATAATCTTCATTGATTAGCTTTTCGCCTTTATCATCAGTTTGAGCTAGATTTATTTTTTTCAATTTTCTTTTTAGCCTTACTTCATAGAGATCAACACGAGATTCGATTCGTTTAGTTATGAGGTCATCTGAATCAGTTTCTTTCAATTTGGAGGATATGAATGGGTGATCTTCTTCGCTATCTTCAGCGGAAGAAATGGTGTTATCAAAAGTGCTATCAGTTTCTGTTTGATTGTTTTCAAATTCAGAGTCAGAGTCGGAGTCAGGCTCAGATAGATTATCATCTTTGTTGTCAGCTTCACTTCCACTCAGTTCGCTTTCATCGCTGGAAAGACTCTCTAGTATGTTTTTAGTTTCACCGCTGGGGGATAGTAGTTGAAATGAGATGTTATTGATGTTTTTGTTTTCTGAGCTCAAGACAATTGCAGGAGCAGATTTTGCTATTCCTTCGTTGATGTGTTTTGGAATAACGACGTTTTTTGGGTCTTGAATTTCTTCTTGAGTTAGAGTAGGTTTTTTAGATTTTTTAGGTTGACCATCTTGGGTATTGGGGGCATTTGGAGCAGTTTGAGAATTTGGAGCAGTTTGGGCATTTTGATTTTTTGAAGAAGAGGAGGAGGAGAAGGAAGAATATTTTTTGTTTAATGATTTGAATAAATTTAGTTCAAATCTATCCATTTTTAAGGCGGGAACGATTATAATTGGACAGTGATAGTTTTTGACTAATCTGTCAGATAATCTTGAAGTTGCCCATTTTTTTTTTGATTCTATATTGACTTTTGGTTTAATTGAAACGACCAAGAAACTTGGGGTGTATAGTTCTAGAGCCTTTGCTATAATTGTTTTTGTATCACCAATGGCGAATTCCAATAGGATTTTGACGACTAGATTTGGGTTGATTAGTTTCAAGGCGTAGTCCATGATTTTATCAGCGACTTTTTTGATGGGATAAGTATGGTCGTAGTAGATCTTTTGTTGGTCTTCTTTTTCTTGCTGAGTCAAGGCAACAGCAGGCAAATCAGTTGAGCTTAAAACACTTCTAATGAGAGGTTCGGCAGGTGTTTTTGATCTGTGGTTGTTTTGGCGAATGGGGGGAGAAATGTATCTTGATCTTGATCTGGAGGTTGCTGTTGCTGTTGCTGATGCTGATGCTGATGCTGAGGGTGAAGAATACCTGCCTCTACCACGAGAGTCGCAGGTGGAGTGGTTGTTGAGTTTTGATGGTTTTTTTTTGACTTTGATGTCGTTTAGCAATTGTTCAGGAATAGTGGATAGAATTATCAAGGTGTCACCATCTTCGAGTAGTTTGTTCAAGACCCAGTCTAGAGCCACCCAGGTATGTCTTCTTCCAGAGATGTAAACTATTAGGACTCTGCCAGGCAATACAGAGACTTTATTGGAGCCATTTCGATTCTCATGGTCGTTATTTGCATATATTTTTTGAAAGTCTTTGTGAGTTTTTGTGTAGACATAGGTCTTTTCCAGATGGTCCAGGAGATTAAGTTGGTTTTCGGAGATGGGTAGGCCATCTTCGTCGACGTTAGAGGGGGATAGAAAGGATCTTCTGATATCACGAAACATTCTTCTTTGGTCCGGACTGAGGACTCTTTTTGTGCTGGAGAAGTTGGAGACAACAGTGGAGTCAGACTCGTAGATCAAGCCCTTTGCTTTGGCCTGCTCACGATCCTTGGTGTCGTCGTAGTGGAAGTAGAAGTCATATTGGGGAAGAGGAGAGTAGCTGATGTTAACAGTGTCGAAGGAGATTCGTGGGTAGTAGTTGGACAGCAGTAGCAGCGAAGAGAGCAAGGAAACTGGAGGAGAGCTGTCGCTGGCGTCTTTGCTGCAGAGGCCCTTGGCCACATTCAAGGCAACAGTCTCGTAGGCAGGAAGCTTGTCCTTCTCGTAGAACTTCAAAAGCTGCTTGTTTTCCTTGGAGGACAAGAGGAGATCAGAGTATCTGGAGAAAGAGGACTCGGTGGAGGTGAGTTTCGGCTTGGGACGAGAGCTGGAGACGCTGGGAGTGTGGTGAGGAGCGAGCATTGCAGTGGATAGGAAGAAGCAGCAGCAAAAGAGGCAGAAGAGGCAGAAGAGCTGGTGGTGCTCTTGCTCCAGATAGCTCAGAATAGCTCAGAATAGCTCAGAATAGCTCAGATGCAGCCTTTTGGAACACAAAAATTTGCAAACAGAGTTTTTCCACAGAGCTGTTTCCTTTCTCGGCAAAGCAAGTGAAGACGAGTTTCTTCAAAAGATGCTTTAAGAATGGTGCTAATTTGCTCTTGAAGTGCTCTGAAAATGCTCTTAAAATGCCCTGAAAATACTCAGAAAATACTCAGACTATCTACCTTCTCCAGCAATATCGCTCGAAACACTGCTGGCAGACCCCAGGCTGCTCCAAGCTGTTGCGAAGCTCTGTTCTTCTCATGGCAGCACATCCTAGACAAGTGGCCCACTCGTTGTCGAGCTGGTGCTGGGCTCTGGAAGCAACGTCGAAGCCATTGCTGACCATGGAGGCTCTTTCCTTGCTGCTGTACTTGAGCTTGTACGTCGAGGGATTGGAGGCATACGAGAGCTGTCTGTTGGGGATGTACACCACCAAGGGCCCCTCCTCTGTGTCGCAACCAAAGAATGCTGGTCTCACATTCAAGCCTTGCTGGACGAACTCCTCTGGACTCAGAGGAACCTGGGGAAAGCTGCTGTTGTTCTGTACTCCAAACTGTCGCTGGTGGGTGTGCACCAACGACGAGCCATCTGGCCAGTTGTTGTCTGTGTCTGCACTGTTATCAAAGGCAACCACAAGATCAACGTCTCGCTGCTGCTGGATCAATGGTGCCAATGGGATGTTCTGGTCGTCCATTCCTCCATCCACCAAGTAAAGAGTGTCGCTATTCGATATCGAGCTGCTGCTGCCAAACTCATTCTGGTAAAAGGGATTGGGCTTGTACACCCCAATGTCGTTCTCGTCTTCGCTGATCTTGTCCAAAATATCCTCAATCACCCCAATAATGGGAATGTCCCCCAAGTTCATGTCCTTCAACTTCATAACGATTCCATTGAACAACGACGACGACGTTCCCACCAAAAAACTGGCATTGTCAAATCCGCTGATGCACTTCTTACTGTCTTCTGCTACCCCATTGCTCACCTTGGTTCCAAGATACTTGATGTCGAAGAAGGATCTGATTGCATTGTCCCACGATCCAATTTCAAATGGGTTCATCTCAACAACTGTCGAATTCACATCGATGATCGTCGTCCCAGGGGCTCTTCCCACTGCCACAATAATAGGAAATGGAATTGCTTGTTGCTTGAACACATCAAACTCTCTCACATCTGAAAACGTCAACGCATCCCCATAATCTTCATATCGCCCCAAATAATCCTTTGCTAATGCTCGAGACCACAAATCAGTTATCGAAATCTCGTATCCAGCGTCTCTCTTATCCTCAACCTCCTCCAACACTGTCTTGTGGTTTCTAATTGTCTCAAATATATTAATTCCTTCAGGAAACAAAATTGATTCTTTCAAATCCCAGATATCCGAATACTCCCTTTTCAAAAGTATCTCCTCAACACTCGTCCAGTTATTCAAAATCAACGTCCCAACCAACCAGCTACCTCCCGATAACCCAGATATATACGTTGTCGACTCTAATAACCCACCCAATCCCTTCTCAAATGCCTTTGTTGTTCTATTATCAAACGCTGATAATTGCCCTGCTCCATTCAACATTGCTCTGTATCCTCCACCAGAAAACGCCAATCCAATTTTAATCGCTCTTTGGCCCTCAACATAATTTGCAAAAAAATCATCAACGCTAAAATTACCACCTGCTTTTTCTAAACTAGTTGAATATTTAAGAAACTTTTTCAAATTCGCGTTGGTTATTTTATTCCTCTCTTCCACCCATCTCATCTCCTCAGTATTTAAATATGAACTGCTTCTCAAAAATGATCTCTTCTCTGAAGGGCAACTCACTTTTCCTGGTGCAAATGAATTGGTTGGCGACCATCCATTTGAAAAATTAACTCCAATTAAAAAGATACTCAACAAAATTACAAAAATCATTGTTAAATCAATCCCTACTTTATCTTTACAACAAATTGTTTTTTTTTTTTTTTTACAAATTTTCACAATTATATACCATTTCCATTTCCATTTCCATTTTCATTTTCATTTTTACTCTAATTTGTGTTCTTACTAGTTGATACAACTCCTTGTAAAAGAAAATTGATGCCTTTCATTTCAATGCTCCCTTAATAAAAATTAAACCCCCTTAACCTCCTAGATGTTTAGATATTAAACTGTTTAGATATCAAGATGTTTAGATATTTAAATGATTAGATATTAATCAATTAAAATCCAGTTTATTTTTTTTTTTCATGTTATCTAATTTGACTTTTTAATAAAACATTCCAACACTATTAAGATTTCTAAAAACTTGCTCAAATACTGAAAATTCCTGTAAATTCAAATACTGAAAACTCCTGTTAATGGACTTCCAATTGCAACTATGGCCAATTTTAAATCGAATCTAAAACAGAGACACACTTATTCCATCACTATTCATACCTGCCAGTATCCTTTGCTTGTGTATTCAAAAGGGTTTGGCCGAACTAATTAAAGTTTTATTGTGATTTATTTTTAGATATTCAATAAAAGTTACCACAATTTAAACTTTTATTGTCCGGAAAAACCTCTTTCCCTACATATTTATCTATCGAAAATTAAAGTTTCCTAAATTAAGATCAATCCATCTATTTGTATAAAGTGAATAATATCAAATTATTAAACCACCATCAAATATTGCATTTTTTTTAATTTTTTTAAAAAACTTTACCTTTTTAAATTTTTGAGTGTGCGAAAACCTCCTTTTTCTCTGTTTACTTTTTTCAATTCCTCTATATTTCGTCTGAAATCTATTGTTCAACTTATCATAATCATTTTTGGAAATTAAACAAAATTCCTCTATTATAAAATTCAAATTTAAATTCTTGAATATCAACACTAATAAATCAATACTAACTGAATTATTCAACTGAATGTTATTAATTAAAAACTCCAATAATTTGCAAAATTTCAACTGATTATTATCAAATATCTGAAAAATTAGATTAATGAGGTTGTCATTTATTAAAGGAATATTGTTGAGATTCAAATTCAAATTCAAATTTAAATTCAAATCAAGAGACCCATTATTGTAAAACGGTTTTAAAATCCAAACAAGTGATTTCAACAATTCAATTTTTTTTACTAAACTCTCATTTGATTTATTCGTCATTTGAGCCTTTTGAATGAATAATAAAACCTTGTCAAAGAATAAATTATTTATTAAATTAAAAGCATCAAATGTTGAGATTTTAATAAATAAATTTATTGTTTCAATAAACTCTTTGCAAACATCTAAACAATTATCGACATTATTAAAAATCAAGTAGGTAATAAATAAAATTGAATCATATTTTTTTTTGATTATTTTTCTATCCAGATTATCCGAAGATAAAATTATGCTAAAAATTTGAAATTTATTAGTTAGTAAAGCATTGAAATCTAATTTGGTGCATAAAAACTCAACTATGAAATCATTGATAGAATAACGATTTAAATAGCTATCAATAATACTATCATCAATAGTATTATTATTAGTATTTTTATTGATATTTTTACCATTTCTCATTAACAAAGAAAGTAATTTATATATATGTGTAAAATTTAACCAAAATTGACTGATTTCAATTGTTTTTAAATATAGTCTTGTTAGTGAATTGGCTAGATAAGTTAGATTATTTTCAATTGAATAAAGGATTAAAGAAGGAAATAAAGGAGTCAAAATGTTAGAGTTGATTTGAATCAAACCAATGATTTTACCCAATAATAACCATTTTCTATATTGAAATATCATTGAGTAGGAATTTTCAAGAGCTTGGTCAATATTTACGCTGTTTAATTTATTGATATTTAAGGAAGAAATGATATTATCATTATCAATATTGCAACTGGTGTTATCATTTGCATCAAAAATTTGGCTTGAAGAATTTAAAATCAAATGAAAACCCAATTCCACCGAAGAGATTTCAACTAGTTTTTTAGGATCGGTATAATCAATATTAAATATAATTTTTTTAAATTCAGCGAAAAATTCAGATAAACACTGATAAGATTCTTCAGATAAACAGTTTTTTTGATTAGACCAAAGGCAGTCTGAATCAAATTTATTTGGACTAATATCCTTATAACTTCCATCATTATTATAAATAGCCACATCTTCAATGTCGTCATCAATGTAATCTTCATCTTTGGAGTTATCGTCGCTCTCAATTATAGAGGCGTTGGACTTGTCAAATATATATGAAACAGATTCATCATCATAATCACTGCAGTGATCATCTTGTTCACTGGAGGAACAACTATGGGAAAACGCATATTGAGCATTTCTAGAACTATGAGAAGATGGTGAGTTTGACAAAGTGTTATAATAAAGTGGGGAGAAATTGTTTTTTCCTAGGCAATCAACTTCCAAAATAAAATACTTTCCATTGTTAATAGAATAGTCAGTTTTCAAGATATATTGAGGATATACTTTGATTTTTTCTCGATACAAATTGATTTTGGATTCTAAAGGCCTTAAGATCCTGTTACACTTTGAGATTGACCATTTTTTTGAGTTAGAAGTCAGACAAAAGATTGTATGTTGCTTTGAGTCTTTGTTTCGCTGAACGACAGTCATCAAAATTACCTATATCTTTGCCAGCAGATAAATCCAGTTCGAAATGTTCAACCCAAACAATTCATGAATCAAAACTCATTTAGAAAGTGTTTTGATGGCTTTTTGTTTTTGTTTATATTTCAAAATTTCCCAAAACAATAATTTCCAAATCGAAGGACGACGTCGAGACGCGTTTGAATGCAGAAACACACGTAACTTTGGTACCAGGGACGTGGAGCCGAAACTGCTTTACACGTGATCAAACTCAAATTTACTCAAAAGTGACCTATTTTTCAGATAAACATTTAAATCTGTTCAAATATCGCAGTATTTGAACAGCAGAAGAACAGATGATATTAGAATTCGTTACATTTCAGCTGGAATATAACTACAAATTACTGCTCTATAAATGTTGCACAAAGTGTATCCTAAAAACTCAAACCCAGCCTTAAACCCATGTAAAACCTCAATTTATGGTTGTGAAAAGAGGCCTATTCTTCCATACCCCAGCAATTGCAGACTCAAAATGGACCGAGATTAAAAAAATGGGAACTTATTCCTATGATAAATTAAAAAAAACGAAAAAACAGACGAAATAATGGCTGTTTATTGAAACCTTTTGATAATACAGGAAACTATCATTTAATTTTAATAACACCTGTTTTACTAAAATTTGATTTAGGATACAGTATTAATTCGTGATAGTAACTTAGAGATTAAAATCATTAACTGAAATGCAAGGACTTGTTATATTTATTGTCATTCTTTTGGGATTTTTAATGTGCAATTCGTTCCCATCTTGCCTGATTCTGATTTAAATTATCAATGAATTTGTTTCTTGTCTTCAATTTAAAATGATTCAATTCCTTGAGAACTCAGGACCACCTTCTCGTCAATAAAACAACCAATTCCAATAAAAGCCTGTTGTAAAGCTCGTTCGTAAACTTGTTCCACTCTCCATCCACCAGCAAGATAAGCTGGATTATTTTTAGCATTATTTGTAGCAAAATCGTCATATGAATCATTTAATGTAAACTTAAATTCCAAATCCTTATCACCATCATAAGGCGTAAATGGTGTGGTTACTTTTTTATTTTTGTCTTTTTCAATATCGCTATTTGTTAATTGCGATGTCAATGCTTTGATAGATTCATCTAATTTTTTCTTTCTCATTTCAGTTCTTTGTTCAAATTCAAATTTCAATTGATTTATAATTTTTTCAGCGGGAACATCTGATGCAGAATCTAGTAATTTTCTTTTGACTTCTTTTTCGTAATATAACTCATCTTCTTGTTGTTCAAGAAGAGATTCCTCCTTCAATTTTCGTTTTTGTTCTCTTAAGTTTTTCTCCATTTCTTGCTTTTGCTGGAACTTGATTAAATTTTGTTTCACTCTATCATTATTGATATTAATGAGCCCTCTATTAGCTTCTTCATATTTTAGTAGCTCTTCTTCTGTCTTTTCCACATCGATTTCATTCGTCAAATTATATACCATATCTTCAATCTTTTCCAAATACAAATCATATTCCCCAGGTTTTTTAAAATCGCTTTCGGTTTTATTAAATATCTTGCAGACTCTTCTCCTAATATCAACCTCTTTTTCAATATTAATATCATCAAATATTTGCTCTTTAAACTGCCTTTTCTTCAATGTTTTACCACAGTTCTGATATGGACACAATGCTGGTCCTGATCCAAATATCCTGTCTACACAAGACTCACACATCCGATGGTAGCACTCCAAATTCACCAAAAACTTCATATCTGGAGAGAAATATCGATCTGTGGTGCAGATTGGACATTTATCAATCCATTTTTCATCTTTGAATACAACCATGGTTAGCAATCAATGAAACTCAAGAATAAAAACAAACACATAGATGCAAACTTACCATTGGAATCCAAATCCATCTCTCTTCTGTTTATGGAATCATTCAACAACTGCTCTTTCAACAACTGTTCTTCGTTCAACAACTGCTAGAAAGAAACAAATCTTGCTTTTAATTTCTAATCCACCTGATGGAACTTCAAACTTTAAATATTCAAAAGACTAAAACATGAAAAATATTCCAGCAGGAAACAATTGCACTCTGAGCAAGCATATTGATCAGAAAATGAGTTTTAACTTGAATAAGTCTGATAAGAGCTTGATCATATCATTCAAACAGTTTCCAGATGTTGAAATCCTTATTCTCTTGTTCTCAAATGTCCGAAATTCATCGGAAATAAAAGAAAACTTACTATCAAGCAACAGCTCCTACAATTACTCATTTATCAACCCTAAAAATTTGCTAAATCTCGAGCAATTGTTTTCCTCAATATACAAAACATTGATAAACTATAAAAACAACGAAGTGAAATCAAAGACGTTAAATTCAGAGTTCATCTTTCAACTATCACCCAACAAAAATATCTTTGATTCCATTAAAAGATTTGGAATAGCTCAAGATTTGAAAGACCTAATTGTTCTAAAAGCTTTAAATATCGAAGAAAAGGAAATAGACAAAACCGATCACAGCCAACCAAATTCATTGCAAGATCATTACAAACACATATTGGAGATCGTTGATGGCGATTTGATTGAGCCAAACGATGAAAACATATCTAAAATAACTGATTTGGATTTAATTAGGAAAAACTATAAATTAGGCAAAGAAATTTCCACTGATAAGCAAATTTTATTGAAGGAGTTAATTGGAGTAATACAATTGAAGGGCTATTGATTGATTATATATTGATTTAAAGATATATAGTATATACTGTTCAAGTCAGTGGTAATAAATCATGTTTAATCATCAAGGTAAAAATCTTTCATTGCCACATATTTGTCAATTAACTCATGCTCTGTCATCAACGTTTCATATCTATAGGCCAATCTAATGTTGGGAACGTTTGTCTTTTGGATATCGTTGCCTTCTGGGCCCCTTTTTATATAGTTATCACCCAACCAATTTCTTTTAATTTCATCTTCGAATCCACTCATTAAAACTGAATTTCTTGCCAACTCACACATATCAACGTTGCTTAATTTATAAATTTGAGCTGCGACTGAATATTCTTCGATCAATGGTTCTCTGGTATAAGAAAACTGTAATGGATCATCTGTACTTAGGGAAACGTTTAGACCTCTTTTAAAATAAGCCGGGAAGGGGTTTTTGTCATACGTTAAAAACAAAGCATTATTTGATAATGGTGACATTGCAATTCCAATTTGATCTAGGTAGTATAGATACTGAACAAATGGGACCTTTCTCAATAGGATCCCATGCGAAATCCCCTCTGCGAGTAAATATGCTGAACATAAATGTTCTGGGTCTCCTGCTTCACCACAATGTGGTCTTAAAACTAATGTGTTAAAACCTCTTTTTTGTCTCCAGCTATTTAATGATGTTAAATTAGCAAAAAGATAGTAAAGGTAGTAGGTGTAGGGAGGATTTTGGTTAAGATTCCATAATTTTGGAACAGGATACTTTTTGTGAAATCTTCTATCGATTTTTGATTCATCATCAACGGAATCAAACCCAATTACTCTTTGTAAGAAAATATGTAATTTTGGATGAGATTTTGGGTTTTTAGTGACTTCAAATAATGGTTGGAACAAGTTTTTAATAACCGATTCAAAATTATCAACAATACTACCCTTTTTGTAGATATCGTACAATCTTGGAATTTGGATTAACCATCTTACGTTATGACTAATGACTTTATTGTCGATTATCCACTCGGCTAGTTTGTCCCATTCAGTTATTGATTTGCCATAAATAGAGATTCTATATTCAGCCATTTGGTATTTGGATTGTTCTAAATCGCTGAATACCTGTTTAGTAATTTCAGCTAAATATTTGCCCTTGATAAAGTTATCAGTTTTGAGAAAGATTTCTCTTAATCTTGATTCACCGATTGGATTATATTTTAAATTGAATTTATCGAATCTATGAAAAGTATCCTTGTGTGCATGCATATCTAAAGTATCGATTGATAGATCGTAGGAATTTAAATTCAAGGATTTAAATACTTGGATTAAAGTCAATATTTTGTTATCTCGGAATATTACGCTTTCCTCGGGAAAAAATCTGATTTTGTGTTTAATGAATCTTAGCAAATGTTTTTGATTCATACAAGCAGAATGATGAACATGAGTGTCAACTTTTCTAACGTTGTAAAAGTCTCGATGAGGGTTCTTTTTAGAGTCTGCTGTTTCTTGGTATTCATTTAGTAAATTATATAGGTTCCACCTGGCTTCTAAATATTGCAATCTTTTATAAGCAAAAGATTTTGAAGGACCGTCGGATGAGATTGTAATTAATTGATCGAGGTCCATATAGTAGTCCTTTATGGTTGGAACATTAATAATTGGAAAATTTAAATCTGAAGGATGGTATATTTGATAGACACTGTTATGGTCTATTGCAAAATCAATCGTAGAGTCGACTTCTGGGATAAAACAATCGTCAAATTGAAAATCGTCATCAGAAAAGGTGATCTTTGAAGAATTGGTAAAATTTAAAGTCTTTTCGGAGGGATTCCAAACTGGTTTTGGAGGAGGAGGGTATATTTTCCAATCTTTAAAATTTTTACAGTTATCGTGATGTCTTTGTAAAGATATAGATTGGTATTTTTTCCTTAAGTTGAGACAGTATTTAACGTTTGAGTATAGCTCAATTAGCTCTGGAGATGGAGAGAATTCATTGATTTGATTGATTTGAGTCTTAATTATATTGTTATTGTTATTTTCATTTTCAATGGTTGTAGTGGTAGAGTTTGAGGTGATATTGTTGGAATCGTCATAAGAGGTCAACAAAGATTGTTGTTGTTGTTGTTGTTGTTGCAATGGTTGTCTTTTTTTGAGTAAGAACAACTGGGCAGGTGTAACAGAGGATAATATTGGACTTGAGCTCAATTGGTAACTGAATGCATTTTTGTTTGAATTGATAGATGAAGATATGTGAAAACCGGATTGCAACTGGTCAGTCAAACTAGTCATTTTTGTGTTTGGTACACCATGGTTACTTATCATCGAAGATTTTCTTGATAAAGGTTTGTGAGCATTGGGAGAATTGAAGATAGAAGCAGGGTTGGGAGATGTTGGCAATAAAGCTGGGCTAACTTCGTTGAACTTTGAGGAGATAGGGGAACCAACCGATTGTAGAGCCTTTATTTTAAGGTCGTTTTCATTCATCATTTTTTCTTCGTTATAGGAAAAATGAGTAGATGCTCTCGAGAAGGAATGGTTGGAGATATCGTCATTGCTAAAGCTGCCATCATCGTCCTCAATTATTTCGTATCTAGAATTACCATTCTGTAGGGCGTTGTCAACTGTGGGAGATTGGCTGTTGTGGCTAGATTGCAAGTCTTCATCTCTAGTGGTGTGAACCGAAGCACCCAATACAAAAGAGTCAATTGCTTCGGCTCCAGTGTCTGTGTTGTGTTGCTGCTTGTTCAAAGAGAGGTTCTGGGTGGTGGGAGCAGAAGAAAGAGAGTCCATGGTGAGTGAACTGTCTTTGGTGCTTATCAAAGTGGGAGAGGAAGAACCGCCAGTGAGTGTGGTGTTGATAGCAAGAGAATGAGCTCGTCCTTTGGTGCTGGGACTGGAAATTGAGGTGTTTTCGGGAGCTGGACACATTTGCACATTGAAAAAGAAGAAGAAGAAGAAAGAGAAGAAAGAGAAGAAAGAGAAAGAAATTACGACTCATAAACACCAACGGTATGGAACCGGTATCTTTGCAGAGAAACGCGTTTTATTGCTTTAGACTGCGTTTACTGTTTTGGGCTTTTATCTTTTTAATCTTTTTTTTATCTTTTTTATCTTTTTTGGCTTCAAATCCATTAATTTTTCATCTATCTGTCTATACACATCTATGTAGCGAGAGCTGTCTCAAGCCTCAGTTGAACAAGTCCGGGAAGAAGAACTCCCAGTTATCCTCATTATTGTTGTTCCCTCCTGCTGTCATCATCACCGGAGGTCCTCCAATGAAGCTGGGGAACGAGATGACGCTGTAGCTGTTGTTGTTGCCATCGTTGCCACTGCTGCCCAAGTCGATATTATCCCCCATGTTGTCTCCAATACTGTTTCCGTTGCTGCCAAACTCGTTGCTGCCGAAATTGAGCTCGTTCTCCGTCATGTTGATGATGCTGTTGATGTTGAAGTTGTTCGAGCTGTCTCTCGCGTTGTTGTAATCGTAATTGCTGGCCTTGTTGCTATTGATGTTATTTATGTTCATGTTGCTCATATTGTTCACGTTGTTTATATTCGCCATATTGTTCATATTGCCCATACTGGCCATATTCATATTCATATTCATATTGTTCATATTCATATTGTTCATATTGTTCATATTATTTAAATTATTGATATTGTTCATATTATTCACATTATTCACATTATTCACATTATTCATGTTACTCATATTTATATTGTTCATATTGTTTGTGTTACTATTACCATTATTATATTGATTATTCGTATTTTGAAAATTGTTAAAATTCTCTTGGTAATTGAAACCATTTATTTCTATTCTTGAGGATGGCATACCATTATTGCCATTATTGTTATTATTATTATTATTATTAATATTATTACTATTATTATTATTATTACCGCTATTGCTACTGTTATTATCACTGTTACTATTACTATTATTGTTGCTTCTACCAGGATTACTACTATTTTTATTTTCGTTATTATCACTATTATTGATTATCATATTAATATCCATAGTTGAGTAAATTTTTCTACCAATGTCCATATTATTATTTCTACTGAGATTTCCATTATTCATCCCACCAATTCCATTCATTCTATTGATGTTGTTTCTTAAAAAATTATTACTATTATTATTGGGATTATTATTCAGATTATTGTTATTTTTAATATTGCTACTAGATGTATTAAAATTATTCTTATTTAAATTAACATTTTCTAATGCAAATTCACAATTCATACTGTTGAGCCCTGAGTTAGTAGATGCAATCAACGATGGTTCCTCTTCACCTCTTTGGAATTTATTCTTATTCATTGCTTCGTGCTTATAACCAGAATTTTCATACAATAAATCATTAATATTTCTTGTGTTACTAGTTCTCGCTTTATTATAATAATAGTTATTATTATTATTTGGATTAACTGATTTAAATAAATTTTGTGGTTGTCTTTGCATGAAATTATTATTGTCGCTATTATTAATGGTATTTTTATTAATATTGCAATTTGTATCTCCACTATTTCTACTGTTCTTATCATTCTTGTTATTCTTATTAGTATTTCGACTATTATCACTACTATTATCATTATGATTATCATTATGATTATCATTATGATTATTATGATTATCGCTGTCATTATCATGGTCAACATTATTGTTATCTTCGTTTTCTTCTTCATTATCATTGTCCATATCACTATCACGATCATCATCGTCATCTTCGTTTTCATATCCATTATCAATTTTCTCATTATCGCTGAATAAATTATCGTGACTTAGATTATCATTATTGCTTTTAACATATTTTTGATCTAATATCGATAAATGAATTTCGTTACCATGAAAATTTAAACCTTTATAAAACTTTTCGTATTTCATTTTAATTAATTTATAAGCTTTTTTGGATAAATTCCAAATGTGTGAAGTCTCTTTTAAAACTTTTAAAAAAAATGCAAACTTGATTTGAAGTTCTAAATTATTTTTTCTTTTAATTTCTTCACTGATTTCACTATTATTATCACTGTCATCTTTGGTTATCAATAAAATTATACTCAATGACAATATACATAAATAAATCCCCGTTATACTAATATAGTTGAAACCTTGATGATCTAATTCAAATTGATGTAATATTATAAACAAATCATTAATCACGTCTTTACAAATATTAATTGGTGTCTTTTTGGTTGTCATATCGCTATTTCGATTATCACTACTTTTAGTAAAACTAGTATTTTTACTTTTATTCTTATTTTTATTTTTATTTTTATTTTTATTTTTATTTTTATTTTTATTTTTATTTTTATTTTTATTTTTATTTTGACTTTGACTTTGACTTTGACTTTGGCTTTGATTTTCAATTTTGATTTGATTTTCACTGTTATTGTCATTTTCATCATCATTGTCATTTTCATCATCATTGTCATTTTCATTGTCGTTTTCATTGTCATTTTTGTTTTCATTTTCATTTTCGTCATCATTTTCGTATTTAAATTCTTTAGAGATAAATGGTCTATTAAGACATAGCAATATTAAATAATAGTAAAATTTAATGCTATTTAATGTGGGATTTGAGCCAGTTTCTCTTAATTTATGTTCATCCCATTGGAATTCTTCAATTAACGATTCTCTCCATTTTAAAATATCAAAATTTAATTCTCTTAATTTTTTGTATCGAATTTTGAAATTAATTGAAATGTGTCCGTTAATGTTTGAAAATAAATTATTTGAAATATTTTCAGATATGCCACTTAATTCAATCATTTTGAGAATCAATTTAGACTGATTTGATTTGTCATTTGCATAAACAAAATCCTTCATTTCCTTTACACTGTATGTTGGTAAACTACTCGTATCAGGAACACTCGTGTCGTTGATTTTAAGCGTTATTGGTCTACCAAATAATAGACTAATATAATGGTCAAACATGTAACAACTCCAATAAAATCTTCTTCTAACTAGCACTTCTTCTTCACTTATGGTTAAATTGTTGATTAGTACCCAATTATCCGGATCCAACTGGAAGCCCAAATCAAAGCCAATTCTAAAGGCTAAACCAGAAAGATTCCAGGCTTTGGAAGTTTCACCATTTCCTATATGGTAATAAGACAATAATAATAATGATTGAACAGTTGTCATTAAAGCAGGAGAAGGATTTTCAAGCTTTTCATTGATTAGAATGTTTGCAATTTTATGGAAAAAGATTGAATTACGATTTAATTGTTTGTTTTTAGAAATTTTTGAACCAATTGCACAAATTGCAAAGATTAATTCTTCACAGCAAAATAGAGTGTTTGTCTTATTATTTAAGTAATCTCTTAGGAAATAGTCTCTGTAAATATAGGTGTTTAAGTCTAGATACTGATATAAGAAAAATAGACAGATGGAATTTCTTATTAGGTGAGAGCTTGTTAATTTTTTTCTATCGATACCCATTTTCTTTAGTATGAAATTGATTTCATTTTGACTGTTATTGTAGTTTTCTTGGTTTAATTCGGTTAGTTCATAGGCACCTTCATAATCTGTGCAACTGCTGTTAGCTATTTCGTTGTCGCTGCTAAAGTTATTTGTGTGGGAGTTCTTCAGTTGATCAAGATCAGTTTCAATGTCATTATTACTCTGTGTGTTGGCAGTAGAGTTGATTTTGTGATAGTGGTATGAATCAGTATCGAAGTTTGATGGAAGGTTCTGGTGGTGGTTAAATTTGGATTCGTTTTTGGTGAACTGGTGAGAATGAGAACCAGATTTGCTCTTGTCTTTGCTTCTGCTGTGGTGCCTATTGAACTTGTTGTTGTTGATTCCAGTTAAGGAGTCATCAAAATAAACACTTGTAGGGCCATAGACAGAAATGCCAAATTTTGTTTTATTTGCCTTCACTACTATTTTTGGTTTCTCGCCCTTATCCTTAGGAGTGGCAGTAGTGTTGCCGATTTTGGTGTCACTGTCGTTTGAGTTGTCGAGTATGTTATGGATATGAAGAGGGTTGTTGAAGGTGTTGATCAGAGCATTATTAGGATCAGTGGAGGCAGCTGGGACGTCGTTTTCATTGTATTCGAATGTCTTTATGGAGTGGATTAAGGAGGGATCTAGTCTGATTTTGTTCAACAAGCTCTGGTAGTGTTCTAGCTTCTTTTCCAAGCCAGCTACGTAGGAGTTTTTGTATCTCTTTGATCTTCCATCGCCAATAGCTCTATCACAAATGGAGTTTGACTTGATACAGTTGGGACATGGAGTCTGGTCTTTATCGCACTTGACTTTCTTTTGACGACAACGAACACAGGAAAGGGAGTAGTGAGCTAGGTTTCTTTTCTTGACGAGTTTCTTATCGTCGTGGGACTTTTGAGCAGTAGTGGTGAGTTTGTTGCTGGAGTTGAGGTTGGAGTTGGGGTTGGAGGTGTTTTGGCTGGCGATGATTTGGGGCTTAATGTTTGGATTAGGATCACTCACTTCCATTGTTTAAGAGAGAATAACGATATGAGAAAGGAAACAAGGACCAGTTTGATTCATCTATTAAGAGGGATGAAAAAAAAAAAGAGGAAAGCAAGATAGATAGAAGAGTGTAGAGTTAGTTAGCGTAGAAAGATTAGTATTTTGTAAAGCTATAAACCTTTATCCATTGGTAAACATGCGAGTGGAAAAATAGGAATTATACAATAGGAAGAAAAGTAAGCTAAAGTGGACTCAAATGATCCAGCTCAGAGCAGAGCAAGGACAAAAAGGAACTTGAATTAAGTGAAATGAAATAAATCTATAAACAATATATAAGTATAAATAGAGATGGAAGTAGAAATGGAAGATAGACATAAGTTAGTCAAAAAAGGGGGAAATAAAGAATAAAAAGCAGCTGCTAAATACATCGAAGGAGGTTTATGTAGATAACTAAATGCAAAATCTTGTAAAAAAGAAACCAAAAAAAGAAAAAAAAGCAGTGAAAAATGATTTTAATAGGAATAAATAGTTAGAAATGAATTGATGTAATTTTTCTTTTGTTATTTAATACAATAGTATAGTAGTGAAGTAGTGAAATAGTGTAATAGTGTAATAATATAAGAAATTACTGATCAAGTTCTATCGGGTTCCAGAGGAGGTAGCAAGTATCTGTTGTTAATGGATTCGATATTTTCGCAATCACTGTCTTCGTTGTAATGCTCAGGAGTGTTGTTATTGATGTATTGAACGTTATCAGAGTCTGAGTCGTTATCACTGCTGCTCAAGTATACAATTTCTGCCTTATTTTCTTTATCATTGTCGTTGTCATTTTCATTTTCATTGTCGTTATTGTTATCTTTGTCGTTGTCGTCTTCAGATGAGTTTATTACTTCTAATTCAGAGGTGCTTGAAATGGTTTCATCAGAAATAACGTATTGATATGAATCAGTAGATTCAGTGGAAGAGGATTCTGAAGAGGAAGCAGTGGATTCGGAGGAGATTGGATCGTATAGTAAGTTTTGGTTGATATCGTTTTGAATTAGATCGATTATTTTTTGGTTTTTTTTGAGAACCAAGTCCTTTGACCAGAATCTAGCGATTATGGAGACTTTGAGGAAGAAACTGGAAGCGTATTTTTTGAAGAATTCTTTGTGGATGATTTTGTTGATGAGATAGTTGAAGATTTCTAGGATGATTGATTTGATTTGGATGAAGTTTGAGTTGTTGATTTTATTTTGAATATTGAATAGGTTTGTGTTGAAGTTGAAGGATTTACTGGTTAGGAGAAAATCGATGTTTAGGATTTTCAAGGCAAGATAGAAGGAGGCAATGGCTAGGTTTGAGGGTAGTTGGCCAATTAGTTTGTTATTTAGAAGGGTTGATTCGATTAGATAGTGGGAGAGGAAGATGAGCTTTTCTTTTAGAGAAGATATGGCTGGGTTTGAGGAGAAGGTTGATAGAAAGTCGTTTAGTAGTCTTGATAGAAAGTAGAAGGAGGTGGGAAAGTTGAAGAGGTTGAAGTTGAGGATGTTTAGGATTCTGAATTCGAATTTTTTGATTTTCGAGATTTTACAAAAGTTTTCAGTTTGGAACTCAAAGGATTTGATGGAAGGTAGATTTTTTTCAAAGAACTTTGAGGCAATGAAAAGTGAGGATATACCTAGAAGCTGTAGATTTTCGACTTTGAAGTTTTTGTTTGGGTAGAAGGAGAGGATGATGTCGATTAGGTTGATTGAGTAGAAGAGGGTTTGAGGAGATAGGTTGAATTTCAAGTGGACTTCGATGAGCCAGTCATTTAGGATGGATCTCATTTTGTTGTTCAAGTTTGAGTGGGATTTGAAGGAGTTTTTATTGGGAATATTTTTCGGGAGGAACTGAAGGGTGTATTGGTAGTTGAATAGTTCAGTGGAGTAGTCGTTGGTCGATTGGTTGTAGTCGTAGTAAAAGGAGTTGTTGAGGATGTAGTTCAAGTAGATGTTTTCATTTGATTCTTTGGAAGATATTTTCTGGGAGGTATCTGATTGGGGGATTGTTTGGGCCTTTGGTTGTTCATTTGACGTTGATATTTTTGGTTCCTCATTGTTGTTATGATCTTTAAGATCTTTATTATTATTATTATTATTATTATTATTATTATTATTATTATTATTATTATTATTATTATTATTATTATTATTATTATTATCATCATCATCATTATTATCACTATTATCATTATTATTATTATTATTATTATTATTATCAGTAGTGTTATGATTGTCATGGTCGGTGATATTGGTGTTGTTTATTGAATGGACAGGGGTCAATAATTTAATCTTTTTTGACTTTGAGTCTGGGGTAATTAGAACATTAAATCTTCTCTTTTTGTTGTTATCATTATTACTGTCATGGAGGTGGATATCGTGGTGGTGGATATCGTCGGCGGTGATGTTCTTAAGAGAGTTGTTGGCGGTCGGTTGGCCATTTTTGTTGAGTTGGGTGGTGGTGAGCTTTATGGGGTTGTTCTTGATGCAAGGAGAGGAATTGATGTAGGTTATGCCATTGTCGAGAGGCTTGGTGGTGGTGGAGGAGGAGTTGCCGGCGTTGGTGTCGAGCGAGAGGTCGACAAGAGCAGATCTCTTGGGATGAGCAGCGAGAGGTTTCTTCAAAATGGGGTTGGCAAGAGCATCGTTGGAGGCAAGAAAGGGAGTGACCATTGTTAGCGTCGCAGGAGAAGAGAGAGAAGAGGCACTGGAGATGGACGAGAAGCAGCAGAAGCAGCAGAGGCTCTTCCACCTTATACCTACACATTATATACACTGCTCCCGACGCCAACTCCCACGTAAACACCAAAACACGGCGACGCGTTCGGCAACGCTGACTCAGCACACGTGTGCTGAGTCAGAACAACAGCCAACCGTTGTTGCTTACGTCAGCACACGTGCGCTGGGTCAGCTGCGGGCGTGAGCGTGTTTGGGGCGGGACCACATTCCAGGGACGGAAATGTGGTGCTTCTCGTGCTGCCTCTGCTTCCTGTGCTGGGAGAAGAGCTGAAGGATGCTGGAGAAAGAAAAGGCTCTTCCTCACATCTCATCGCGGCTCCACTTCACTCCTTCTCTACTCTCGTTCCCTTAACTCTGCTCCTGGTCTCCCATTGCTCTTTCCTTTTTTCTCTATTCGTTCTATTCGTTGCTGCTTTTTTTTTCACTCTTCCTTTTTTTGTTCACTTTCTGACTCGATAACTTGCTCTTGCTTGGGTTTCTTTCCTCGCTATCTTTGCCTCTAACATGTCTCTCAATGGTTCTTCCAATCAATTCCAAAAGAACACTACTGTAAAGGCAAAATTCAATCTCTACCAATTCAACTCAAAGTCGATAAAGTCTTTTAAGTCCATAAGGTCCATCAAGTCTCTACAAAACATCCTCCAGTCCTCAAACAACCCCAATACCAATAACATTGCCAATAATACCACTAACAGCCCCACTAACAACACCACTAATAACGCCAATAGTATCAATCACGATAACTTGTCTGATATAATAACTGATCCCTCGGACTCAAGATACTTTTCCTCTTCAACAGTAAATCTCAACAAAATTCCAAACAAAAAGAAATCAATATCCAACTTGCTCAACCTCTTCAAACGAAAACTCTCTCGTTTCCTAAAACTATCTGTTCCCTACCTCTCAAACTTTCTCCTACTCTACACCATTTACATCTACTGCTACCAATTCTCCTACGTCCAGCTCTACAAAATCAAAACCCACTCCATTGCAATCTCCATCGTCTTCATCTCCATCTTCTCCCTCTTTCTTCTCTACATATGGTTTCTATGGCTACTCATCGTCATAAAGGGCCCTGGCCTCTTGCCCCAAAAGATCCCCCCATACACCTACAACAACCCAATTCTAGACCACCAAATCCCAGAGTATTTTTACTGTAACAGAGATGGCCTTCCCTTCTGGTGCTCCACTTGCAACTCTATCAAACCTCTAAGAACCTCTCACTCGAGCGAACTAGGCCACTGCATCCCCAAAATGGACCACTTTTGCATCTGGATCGGCATTGTCATTGGCAAAAAAAACTACAAGATCTTCTTTCTCTTCATCCTCCATTTCTTCTTCCTCATTCTCTTTGTCTTTGTCTCAACTCTCATCTACTTTCCAGAACACATCAAAGATGTCATCAACGACACTGAAAGAATAAACCCAAACTTTATCATCATCCTCTTCATATCCTTTCTTTGGTTGTCCATCCTATACGGCCTTATCTCGCAACACTTCTACCTCATTTTCAATAACCAAACAACTATAGAAAAACTAAACCAAGAAAGATACAAAAAGGCCCTTCAAAAACTTCAAAAATCTTCCAAAAATCTTCACAACTCAGAGGACACTCCTGTTTTAGACCCATCAAATTACCAATACATCAACTACAACTACCTCAACCTCTACAGAGTAGTCATCAAAGTATCCAAAAATGACAAACCCTTCAAACAATCTTCCCATCTTCAAAACTGGAACCAAGTCATGGGCAGCAATCCCCTATTTTGGTTTCTACCCATTAACAACAACAACAACAACAACAACAACTCTCCCTCTAACGATGAATACTTTACCGAAGAATACCTAGAATTCTTGAACCAAAAAGTCAGAGATGGCCAAATCACTCCCTTTAAATTCGCCAACAATAACATTCTAAACAGCATCGAAAACAAACTAAACATCACCAACAACAACAACAATAACAACACCTCGGACAACTCAAACATCCTAATAATAAGCAACCAAAACCCTGTCATAACCGTCGATAACGACAACGAAATCATCAGCAACTTACACCAAAATGACGCCGTATCAATAGTCGAGTCAATTGTCTCTCTCCCAAACAACAACCAAAACCACGAACTAATCTTCTCAAACCTGGTATCAAACAGAAACTCCCTCACAAACAACTACCTCAACAACAACAACTTTCCTAGAAACTCCTTCTCAAATAGCTCGGTTGACCTCTCAAACCTAAACAGAGTCTCCATCACCTCAGCCATCAACTCAATCAACTCAGCAATGAACACAATTGAAAGCGCCATAAACACTATCAACTCAGTCATGTCTTCGCTCAACGATGACATTACCAGCAACAGAACAAGCTCTCTAATAAGAAATAACTCTCTTTTAGTCGACCCAAACTTAAACAACGCCCAAAGAGCCGGCATCATTAAAGAATCAAATGATATAGAACTACTAAGATTAAACAGTCAAAGACTTAATCGAAATTCTCTTCTAAATAATCAAAATCCAGCTTCAAAATCCATCTCCCCTCTTCCAACTTAATTCCAACTGAATCGTTAAATTACCTAAATTCTTGCCATCAATTTAATGCCCTATAAATTCAGACTTTAATATTTTTCTTCCGGTGTTTTTTTTCCTCCAGTTAATTATCCCTTTTTTTTTTTTTTGGTTTTATACTATTATGATTGTTTTGTCATGTGTATCGTGCTTTGGGTTGTTTTAAAATTTGTCTCTACGTTTGATTTTTATTAACTTGTTTTATTCTTATGAATTCCATTCCACTCTTTTGATTTTTTTGATTTTTTACTAAAAACAGCATATTATATTTGTATCATTCACTCTCGTTAATTTTCTTACTGTTTATTTATTACTTGATTACTTTATTACTTTATTACTTTTTTTTTGTTTGTCAGTTCCTTCTTTTTCTGTTCTTGTTTACAAATTGGTTTTTATTCTGCATATCTGTTTTCAATTAGATCTCTAATCTTTAATATTTTATTTTTACATTTGCTATTCTTATTTTTCTTATCTTTCTTATTTTTCCTATCTTTTTTATCTTTTTTATCTTATCTTTACCCTATCTTATACTATCTTTATATTATTATTTTTATAATATTTTGGCTTTTCTTTTAAAGATTTATCTTTCTGGTTATTTCTTTCCAATTGAGTTTTTAATATTAACAAAATTTAGTATTTTCAAGTTTCTAATGATTTTAATAATCATATTAATTATTATTATAATAATAATAATAATAATAATAATACATTAATTCTAATAATTCTATTGCTTTTCGTTTACTTATTTTGCATCAATTTCGAATTGTAAATCATGTATCTTAATGTTTAATGCTTAATGTAATTACTTTCTTTTCCACTATTATTCTTTAGTAAAATGAGTTGGAATATTTATATATTATAATTTGATAATATTTAGAAAATGATTAAAAACAGGATATGAAAATGGAAATGTAAGATAACTAGTTAAAAAAAGTGGAAACAAAAAAATTTAAAGAAACATATTTTAAACAAGCAGTAATTTTTTTTCTTCTTTATTCTCTTTCTTTCTTTCTTTCTTTCTTTCTTTTGTTAATTGATTAAATGAATTAAACATGAAATTTTTAATAGCTAACAAAAAAAAAAAAACTTAGACACTGAAAATTAATTGAAACAATAATAATGTTAATTTTCATTTTATATTTATGTATAATTGTCAGCTTTTATAAATTTTTACTAAATTTTTATTGAATTTTGATTAAAGTTTTGATTAAACCTATATTAGATTTTTTTTGATTTTTTTTTTCACTTCATTAGTTTATTGATTGATTGAAATAAATTAAGCCTGAGTATGACGCAAACCAACTGGAGAACGAAAGATAGCATCACCTTCAGAATAACCTCTACCTAAACCAAAACCAATTCCTAACCAAACTGGAAAGGCTCTTCTCTTGAAAAATAAAACAGATCCTAAAACACCACATCCAAATCCTAATCCAGTTTTAACTAATGTATTGGATAATACTACATCCCATTTATCATTTAAAAGTGTTTGGGATGGTGGTGCTACTGGTGAAGTACTTTTGATGTCTGACATTTTAAGAATTCAATTATATTTCTCAGCTTTCAGTTATCTTTTTTGGTTTAATACTTGTATCGTTATATTAAAAGTGCTTCCGAATGATTTTCAGGTATATCTTTCAATCTTGATGGTAATTATCTAGAAAATTCATCTCATCGTTTCAGCCAATCAGAGCCATTTTGATTTTCCCTCTGATTTTTGTGTCACGTGTTGTAATTTTGAAAAATGAAAACGGTCGCAAAACAGATTCTTCTTTAAACGGAAATTCAGTCAGGTGATAGATTCCCTTATTTTCAACACTAAACAATTGATGCATGTGACTTGAAATTTCAATTCTTCAAACATTGCCCAAACTGGATTATTGAATTGAATTATTGAAATGAATTACTGAAATAAATTAAATCAGAAGTGAAAATATTAAAATGAGTCAATTAGTAAATAAACTTTTAAATAAACTATCAACAAAAATTTTTTAACCGAGAAAAACCCCAAGATCCAATCTTTCCATTAAAAAACTGAAAAAAAAAACAAGAAAATAGAAATAATAGTATATAGATAGTGCAAAAAACTCCGAGGATATATCAATTTTCAAAACGACCTCTCTTGGCATCAGGTTCAAGGTTTTCTGATAGATTATCAGTTAATGAGACATCTTCCGGTGATGAGGCAACTAAGGGATTTAGAAGCGAGTAGACAGCACTCTGTCTAGTGTTGTTTATATGGACATCCTTATTTTGATTATCGTTATCGTTAGAACCATTAAGAGTGTTATCAGTGTTGTTGTTATTACTATTATCTGTAATTAAAGTTAGATTAGAATTTCTAATATTAGAAGTTAAAGAATTTTTGGGAGAGTTGTAAAAAAAAGATTGTTTTCTATAGGATGTATTGTCGTTTAAAGTGGCAATACTTGCTGAAATTGAGTTGCTATTCGAGTTTGAATAGATAGAAGATCTATCAAATGAGACATCATTAGATGCGTGTCTCTTTCTCGATGATATTGAGTCAGATTCATGGATTAACCTTGGGATTTCAGGCAAAACCTGTGGATAAGACATTGGTCTTCTTTCTCTAAAGCTGATACTATTCTTATTATTATTGCTGTTTTTATTATTATTAAAATTGAAGTCCTGATCCCTTTTATTTAAAAAATTGTTATTGATATTGTTATGAATGTTTTGATGATCATTGTCATTTGAATCAGGACTTATTAGAGGTGAATAAGGGGATCTTGTATTGAAATCGCTGGGATTTCTTTGTATAATTGATATATTTTTGAATTTATTATTTGAAGTTGTCTTGATTGAGGAAATGTCAGAAGAGTCTAGATTTGGAGTTGATAGGCTGAAAGTGGAATTGATGGAAGTCTTTGAGCTTGGAGGGTTTGATAGGAAACTTCCAGCTAAGGAGTTATTGATGTTGTTATTGATGATGTTGTTGTTTGAAGGTTGTGATTGAGATGGAGTTGAGTTGTAGCCAGGAATTTGGGCTAGAGGATCGCATAATATGCTCATTTGTCTTTCCTTTGTTGAGGAAAACTTGATGTTATGAAAGGAAGTTTTGATGATTGGTGGGGGTTGAAATTGGATTTGATTATACTGGTTATTTTGAGGATATTGATTGTTTTGGTTAGTTTTAGGGAAGAAATGGCTGTTTGTTCTTTTTAATATTGAAGATTTGAAATTTTGCAAGTCCAGATCTAGAGAGTTGAAGGAGTTAAAAGAATGAATTGAATTTGAATTCTGGATTGGATTTGGATTGGATTTGATTGAGTTTTGGAGGATATCTAATAGTTTTACCATGTCGAGGTTTGTATTTTTAAGGTCTATAACTGAGTCGTGATATTTTTTTTGGAGTATATTGTTTTCGTATTTTAGTTTGTCTACGGTTGATTTGAGGTCGTTAAATTTTTGATTTAGCAGGTCGAATGATTCATTTATATGATTGTTATTGTTATTGTTATTGTTATTGTTATTATTATTATTATTATTGTTGTTGTTGTTGTTATGATATAGCATAGAGTTGTTTAAGGAAGATATAGAGTTATCGTTATTGTAGTGAAGTAAATTAGTGGTTGATGAATTCTGGATATTAGTTTTCAAATCGTTTTGAGATTGATTTAATATAAGGTCATTATTGTTATTACTATTGTTGTTATTATTATTACTACTATTATTGTTGTTATTATTGATGTTATTGATAATGTGGTTGATGTTGTTGATATTGTTATTATTATTATTATTATTATCGTAAATGATATTATTTTCGTCTTTAATTGATTGTAATTGTTGAGATTGAATATTTTTTGAAGTTCTTCTTTTTATCGTGTTTAAAGCGTTTATATCACCTTTTTTGAATACACCGGAGGCATGTCTGAATTCCCATATCCCAATGGTTGAACTAGTTTTGTTGTTATTTTCATTTGGATTTGGGTTGTCTTTGGAGTTAGTATTGTCTTTTGAAATGATATCTTCTTTTGAATTATCGGCATTTTTCAAATTTTTAAGATTTTTAAGATTTGTATTATTATGCAATTGGTTTTGAGTCGAAGCCGAAGAATTTTCATTGATTTTATGGAAACCGTACATATTCAACTGGCGAACAAAACTGGCAACATTGGTATGTTTGAAGAAGCTCGCCAAAACCTGAGAAAAATGTTCACCGGGAGAAATGAAGAAGCTTCTGCCATCACTGGACCACCAGATGAGATGCGATATTGAGCTATCTTGCAACATATCGTATAGTTTGTGAATGAAAACAGTGTGGTTTCCTGTCGTGGAGTCCTTTTTTTTCTTCTTTGAGGGAACGCTTATGTTTGAACAAATGCTGTTGATTGTGGTGCTAGCGGTATTTTTAGTGGTTAACTTGGGGTTGTTTACTAGAAGAACAGCATTTTTGGCGATGCCGGTGTTGCTAGGATTGTTTGCATTGGTGGTAGTGCTGGCAGTGGTGGCAATGGAAACATTGGAGATCTTTGTCGACAGAGGGTCTTTCACAGAGGGAGCAACGAGGGAAGGAAGGTTGAGACGGGAGCTGTGGCTATGGTTCTGAACAGAGGTGGGAGTCATGGTGGAGACACAGGAAAAGAGGGCCGCAGCAGAAGAGGCAGCGGAAGCGGCAGCACAGGAAGAAGACACTCTCAACAGTCGGGCAGCAGAGGCAGGAGAAGAAGCAGCCCAGGAGAGAGATGTGGACGGATTTGCCCTCCCATTTATACTTCTGTGCCCGCTCGAAAAACGTTCTGGAATCTGTCCAGCGCCTATGCGGGCGCTGTTCCGCAGGGCCCCGTTGCGGTTGGCCCCAACAACGTCCCGCAACGGGAGGGCTGCATATGCATGCTTTCCGGCGTGTTCAAGCGTCCTGCAGCGTGTATCAGTGCTGTTGTAGGTTTCTGACTGCATGTGCCATCGCTGCGGGTCTGGGGAGCACAGATCAGAGAAGAGGCAGAAGAAGACACAGCATTGATGAGACGACAGTGGAGGAGTGCCATGTCTGCTGAAGACGTAGACCACAATCCCTGGGCTGTTGCTGGCGACGTAGGAGAAGCTGTCTTTGGTGTTGCTGCTGCCAGAGTTGCATGGCCGGGAGATGTCGATTACAGTGGCCATCTTGGATGGGGTGAGCAAGAGCAGGAGCTGCAAGAGCTGGATGAGCTGGATGAGCTGGATGAGCTGGATGAGCTGGATAAGCTGGGTGTGACGAAAGAGCTGACAGAATTGAAAGAGAATCGTCAGATTTTGGACAGAGACTACTTTGGGACAGATAAACAGAAGGTTCTTATTATTGATGATCCCATTCACCACAAGGATCAAAAGAATGTGGAAGAACAGGAAGATCACTCAGATCACTCAAACCATAATGATTATCTTTCTGATTCTGATAATAACGAAGACTTTGGGGAATTTATATCAGAAATTCCAAGTTTATCTTACATATCAAATTTAAATCTACTGATTGACATCAATAAATTAATGGGCAACATATTCAACGAAAATTCTAATCGAATTGATCAAATCAATAACCCAAATCAAATGACTGATCCAATTCAATTACTAGACAAAGCTAAAAACTCAAGAAAATTTTATTATTCCTTACTAAGACCAACAAAACAGTTTTTCACTACTAAAGATAATTCCTTCCCTAATAATAATAATAATAATAAACATAAAAGAAGTGACTCGTTTAATTTTTTAAATTGGCATCTGTCAAATATTTATCAAAATATCATCAAAATTATATCAATCTGGAATTCAAATGATCTTATATTAAACAACAATATCAACACCAATACTGATGACAACTTTGAAAATAATATAAATCAAAAAGAAATTCAAAATTATTCGAAAATATTTCATTGGTCTTCTGATCATAGTAATATTAATAATAACAAACCTGATAATAATAATGAAAACTCACTTTTAAACTCAATTTCTAATCAATTAACTAGCCATGCTTCAAAAGCATCTTTAATCTTGCAAAATAAAAGAATCAAAAATGATTTACTCAAAAATGCTTCTCAAAATTCTCCCCAAAATACGGCTCAAAGTAATCAAAAAGAAAACAATGATATTACCAAAAATAATGTAAATACAGATAGTGCTAACAATACAGATAACAATGACAATAAAGACAATATTAATGATACAAAAAAACCCATCTTACTAAATTTTATTACTAAAACTTTTAATTTCAACTCAAACTCAAACCAACTATCAAACTCAAAAGCCATAAAAAGAAATTTCTTATCATCCAAGGATTTTTTTAAAAACAATCAAAATAATAATAACAATAATGATAATAATAATAATGATAAAAATAATGATAATAACAAAGATAAAAATAAAAATAAAAAAATTGATTCTACTGAAGATGATGATGATTTTTTCAATTTTCAGTTCAAATTAAACGATCAATCTCGCAAATCAAAAAAAAATAGTAACAAAAACAATAATAGTGATGATGATGAATATGGTTTTAATTATTATAGTGATGATGATTATGGTGACGATGATGATGATTTTGGTAATTTTTCAATGGGCGAATATGGTCAATTATCAAGCAATAATAACCACCCTAATAACAATCATACTACTAATAATAATGATGATAATAATCTGTTGTTTGATTTTCCAAATCACATTGATGATACTAAAAGTGTAAAAAGCATAAAAAGTATAAAAAGTATAAAAAGTATAAAAAGCACAAAAAGCACAAAAAGCATAAAAAGTGATCATTCTTCTAAAAATATTCAAAAAATTAATCCAAATACTGAAAACAGTAATGAAAACAACAATGAAAATACAGATCAAAATACAGATCAAAAAAATAATGAAAACAGTAATGAAAACAGTAACGAGAATAGTAGCGAGAATAGTAACGAAAATAAAGATAAAAATATGAATGAAAATAAGGATAAAAATAAAAAAACCAATGGTTGGTTTTCATTTTTTTCTAAACCTAAATTAGATAATATTAAAACCGAAAATCAAATTCAATCAGATAAAATAGAAATTAAAAAAATTAAAGAAACACCCAATTCAATTTCAGATAATGTAACAAATACCAAACAAATCAATTTTCAAAATCAAATTAAAACCCCAAAAACCCCAAACAACTCAATTCCAGAAAAGAGTAAATCAACACCTTCTGAAAAGAAAATGGAAACAAAAATTGTTGATAAAGAAAAAGATAATACACCAAGGAAAATAAAGACAAAATTGAGTCAAATACCTTCTCTTAAAACACCAATCCAATCACCAAAGATTATAGTTAACGAATCTAAAATAGATAAAATTATAAATGATATAGAGAGAAAAAGGCCAGGGGATGAAAGAAAAAAAGGAAATGAGTCAGATGATGACTGGGGAGACTTTGCATCAATTTCTCCAAGCTCTTTACCTACCAAAGAAGAAGATTTTTCAAAAAGATTTATCAGCATAGATACTAATGCATTGAGTCCAATTTCATTGAGATTTGATATTTCTCATCACAATGGAAACGATAAAAATGCAAAGCGAAATGAAAGTGAAAGTGAAAATGGAAGTGATTCAATGGGAGAATTTCAATCCTTTACTGTATCCCCATCAAGTTCAAAAAAAGATATTTCTAATAATAATACTGGTAATAGTAATATTTTTCATAATAGGACTAGTAATTTATCAATGCAATCATTTGCATTGGAACCTAAAAAAACAATTAGATAATTTATAGATTTATAGATTTATAAGGTTTTTTTCAGCTTTAAGTTTTTTAAGTTTTTTAATTTTTTTAATTTTTCATTTCTTTTATCATTTGTTTTATTGCTTATTTCATTTTTGGATATTTAAATAAATCTGATTAAAGATTTGGCCATATAAAATTGGCTGTTATTCAGTCGATTAAAAATTGAAAAAAGCGGTATATTATATATTAAATTTGGAATGGAATAAAACAAGAAAATAAAATAAAATAATACGAAGCAAAATAAAACCAAAAAAAAAAAAGTATAATAAAGAGGTGGAGGAAAGAAAAGCATAAACAATAAACTAACAAAACAGAATAAAAACAATTAGATAAGATAAAAATAATAAGATAAGAATAATTTTAAAAAAAAAATCAAGTAAATTCAATTCAATTCAATTTATTACTTTGTAAAATTTCTTCTTGGAGGTAAAGCAGGTGGATCAAAATTTTCATTATTTGAAAAATTATTGTTGCTATTATTGTTATAATTTCCATATGGGTAGTGATTATAATTTCGGTTATAGTATTGATAGTTTGGGTAATTGTAGTTCCAATTTTGATTCCAATTTTGATTCCAATTTTGATTCCAATTTTGATTCCAATTTTGATTCCAATTTTGATTCCAGTTCGGATAATTTGGGTTATAATTTTGATTATGGTTCCAACTTTGATTCCAGTTTGGATGATGAAACCTGTTATAATCGTTATTGTTATTATTGATATAGTTATTGTTGGCAGAATTATAATATGAAGTCTGAGGAGGAGTGTTTTGTGGTGCTGTGGTTGGATTAGGATGTAAAGTTCGTACTTGTGAAGGGTGCTGGTGGTATGGATCATCGTGTTTTGACGAGGTAGAAAAAATTCTTCTAGAATAGTGAATTGGAGGAGCTGGAAATGCCCCTTTTAAAGTAGGGGGAGTGTTTTCATCATCAAAATCAAGATTTTCTGAATTTTGCATTGGAGCAGGACTATTACTAGTATTATTATGAATACTTATGCTGTTGCTATTAGCTGTATGTTGTGGTTCCATAACAGCAATTGTCAGTCTTTTAGGCAATGGAGGAGCAGGCCCTTCTACTTCGTTTGCATTTAAGTCTGAAGTAGCTGTATTGTTTTGTTGAAGTTGTTGGTGATTAGCACCACCGGTAGCAGAAAACATTGGAGTGAAGACCTCATTGTGTTTCAATGGGTCTAGCTCAGAATATGGAGGAGGTGGTTCATCGGGATGAGAACTGTCTTCCAGAAGAGTGTGGTTGTTGGTAACAGCCAGACCTTGGGTTGGGTTGTTGCTCATCTCAGGTTTGTTGGCAGAAACAGCAGAAAGAGGAGAAGCAATAGATAGCAAACAAGCAAAGTGTTTGGCACCAGGAAACTGTTTTTTATCAGCTGCATGGTCCACGCCGGTGGAACTGCAGCGCCTCGTGAGGCGGCGGAGGCTGGAGAAGCGTCTGGAACATTGCTCTATTGTTTGGAGAGAACTGTATTCAAGGGTCTGTACTGTTGATTGCAAAGTTCAAGAGAGTCTGTTTGCATCCACATCGCTGCCATCGTCACAAGGACCTGTGTTTATGGCATGGGCTCTTTGTCTGAATCAAACAGGCTCGGTGGGTTTTCTTGACAAAGGACCAAGCATAGTTTTGGTCTGCTGAGTAGTTTCTGCATACCAACCCGTCCATTATATGCTCATCACAACCCATAAAATTGTTCTATACTCGTCAGCAACAGGCCACTAAATCCAGGAAAGACAGCTCTGCGACTTTCTTTTTCGCTGCTTATGCATACGCACACATACAAAAACGTGAGCATCACATAGGAGAGGTCTGTTGTTTTTCTACATATTTACGCAGGAGCATTGTTCTATTATTTATCACAAAGAATTTAATTTGGTGTTGATTGGAATTTGATGTAGAATGCAATTTTGTCTCTTTGATCATGGCTTGAACAAGCGGCTACTGCTAAAATTGTTTTTACTTTGAAATTGAAACTTAATTGTTTTGTACCATAGAAAACAGAATCACCAGAAATCAAATCTCTTCAGAATAGGTCTTTGATTTTTCCGATGACACTAATTTGTCGCATCTATATTTGACCATTTTACCAAAAATAACACAATCTTAATCTCAAAGTAACTGAACACATTTTAGATGCTTTCATTTCTTGGTTTTGAATTTAAAATATCTGAGATCGCAATTCATTTCAATTTATAACAAAAATATTATTTTCTAGCCCAAAAACAAGAATAAGTTTAGATGACCTATTTTAGCAAGCTTTACCATAATATTCTTATTAACAATAATATGTTTCCCTTTTTATCTATTTTTGATCTTCTGATGAAATATTCGAATTTTTGAGAAAATATATCATTATTATTAAACTCAAAGTTCCAATAAAAAGAATACCATCAATAAAACCAAAGTGGGTTATGGTTTCAACATCCACCTAATCAGGATTAGATCCACAAAATTAATATAACCGCGATATTGGACCTCCGAGATCACGTTTTCAAGGGTGTTCTTAGGTCCAACTTCCGGTTTAATGTTCTTACTAGCGCTCGTTAGAGGCGTTTGGTATTTCGGTAAATCAGATCAGGTGAGAGTTCCAACTTTGAATTCATTTCAAACTGTTTGAAAATGTTTGACAAAAAAGGTTTGTGCGAACAATAGCAGTACTAGTAACACCTTTAGTCTAAAGAATTGTACATTCAATTGAAAAAACCAAAGTATCACCCAAGAAGCACACTACTCAAGAAGCAAGAAAACAAATTTGCTTTTTGAAATGATTTTTATTTGGTGTTAAAGTGGTTAAGTCTTGTGTATTTGGTTTGGGCAACGGACTATAGTGGCTTCACGAACGTCCGAGCTCGGATTGTGTTTTCCGGCCACACCTCGTGCAACAACAAGATTACATAAGTAAAATTTATTTATAAAGATGTAGAAAAAATGAGTGGTACGGGAATCGAACCCATGTCACATGCTTGGAAGGCAAGTATGATAACCACTACACTAACCACCCATGTTCTATGAAACATAAAAATTGGTAACAATATATAATATATATAATATTACATTTATAAGTACATTTTTATTTTGATATTTTAAGGTTTTTTTTTAATATTTTTTATTTCATCGCCTATTAGATTCTTTTATATTCAAGATCTCAATTTCATTTTACTTAATCGGCTTTTTTTTTCATTTTTAATTAACCTATAACTCAAATGCAAAACAATATAAACAGAAAATAAAAGTAATTCTATATAAAAAAAATAGTAATAAATAAAATAAATATAATAAAAATTAAAGCATTTTAATAAAAATTTTATTTTGTCTTTTTGTTTAAAAACCTAAATACCATTAAACGTAAATCAATATAACCATTTTCTACAAAATTTCATATGACTTTTGATTTCAGCAAAATAATGTGCTGAATGAACTATATAACATTATTATAACACCAAACACGCAAATAAACAAACTTAAATATCTTGTGATATAATGATTGAAAACTGAGGGATCTTCATCTGATTCATCCAGGTTTTGAAATGATTTATAATGTAACAATGGTGGGAAAATATAAATTAATGGAATGCATGTAAAAGATCCAATCAATGAAACAAATTTATCTAAATCATTGTTACCAATTAATGAAATTAAAGCAACCAAAATTGTAAAAATCACTCTAAAGATATTTTTCTTCCACTTGATTGAGTTGTCATATTTCCCGCTATATTTACTAGAGAAAAAACTTGTTTCTAAAATTCTAATTGCAGGAAACAATTGCAATGGAGTTGACAATAATATCGCTAGAGGATAAATGAAAATAATAAATTTTGAACTATTAGATTCCTTGGGTAAATTTAAAAAAATAATTGTCTCAGTATTTGATCCAAATGCCATATAACAAAATGCTCCAATAGATACAAAAATCAATGAAATGATTATAAATACAATTCCAAGAGCCTTTGGAAATTCTTTTGGTTTTTTCATTGATTCTTGAATTGGAATCAATAATCCCACTCCTTCGTATGTGAAAATGGCTGTTCCAATAAAGATAGTCCAGCTTTGAGGATTAAATAGCTCATAATCTGGTTCGTAGTCCGAAACCAATTTAGAAAATGAATAAACATAAATATAAACTATCCCAATTAAAATAAAAATTTCAGATATTACAACTAAAATTGTTAATTTGGAGATTTTTCTTATTAATGATACAGGCATTAAAAAGAGTAGTTGAAAAAGTATAAGAATTGCAATTGAGTATTCTAATTCAAAATATTGTTTGAAAAATGCTTTGTAATTTTGAGCAACAAATACAATGTAAGCACTTGAAAATCCAATTTGCGATAAAATCAAACAAAACGAAATCAATCTTTTAAAGTATGATCCATATAATTTAAACCCAATTTCTCCAAAACTTTCTGAATCAGTTTTAACTTTGACACATATTAATAGAAGAAAACACCAATAAGACAAAATTCCTAAAAAACACAAGATAAATATACTGAATAGCAATCCACCATTTAAAAACCCCTTGGGCAAAAATACAATACCAGTTCCAACAAATGCCTTTAAAAGAAGTAGAACCGATTTAAATGTTGAAATGTTAGAAGGCGATGTGGAGATCCTTTTATGTGCTTCATTACGTAACAATGGAAACGTTTCATTTGGAAAAATCAAATTTTCACTTTGAATGTTCTGTTGAAATTTCAAAATCTCTTCTTCCTCGTCAGATAGCTCTTCACCAGCAAAATGTTCTAACAAAACTAAGTATTCAATGAAATTTTTTGTAAAGAATGGTGGTTTGGCGGTGTTACCAACATTTCTAAATATGTTATTGTTATTGTTATTATTATTATCGGCATTATTGTTGATATTATTACTGTTATTAATGTTACTGTTACTATTGTCATTAAAGCTAGTATGACTGAAATCACCATTATCAATACTTTGTTGGTGTTTTTGAGCTAAATGATCTCTTCTAAAACCACCAATAACTTTCATATCACTTGCAGTGATGTTTATGCTGGAACCATCACCATTGTAATTGGATGCAGAAATTGATTCACTGAACGAGGATGCTCTTCTGTTTCTTTTTTGTTGCTGTTGTTTATTATTCCAATTGTACAAGTCTCTTGTCATGTCTCCACCTTGTAGACTCAAAGAATTAAATTGCGAGTTATCTTCATTCAAAACAGATGAGCTATCGTTGACCAAATGCTGACTAACGATATCAATAACAGATTGGTTGGGATTTTGGATATTTACAGAAATGTTGGATACATTTGAATCAAAGTTGGTAAAACTATTAAGATTATGACGGGTGGATAAAGAAGCAGAGACAGGTATAGATGAAACCTCTGGAATCTCTTCGTTTATTATATTATTTTTGATTATGTGAGTATTACTGTTATTTCTATTGGTATTCTCGTTATCAGCATTGTTTTTATTATTTGTAGGATTATCACTGTATGGAAAATTGCTGTTTGCGAAAGTGTTTTGATTTGTGATTGTGTCGTCGGATTCAGGAGAAGCAGACATTAGCAACGAAGAGTTCTTGAAACTCTGTGAAAGCATTGAGTGTTTCTTTGGTCTGTTGTTTGCTATGCTACTATTGAAGCTGATGAAGTTGTTGTTAAAGTTGTTGCTGAAGTTGTTGTTGTTGAAGTTGTTGAAACTGTTATCTGTGTTAACCTGGGGTGAGGGCTCAACGGCTGGGGGAATTCTGTATCCACTGCTGTTCAAGTATCTAGCAGAGAGAATCTCGTTGTCTCTATCATAAACACTGCTGAAGGTTTCATTTGGCTTGGGTATGGGCCTGGACATTTTTCTGTAGGATATTCAGTGGGCAAGAAGAGAGAAAGAAGAGAGGTAATCTCAAGCAAGAGCCTGAAAAAAATTAATTAAAAAAATTTGTCACCGGACTGAAAAGTTTATCTCAGACATTCTCTCTGCGGAAAAGATTGGTAATACAGATCTTAATACAAATGTCAATACTGCTGCAAATACATTGGTTTCGAGAGATATAAGAAGGACAGAACCGGGCTTTTATTTATATACCCCAAGAGTTCCAACACAACAATGAGTGAGGATCAAAACCAGGGCCAGGCTGGTGCTAAGGACAGGGGCAACAGCAACAGCAGCAGCAACAGACAAGCCAACAACCCCAAAACCACAGAAAAGAGAAAGAACACCAATAATCGAAGCAGGAGAGGAAACAAACTGTTTTACGATGGTTTGGAAAGAAACCAAGTGTTCAAATTGCAGGAAATCAAGTATCTCATCCAGGAATTCGCTCCCATCACAGTAAATGGCAAGGCCATTCAGACCAGCACAGGCTCTCAAAGAGATGAAATGAACACTGATGAGAGAACAACGGATGGAAATCAGTCGAAGAATTCGAATAAGAGAATTTTGAAAATGATCAAAGAGATTCTCATAAAGAACAACGACAGTGTAATGTATTTGACGTTGTTAGTCAAACCCAGCGATCCTGATTTCATCTACGATTTGGACAGTTTGAAGATCAATTTAAATATTCCAGTCAATTATCCAATCGCAAAGAAAAAAAATGGCAAAAACAGACCAAGTATAGTGGTTTTGAATGACAACATACCGAGAGGATTTTTAATGAATATTGAATTTGGATTTAAAGAGCTTGTGAATCAAATTGTTAATGAGACGAATAAAAACAAAAATAAACATAAAAGCAAAGAGAAGGATAACAATCAAAAGTCTTTTTTTAAACTAGTTGGAGGTAATAATCTACTTGGGATGATTAAATCTTTGGATTGTAATTTGGAAACGTTTTTATCTCAGAAAGAGAGCACAATAGTATCGGTTAGTAATTTTAGTTCTACATCAATAGACTCAAAAAATAATAAAATAAAAAGCAACCGGAAGGAAAATGAAACTGATAAAAAAAATATTGGCGCTGTTCATGATAACGATTTTAAATATCAGAATAATAATAATAATAATAACATTGATAGTAAAACTAGTAATCATATGATTAATGATAGAAGCATTGATGGTTTTAATTATATCAATAAGAGAAAGAAAATAATTGAAAATACGTTATACAAGATTCAAAAGGATCCAAGTATTAAAATGCTGTTACTCAATTCCGATGATTTTACTAAAATTCAAACATACAGATTGAATTGTAACAATGTCAAAGTAAAGTTGAATATTCCGGTAATATCAAGACCAATTACAATAGAGGAGTTTGAATTTAATAAAAGTGGCAATGGTAGTAATAATAGTAATAGTAATGCTATTAATGATAAGAAAAACATTGTTGCAAATTTTAATAAAAAAGCGATAGAGTTCAACCAAGAACTTGAGAAGGATATTACAAGTAACGAAACAAATGCATCATTAATATTCCAGATTAATTATTTGCTTTCAAATTTATCTTGTTTATCCAAACCAGAAAATGAATTTGAAAAATTTGAAAAATTGAAAAGGGCATTTCTTTTAAATTCTCTAAAATAAATAGTCTAATGAATTTCTATAATAAACAATTTTTTTTTTTTACTTTTTTTTTTAAGTTTATTCCTTTGTGTCTACGATAACTGTAACAGGACCATCGTTAACCAAACTCACATCCATCATTGCACCAAAGACACCATCTTTAATTTTTTCATCTGAATTGATGTCCTTCTTCAATACACCTAGGAAATCATCATATAAAGCCTTTGAAAGTGTGGAATTCATTGCATTGTGGAAATCTGGTTTGGTTCCTTTTTTAGTTTTAGCAAATAAAGTAAATTGAGAAATTGACAAAATTTCGCCATCAACATCTTTAACGCTTTTCTTCCAATGTGGAGCATTTAAGTCATTTTCGTCAGTTTTGAATAGTTTCAAGTTGACGATTTTTTTGGATAGTTTAATGCAATCTTCGTTGGAGTCGTTTATTCCAATTCCAATTAGTACAAGTAGACCTTTACCAATTCTTAAAAGATTGTTAATAGATAAAATTTAAAAGCAAATTGAGTTTTGTTGTAAAGAAATGAACAGCTGAACATACGACGACACTAGTTTCCCATCAACGCTTACTGAAGCCGATTTAACCTTTTGGATGACAGCTTTCATTTAAGTTGTGGATAATTCTAATTGATTTAATTGATTTTAATTGATTTTAATTGATTTTAATTGATTTTTATTGATTTTTATTAAATTCTGGCAATCAAAATGTATCAGACGTGGTGTTTTCTGTGGGGGTTCTCAGCTTAAAAATCAGAAATTTTATAATCAGAGATTTTACACAGTTGAAATATCTGAAATACACCAAACAGATTGTGTTGCACGAGGTGTGGCCGGAAAACACAATCCGAGCTCGGACGTTCGTGAAGCCACTATAGTCCGTTGCCCAAACCAAATACACAAGACTTAACCACTTATGAAACGAAAATTGTGTTTCCGCAAAAAACATTTAATTCACAAATACGTTGATGAAGATTGCAATCCAAATAATATAAATATGATCACTAAATAGCTAGATAGAAATAAAATAAACCAAGAGGAAAAGGAAAGAGAAGTCTACTAAGTCATGAGCACTAGAAGAAATCTCTATCCTTCCTTCGACGACTGTCAACCTGACAGCATCCAAGTCAAGAACNCTGATAGTGATAACGAAAGGGAACTTGATACTTCACCAATGGCTTCCAAAATCAATGAATTAAATCAGAGAGTTGAGTTAATTGAATCGAATATTGCATCCGGATTTAAACGACTAGAATGAATGCTTGAAAGTGTATTAACTCGTAACGAACGGCCGGAAATCGGTTATGTGCGGATTGCTTATCTTATACGTACATTTCCTATCCGTATCTCGAATACGGATAAGTTTTGCTATAAATGGTCGGACCAAGTTCCGTTCGCTTGACAAAACTAAAACAACAAATTATTCTCTTCTTTTTCTTTGACCATCGAGCTCGAATCAGCAGCAAAAGTGCACGTGATTGTCCAATCAAAAATCAAAAATGAAGGATGCGAGGTTCGAACTCGCGCGGGAAGTCTCCCAGTAGATCTTAAGTCTACCGCCTTAGACCACTCGGCCAACCCTCCAAGTAACAGTCCTAGAAGTCACATGATAATATCCGAGTAGCCAATAGGAGCTCGGTGTGGGGTATTCTATTTGTTTTGTACCTGCGTTTTTGGTCTGAAATTGTTCTCTCAACCAAGCACCAGGAAAGTATTTTCTATTAGTTGCAATGTTTTGGTGAAGGTGTTAAATTCAGACCAATTAGTAGCTATCAAAAACATCTGGGACAAGATCTACCTACATTGGCTGATAATTAACGTACTGAGTTGATTGTTCGTTCAATGGTCGTTTCCTAATCAACATGCATCGCTTTTTGGAACCAATGCCACGCACAATTCTTCATTCATTTTTACTGGTTTATGGTTTAAACTGAAAGAATCACTGCGATCGAAATTCTGGATTTGTTTTTTTTTCTTTTTTTCGCTAGAAAATGAACATTATAAATGCAATACTTAACTCCATTTTTTTTTCTGATATATTGTTTAGTTATTTTTTTATTTTGATTTTCTTTATAAAACCTCATAATTTTTAATATTTTTACTCAATTGACAATTCTATTTATTATTTGCTGGAAATTGTTTAAAAATGGGCTCTGATTCTACCATCAAGAACGATAAACAAATCAAGGAAAATGTGAAAGAAGTGAAAAAGAAAGTGAAAAAAGAAAGACAAGTTGAAAATGCTGAGGATTTTTTATTCAAACGTTCAATTCCTGTTCCTGATGATTTTGTGAAAGTCCAAGGCATTGACTACTTCCAACCAAGTGCATTTAATATGAACGCAAAAGATTTGGTAAAATCAATGAGAACTACTGGCTATCAAGCAAGCTCTCTTGGAAAAGCTTGTGAAATTATCAATGAAATGAGAAAATGGAGAGGTAAACACATCTCAGAATTATCTGATGAAGAAAAAACCAAAGGTAAATTCGATGAAAAGGGTTATCAGAGAACTACAATCTTCTTGGGCTACACTTCAAATTTGATCTCTTCCGGTTTAAGAGAAACTATTAGATATTTGGTTCAAAATAAATTTGTTGACATCTTGGTTACAACTGCTGGTGGTATCGAAGAAGATTTAATCAAATGTCTTGGTTCAACTTATTTAGGTGATTTTAGCTTACCTGGGAAACAATTAAGAAAAGATGGCATGAATCGAATTGGTAATTTAATTATTCCAAATGATAACTATGTGGAATTTGAAAATTGGATCAACCCAATTTTAGATCGAATGTTAATTGAACAAGAAGAAGCTGCTGCAAAGGACCCAAAGTTTCTTGAATATGGCACTAAAAGCTTTTGGACCCCATCAAAAATGATTGCTAGATTCGGTAAAGAGATTAATGATGAATCAAGTGTCTTGTATTGGGCTTATAAAAATAAAATTCCAATTTTATGCCCCGCTATTACTGATGGTTCAATTGGTGATATGTTGTTTTTCCATACCTTTAAAAAATCCCCAAAACAAATTAGATTGGATATTGTTCACGATGTTCGTATTATAGATACCGCTGCCATTGAGGCTAACCATGCTGGTATGATAATATTAGGCGGTGGTTTGATCAAACACCATATTGCTAATGCTTGTTTAATGAGAAATGGTGCTGATTATGCTGTTTATATCAATACTGGTCAAGAATTCGACGGTTCAGATGCTGGTGCAAGACCCGATGAAGCTATTTCTTGGGGTAAAATTAAAGCTGATGCTCTTCATACCAAAGTTTATGTTGAAGCAACTGTTGCTTTCCCATTAATTGTTGCAGCCACTTTTGCTTCCAAAAAACCCAAAGCAATCCGTGGCTCTTCTCGTTTATAGAGGTTTTGTCTTTTGTTTTTTTTACTTTATTTTGTCTTATTTTTATTATTATTAGAATTTACATATAAATGAACTTTTTAAATTTGTTTTTTTATAAAAGGACGTTATGTTCATTAAAACCAGTGGTTATCATTGTGTGTACAATAAATAAACATACTAATTACTCCATTTGATGTAAAATGCATTTTTATCAAAAGATTTAATAATAAATATTATTTTTTAGGTAATTGCATAATCGTTGCAGATATTTATGGTTTATTGAGGTAAAAATTATTATCAGATCTGCTTCAAAGCTCTTCTGTGAAAAATACTTGGAAAAAAAAAAGCAGGTAATACTTTCACTAAGAAAGTTCTAAATAAAACAAAAAAAACAAAACAAAGCTATTCTTTTAAATTAAAATAAATTTGAAATATTATTTCTAACGATGGGTTTATAATTAGATAAGAATCAACTATTCATGAGGTTTTTTAATTTTTCTAATACATTGGTAATACTATTGTTTGACTAAGGATTATGCTTACTAGTAATAAGAATATACATTTAGCGGAATAAAAAAAGGAACGGATAAATTGAATATATAGCAATCAAAGTAGAAAAACGAATATTGCTATTTTAAATTTGGAATCAAACTTAAAATATTTCTTTAGAATATCAAAATCAGATAAAAAGTGATCAATAATCCTGGATTAGAAATAACAAAGAATTTTACAAAACAGCAAATTGTCATTTCCAAGAGAAATATAAAACTAATTTGTATTTAATGATTTATCTATGCCAATGTAAAAGACTTTGTAAAATATAGAAAAAAAAAAGAAAAAAAGATAGTTTGTTCTTAACATCGGAATTATACATTATTGAAGCATAATTCTTTGTTCAAGTGAGTAAACATTGTTCTAGTTTCAATAGGACAATATTGGCTACATTGAAACTCCAACTTGGTTGCAAATAAACATTTGCAGTTTTTATACTCATTTGTTGTGTGGTAGAGATTTTCTTCTTGATATCCATTGTATCTGCCTGAATAATCTTTATTGTTTTTGCTGCTTTCAAGACAGTTGTAAAAAAAATCATCCAGAACATTTTCATAGCAATACTTATATTCAACACAGCATTTTTTTAAAAAGTAATCTTTTTCTTCTTGGATTCCCACTAAAAGATGATCTTGGTTGTTATTTTCCATAGTATGACTATTATTCAGATTGGCACAAGCAAACAAAGAATTTAACAAGAAAAAAGAAACAAATAATAGACTTTTTGAAATAATCATGTTCATCATGGTTGTAATTGAAAACCCAGGATATAATGCAACTCAAAATAGAAACAACAGCAACCGAAAAGCAAAGGATATAAAATGTAGACCTTTAGTTCTTTAGTTTTTTATGAAACTCGCTGGAGTCTATTTAAAATAGGAAATAGTGTGTAGTAATACACTTTTATCTGAGACGTTTTAATACTTTCCAGTCTCACCACAGAAAGATAAAAAGGCATCCAAGCTCATTTTCGACTGAAAAAATCGCAAAAAGATACACAGCAACTCTTTTCTTCCGCCACAAACAAGCTCTGCGCCCTTTCCAAAGTGGAACATGTTCAGTGAAAGCCAGTTCAAATAAAAGAGGTGTTTATTTCTTGCAAAAGATGCAGATACTTGCAGTTTGACATGTTTCTTTCTTCCAATTTCGATTCTTTTTGACTGGTCTCAACTTTGTACTTACAACAAAAGCTTAAAACATGATACAAATAGTAAACTCTTGTGCCCTGATATATTTATCCAATTCAATACAATCTACAACAACAGAAAAAATCTTTTGCACGTCTATTGGTTCACTAGGTAATACTCTCTTGTGTTTTGTGTTAGCTACTTTTGTTCTTTTTAGTAACCTCATGACCAGTCTGTTTGGCCTAGGTGATAAATAATTTTATATGTGCTTTAAATACAATCTGTAAACTGGATTATATACTGCGATTATTGGTTTTCCATATAAATTTAGAAGGGATTTTGGAATGGATCTTTCAAAATGAACAACTGTTTTATTATCCGGATTCTTTCATGCATAAACAATCATCTATACGCACTAATTTCAAAGTATCGCTTTGTTATACAGACTTACGTGCAGCTAAAAATAATTGTCTTTTGAGTATCACCAAATTGCAAAATCCTTTCCCGTTTACTAAAGGATTTGAGATGGCAAATCCTGCATTGCCTAAAATTGTCTATCTAACGGTCTATTGTTTTCAGGGCTGTTATTAGGGCGCTGGTAAGGGGGATCCATCAGTGTCATCTGATATGGTTTGCAAACTGGAACATTTTGGTAAACTTTATTAAGCTAGAATTTCAATAATTGCAACTGTCAAAGTTTGCTAATTTCATTCATCAAACACTAAAAATATACTATACATTAAACTACTTCAATCCTCTTTCCAAGAAAAGGTATTCTGAGCATAACTCACTTTTCAGATTGGAGCAAAGAATAAATCCAAGCAAAGATTTTGAAATTGAAATCATTCAAATGGCTAAAAAACAAGCGAATTTCCTCTACTTCAAGCAAATCAAATCGAAATTTAGACCAGCAAAGTTGTTAAAACAAATTACAACATATAAATAACTTGATTTCTGCTCCTGAATCTTGCTATTTTCTCTGTAGTATTCAACTTTTTTCCTTTAGTTTTTAATTTTTTTGTTGAAATATTGTATTTTTTGCATTAACTAAGTATTTTTTTTGAATCAATTAATAATCAAGTATAACGAAACAACAACAACACATCAATCAATCAATCAATCAATAATGGCTTCGATTCCTGATACCTCATATATCTCTGAGGATAACGGTTTAAAATCTCCTCGTGCACACAGATATGATTCAGATCCAAATAATAACGAAAAAATATTTGGTTTATCCAATTCACTACGAAATTATTTGGTTGTAATAATTGGCGAGTTCTGTGGTACTTTTATCTTCTTGTGGACTGCTTTCATGATTGCTCAAATTGCCAACCATGATATTATACTAAACTCTATGTTAGATGTAGAACGTGGTTCTTCTCCAGCCCAATTGATTATGATTTCCTTTGGTTTCGGTTTCGGTGTCATGGTTAGTGTGTTCTTATTTTTCAGAGTATCTGGCGGTAATTTTAATCCAGCTGTCACTGTCACCTTGATGCTAGCTGGTGCTGTTCCACTAGTAAGAGGATTGTTAATGATTTTTACCCAAATGGTTGCTGGGATGGCTGCTGCTGGGGCTGTTAGTGCCATGACCCCCGGTGAAATTTTATTTGCTAATTCTTTAGGTGGTGGTTGTTCGAGATCCAGAGGTCTTTTTATTGAAGCATTTGCAACCTGTATCCTCTGTGTAACGGTTTTAATGATGGCTGTTGAAAAACATAGAGCAACCTTCATGGCTCCATTTGCCATTGGAATTGCTTTGTTTATTGGTCATTTAATCTGTGTCTATTATACAGGTGCTGGTTTGAATCCTGCTAGATCCTTTGGCCCTTGTATTGCAGCAGCTTCTTTTCCTAACTATCATTGGATTTATTGGCTTGGTCCATTTCTTGGTTCTTTCCTTGCTTTTGGTATTTGGAAATTATTAAAACTCTTGCATTACCAAACCGCTAATCCTGGACAAGATGATGATGGATTAGAAATATACCACCAGAGATCGATTGTTTAATTCCAATCACAGACCTATTTTTTGCTATCAATCTGATAAAACTAAACATTAACAACTACAAAACCAAAAAAAGCTCATAAACTATCCTTTTTTTTTCATTTTATCTATTTTTGTATTAATAAATTTTTATACTTTAATAAATTTTTATAAACTTTTTAAAAGATCTGTAACCAAAAATATCTTTAATTTCCACATCCTAAGCTATTATAAACACATTTTCTTCCTATTAAAACTTTCAGCTTAAAAGATAATCAGCTGAAAAATATAAAATCATCAAGACTTCAATAAACAACAAAATCATTTCTGTTGATCAGTATTCTATGTCGATATTCATGTTTTGGTTCATGATAATATTGACAAAAATTTAACAATTAAATCTTCTCACTTTACCTTTAATAATCAAATTACTTAAAATCAAACTAAGTAAAATTACCTAGAAAATTCTTTTGTTTTTGATTCACCCGCTTTCTCCCTTTTTTTTATCATAAACATAATTTTAATTAAACTTTATCAATTTAGAATTATAATTAGCTTCAATTAATATCTCAAATCCAGGTAGCAGCTTTTTTACTTCAATACTGTTTTTAGTCACTATCAAAACTATTCGACTAATAACTTTCCAAAAAAATCGATCTCGCTGTAAATGTAAGATATTTTTTAAGTCAGAATTTCTCAAATCCAATACATTGAATTATAAAAAAAAGTCTAGTTTTAAAAAGCTTCTACCTATTATTTATAAACTGGACTAAAACAATTTGTGAACCAGAAATAAACAAATAAGCATTTAAAGAATCTTTTAAAAATAATCAAAACCAATAGTTTGCAAAAATTTATAAAATAAAACCATTAATTAAAGATTAACTTATTGAAATAAAGTGCCAGAATAAGAATAATAATGGAATTAACACCAGGTGAATTTTTAGTGACAAAAAATTTATACCTTTGCTTTAAAACATTATTTATCAGTTGGAAAAAAAATATAACCACCTTTTTTCAACTAAAAATTTATACTTTATCACAATTTCTTACTATCTTAAAGATCTGCAAAAAAAGCAACATATAATAAGAGAAAATGTCACGTTATCCGAATAAAAACTTATTTATAAATATAAATTTAAATATATCACAATATTTAAAAAATATATGACGAAATGATTAATCATCAAAATTACAAATAGAAATACCGCTAACAAAAAAGCATTTTGAATCAATTTCAGTAAAAATTGCTCCATGTAGTCTTTTTGTTATCAGAAGAAACAACCGGACACTTTAGACATTCATTAATGCAGATAATAAAAATGAGCATTATCGATGAATTAAATTTTAACTTAGAGATATCAAGTCTCCAAAGATGTTGATGATGAACAAAAACTTTTATTTATTACTTTAAGCAAATTTTTTCGTTGAAAACTTTAAAACCATCAAAAGTAGAGAATATCAGATTTGATTGAGTCACATTTAAAAAAATAATCCAATCTGAAAGTCATTGAAATAGCATCCAAAGGTTAACATATTCAAAACATAGATAATATTTTGTTTTATCTGCAGTTTTTTAATTAAAAATATTTGAATTTTAGGAAGTAAAACATATACATTTATAGTTCAGCTATCTGTGTCCTCATACTTATTGACAAATTATATTACAAATGCACTCCTTTTGATATATCAAAATATGTATGATTCGAAAATCTTCTATTTTTCAAATCTATCCATCTTATATTTAATCATTCAATCCTTTAATAAATCTTTTTTTAAATCAAATTAAAATCCAATTAATCCAACAGCAGCATTTTATAACAAATTAATGTAATAACACATAATTTTTTTTAACTTTTGAACTATCAAACAAAAATTCTCTGTTCTGATAACAGAAAACTGGAAATTTTTGTCAAAGAAAACCTTTTGAGTTCTTTAAAATAATCTTCTGAAAACTAAACATTCGATAATTAATACAAAATTTTAAACTTTATTAGCAACTTAAATTTTATGTATTTTGTCAATGTAATGAAAATCTATCAACAATCTAGTAACAAATCTTGATCTTTATCAAAGTCATTATTTTGAAGATTCGTATATGTGAATCAGTTTTTCATTTTTTGCTTTAACAGCTAGCATTAGTCTATGAGGATGAAAAATCATATTATTAATGAACATATTGCTGGAAAAAAACTTCTTATTAGGAATTTTAATTGTTTGAAGCAATGCTCCTTGAATCCCCCATAAATCAACATTTGCACTGCCTGTTGCCATAATTGGTGCATGTTCATGAATTGCAAAAGCAGACATCCCTCTATAGTAGACTTTGACTTGATTGGTATTATTATAGGATTTAGCATAATTATATGTGTTGTTTCCTCTATTACTATCCAAATTTCTATCAATAGTCGATTGAATATTATTAATGGACAATCTATTAACTGTTCCACTGAGTTCACCATCATCAGTTTCCTTTTTCACTCTTTCTTCCAATGAAAAGGCTTTAAATTCAACAACGGGTTGATCAGATCTAATATCCCATAACTGAACGATTCCATTAGTAGAACCACTAGCCAATTCTCTATTTCCTCCGCGTTGAAAATGAATCTTTTGAATCCAATTTCTTTTCTTTTCAACATTGGATGAATAACCTTTCCATTCTTTGACCATTGAAGTTTTGGACTCCATTCTTTTATCATAAATTTTAATATCACCATTCTCAAAACCGGCTGCAATAATATTTCCTGCAACATGATCAGAAGTAAGTGATGTGACATTTTTAATAGATCTTACAGGAATCGAGTTTATACACATCTCTTTTTGAACGTCCCAAATTTTGACGTGACGAACATCACCACTAACCAATAAATTGCCGGTACTTTGTTGCCAATCCGTAATTAGCCCTACCGAATATTGTCTTTCTTGCGAGTCATTTAATGCTCTCCATGCTGTGACTAGTTTTGCGGAATCAGCTAATTCAAAATCTCTGTATATTTTGATCACACCATCCGAAGAACCAACAAGCAAAATAGATTTATCATCTTCGTTTAAAAATTTAATATCTGTTATTTTGCTTCCAATTGGATTGTTATTTGAAAAATTGGATAAGTCCTCGTTTTTATTCCAATCCCACAATTTGACTATATTTTTATCATCTGCAGTAACAATCCAGTTTTCAAACTGAGAAAATTCAATCAAACGAGGTACGGACTGATTATCAATTGTGACTTTGAGATTCGACCAATCAGATTTTAAAGCTTTTTCCTTTTGTGACTGAGTCTCCTCAATGATTTCCATATTTCTATTTCTTCTCCAATCCTTGGATTGCTGGTCATCAACATGATAGCCAAAATTTCTCAAAGTTGACTTATCTTTTTTAAGTTGAGGATAGTGAAAATACTCTATTGAAAAGTCAAGAAACTTTGATTCTAAGGGAAGCTTAGGAATTGTTCTCATATTGTCAACTGCTTCAAATCTTGCCAAATGAGGTATATAGGTTTTTTTCAGTCCCTCATTCGATTCGTCTAATGCAAAATCAGGAATGGTAACATCAGCATAGCTCTGAGTAATTTTGGACCTAGAAACTCCAAAGGATTTTTCATTTTCGTGCCCGTTTAGGTTATTTTCGTCATTTTGAAATCCCGAAATGTGTTTAAAAAAATTTTGGATTGACAGTGATTTTCTTATAATATTGGAAGTTATTGTTGAAGATAATGTAGGTGGCAATTCTATCTCACCAATTGAATTAGAAGATAAGTGATGTTGTGACCTAAATGATACAGTTCTTTTTAAAGAAGGTTGTGGCTGCGAGAAAGAGTGGTTATGTCCATTTTTATTCATTGACCCAACATGTCTTAGTTTTTTGACTGGAGATTGGCTAAATTTAGTGATTAATCTTTCTCTAAATTCGTTAAATCTTTCTCTGTATGCTTTGTTGTTAATCAATTGTGTTAAAACATACTGAATAACAGTTTCTGATAAGTTTCTAATCTCATAATGAGGATCCGCAGCTAAAATAAGAAGAAACTTCCATAGGGCACTATAAATTGATCCATAATTTGGAAATTTCTTTCTAAAATCATTAACTTCTTTAATTCTTTCAGTCAAAACGACTTCCTCATGCATCGAAGTATAAGCAGTAAAAACAAAAAAGTCCAGATATTTGTATACATACTTGGATAGAAAAACAACCATTTGTTTTCTAACCATTGAGCTACCATCATACATGGCTTCAAGTAACAGTTTGGCAATAATTACATCTGCTTGTTTTAATTCAGCTATTTGAGCATCGTTTGGAACATTATCTCCTAGATCATCATCTAACAAAATATAAGTTGCAAAACCATAAACAATCGATGCTCTAACTTCAGGAATTGTTGTTTTCTTGAATATTTCAATAATCTTTGGAATAATTTCCATTTTAAACACCAAAAATTTAATAGAGAATAGCATTGACCATATTTGACTTAAAAACAAGCCACACCAAACTTTTAAGGATTGAGAGTTTGAGTTCTCCAAAAACCAAACAATTTTTTCTATTAAATGAATTTGACAAACACACTCCTGGGCAATAGTATTTTGTCTCATAAACAAAGTTAATACAAATACAGGCAAGCAAATTTGGTTATCAGTTAGTCCTGTGTCGGGCGCATACTTCAAAATAGGCATTAAATCAACCTTTTTTGGTTTTGGAAGAGAATACTCATTTTCTGAATATCTCAGAGACGCAAAATTGCTCTTCATATTAGGATTCAAAATAGAACGCCTAGGAAAATTTGGTAATAATTCTGAGCCTTTTTGGTCTCTTTGAGTATCTCCAAAATTTTGTTTTGATTGGAATTGCATTTTGCTCATTCTAATTTCGTTCACAGTCCTGATATAAAATGAGTTTTGTTGTCTTGTGAGTTCTGGTTTTAAAGAAAATTCAGGTATAATCATTTCAATAAAGGCTTCATAATTTGCAGAACAGTTTGACATTAAATCTATTTGAACGACATGATGATAGGAGGCCATAATTTTGGCCCATATAAAAGACAATAAGGGTTTAAACTCATTACTAAAAAACTTTAGAGATTTCATGATGCAAGGCAACAAGATACTTTCTAATACAAGAGAAACAGCCCAAGGACCTAAATCAACCATTTTGGCTATTAGAAATAAAGAAATAAGTCTATAACTAGGAGTTGGAATTAAATGAACTAGTAAATAAAATTGAGGAACCGGTTTTCTATTAAAACTTTCATAATCAATCCAATATTCTAAAGCTTCAAGTTGAGTTTCAAAAAAATCTGTAAATACAAATTTTGGTTGAAGTGATATAACCTGGTAGGTGTTGAGAGAGTATTTTTCTCTTATTGAACATGTTTTGGATAAAAACTGCTCAATGATTAAATCCCATTGATCCCAAACTGGATGAATGTGAAGGTCTGGTAATGGAGGTTCAGAAATAGGATTAACATTATAATATTTCATGATTCTTTGGGCTAACAAGAAGTTTCTAAACATTGCATTGCACATTAGATCTTGTCTGAAACATCTTCTGTATAAACTTTTTAAGACAGTAGATGCAGCCAACATATCTATAAGAGCCACAAATATTTGATATAAAGTGCCCAATGAATCATCTCTTTGATTATATTCACCATGATAACCAAAATCTATTTTATAGTTTCTGTGTTGATCAGGATTATCACTGCTTTCATCTACTTTGATATAATCATATAGCGACTCATAATATTTTCTTAGGGGAGATTTGAGAATGAAAAATCTTATACTCATTTCAATAGGAGAGTTTAAACAACAAGTAAACAAGTCTGCAGGCAAATCAGGATGAGAGGGAAGATATTCGTCTTCTTTGCAAGCAGCAAACAAAAAACTTTCTGTGTACATCATACTTTTGTAATAATCGAAAATAGGGTCAGATTCTTTGGAGGGAGAGGGATTATCCAACTCATTTTGAGCTGCTCTTTTATAGGAGCTGATTGCACGACCGGAAAAGGTTGAATCAAAGACGAAAATAGCAGGGCAACCAATCCAATTTTGCAATTCTGCTACTGACATGGGAACATATTGGTTATATTGTTTATTAAATAGCCAAAAATCACCAACCTCATCTGGATAGGGGACGCCATGACCGTTATAATACAAAAATAGTCTAAAAAACAGAGGTCTGCTATTAACAATACTGTTGATTTTATTATTAATAGTTTTATTATTGGTAGTATTGAAATTGTTAAGGTTGTTAATGTTATGATTGAGGTTATTAAAGCTAATAAAGTTATTATCGCTATTATGATTGTCACCATTATTTTTATAAACGTAGTCTAAATATGAAGCGATTGTACTATTAGCCGGTTGGTTGCCTGAGGTAAAGGCTTGGTGGGCATGACGTTTCCAAACCTGTATATTTTTTTTAATATCATCAACATTCGGGTCTTCATGAGATCTTAGCATGGTAGACCTTCTATTGAATCTATTGAAAAGATCGGTGATTTGCCTGCATATAAAAATGGTGGCATCTTTTGGGTCTGAAAAAGTTGAGGGATCAATCCAGCCTTCTAGAGTTGAAGAAGGGTTAATTTTTTCAAAAGGAGGAGGCGGAACCACACCGATTTTTAAACAAGTTAAAACTCCTCCAACTGGAGTTGAAGTTTTAGATTCATGGAATCTCCAAACATTTTCAGGGAGGATCTTATAATAGTTGGATCTTATTTTTTTTTCCTCTGGAGCAATTGGATTACTATTGTCCAAATAAGTTTTACTTTCGAAATAAAAGAAAAAATTTTTGAATGATTTTTGAATATCGGAAGTTGTAAAACCATGTCTTAACACCATGTTATCGGTATCATTGAAAGGTTGCTGATTAATGGTTGCATTATCAAAGCCGTTTATATGATTGATAACACCGTTTGTATGATTTATAGTAGGAGAATTGGTTCCCATGTTATTGATGTTAGAATTAATGTTAGGATTAGAATTTATATTATTGTTGGTGTTATTCAAGCTGAAATTTTGGTCCTGATTCAATTGCATAGAATTTATAATTATATTGGTATTTCCATTGAGCAGTAAATTCTGATTTTGATTTTGGTTCTGATTATAATTGTAGTTAATATTGGTATTGTTGGGGTTGTTGGGGTTGTTGTCGTTGTTTAAATGGGATGCATTGTTATCATTCACAGGCATCTGATTGGAATTGCGTGTGATGGTGGCGTTGAAGGGGTTTCTCTTGTTGTCAGCAACAGTTTTGTTGTTGGAAGAGTAGCCATTCAATCTGGCGTCGACAGTGTCGCCTATCTGGGTGTGGTTGACGATACGATTCTTGGGGATAAATTTTGAGGTGGAATTGAGTGGGTTGCAAGCAACAGAAGTGGACATAGCTATTGGAGATGGAAAGCAAGAATACAAAGCATTTACTCGAGAATTACTGAACAGCACAACACACAAACGTCTCTATCAGCTCAAGTTGTGAAGAGTAAAGATAAAACCTCTTCAATTCATTTCGCTTCCACATTTCCTTCCGCACGGGTAACTTATGTTGGTAGATGCACGGAAACGCCAGAGATGCGTTTTCAGACTGTATGACGCGTGCAGTATTATCAGCATATTATCAGTATAGTATATGTGTATGGGCGATGGATAAATAACATAGGAAGAACTAAAAACACAGAACAGGCAGCAAAACAAGTAGAAAATGAAAAGGAAATAACAGGGGAATGGGGAAAGAATAAGAAAAGAATAAGAAAAGAATAAGAAAAGAGTTTGGTAGAATTGCATCCATAGCTAGCAAATGTGGGCGTCCAATGGACACCAGCTCGCAACGTCAGCTAATCAAATTTCTTGCTGATATCACTGGAGACCCTTTTTCGGGGCAAGCTTCTTATCAGCTCCATTTCGCCCGTCAGCTTTCTCTGAAACTCATCCAACAAGTTGACAGGAGAGCTTTCATCATCAAGATCAATCAAGTTCACATCGTCGAGACTGTTATTACTGTTGGGGTTTTTGTTGTCACCACTATGATTGCTGTTATGAATATTTTCGGGCTCATCTATTGTTGACAAGATACCTTGTTTGACATCTGAATAAATTGTCCAGAAGGATGATGATACATTTTGAAACACTTCAGTTGAATCGGGGGATGCCAATTCCTTTATGGGATTACTGATATCCTTTCTGGTGCTGACTACTTTGCGTTGTGATCCGTTAGCAGAACTCAACCCATTGGACTTGTGCACAATTTTGTGGTTATTTAAATTGATTGGGGATCCCTTGAGGTGTCTGAAATTTGATGATGGAGCTCTATTATTATTGTTGTTATTGGTATGCTTCCCAAAAAAATCTTCGCTAGAATTACTTATTCCACTATTTTTAGAAAATTTTGTATTCGTTCTCAAGCTGTTGCTTCTTCTTATAGAGGATACTGGGCTTTTAATGCCATTTATGGAGTTGGATTTAATCATCAATGGATTAGAAACAGAGTTTTGTCTTGATAATGTTGATTTTCTATTGGGATTGACTGATTTTTTAACCGGCACTGAAATAGTATCTTCGAAATTAAAAAAGTCATTACTTTCATTACTTTCATTACTTTCATCATTTTCTTCGATTTCATTTTCGCTTTCGTTTGGAGCTTCTTTGATTACACCGTTCTGGTTATTATTCATATTCATATTCATATTCATATTCATATTAGCACTAAAAAAGTTATCAAAATCATCGCTATTGTTATTTTCAATCAAATGGTTATTATTTATACTGCTAAAGCCGTTAAGAGTGTTTTTTTTAGGATTATCTATGTTATCTTTATAATTCGCATCATCATGGTAGCTGCTGAAATTATTTTCAGTAAATTTATCGGAGTTTCCCAGTGAATATTTTTCAAATTCATCTTGTAGCATTGAATCAAAATTTTTGAAAATGCTTAAAGGTTTCGAAATGCTTTCCCACATTGAGGTTTGTCTCTTATGACCATGATTATTTTTATTATTAGAATTAGAATTAGAATTAGAATTAGAGTTAGAGTTAGAGTTATAAGAATTATAAGAATTATGAGAGTTGTGAGAATTGAAAACATTGCCATTTTCGGCGGTATCAAAACTGTTGTTAGTAAAGCTGTTGTTTGAGCCTAAATTGATCATACTCATCCTATTGCCTCTTTTGGCAACATTGATTTGTTTTGATTGGGTTTGACCAAAATTTAGAAGGTTTTGGGCGTGTTTTTCTTGTTTTTTCGTTATTGGAGAGGATAAAGGGGAGTTCTTTTTCGATGATGAAGATATATTGTTTGAAAGGGAGCTTCTATTTGAAAGTGAATTTCTATTTGAGAGTGAATTTCTATTTGAGAGTGAATTTCTATTTGAGAGTGAATTTCTATTTGAGGGTGAATTTCTATTTGAGAGTGAATTTCGATTTGAAAGGGAGTTTCTATTGGAATTGGAATTGAAATTGGAATTAGGAATTGAATTGGAAATAGATTTGGAGTTTACATTGGATATAGAGTTTGATTTTGAACGCAAGATCGGAGAGGATTGTAAAGAAGGCACTATAGCACTTAAAAAAGAAGTTCTATTATTTGATTTTGTGCTTGAGCTATCTAGTTCATTTGTATCCAAGTTTTCTTTTCTTTTATTTTCGATTGACTTAGTAGAAGTGGCGGTGGAAGTAGCAATGGAAGTAGCGATAATGTCATTGATATCGTCTTGATTAGCGTCGTCTTGGTTAATATCTTTTGAAGTTAATGTTAAAGAAGAAGGTAGAGAAGAGATTCTTGGGTGTTTATTTATTGGAGATGATTTAGTCATAATCAAGTCACCGTTTTTAATATTTTGGTATAACGAGACTTGAACAATTTCTCTTAGTTTTTTCAATTCGTCTAGTTCTAAAGTTAGCTGTTCATTTAGTGATTTGATTTCGTCCTTTAATTCCACAACTCTCATTTCTTTTAAAGCTAGTTTTCTTAGTTTTTCGTTAGTTTCATCTTGAGGGGTTAGTTCTTTTTGGAATTGTTGGATATTGTTATTAGATAGTTTTGAGAAAGAGTGGAAATTAGAGAAGGATGAGGGAGTTGTAGGAGATACTAAAGTTCCATAACGAGATAGATGAGAGTTTCTTTTGTTATTATTATTATTGTTGTTGTTGTTGATGTTAATGTTGATGATATTGTTGTTATTGAAATTATTTTCCACAGTACTTATACTATTAGAGGAATTATGATATATGTTGTTGGTAAAAGAGGAAGTTGAAGACAGAGAAGAGTGTCTTTGAAGACTTGTTGTGCTTGATAAGGTTGAGGTTCTTTTTAGTACTGATAATGAGTTTGAGCGATTAATGTTTGATTTTATGTTGTAGGTATTTTCGTTATTTTCAAGCACAGCTAAGCCCAAGTTTAAACCGCCAAATTTGGATCTAGTTCTTACAATTGAAGATTTTTTATTGTTGTTGTTGGTAAGTAAGGAAGATCTTTTGTCTTTTAGTTTATTGTTGAGATCATCTCTTAGGTTTTTTTTATATTCATCTGAAGATAAGATGGAAGTTCTTTGAAAGGGGATTGAAGAGGAAGCTGGGTTAGTTTGTATAGTACTGATGTGATTCTTGGGATGATTTTGATTGAGAATATCATGGTGAAGATCGTTATGAAGAACATCATCTGTGTTTGTATTTGTATTTGTATTTGTATTTGTATTTGTATTTGAATTTGAATTTTCATTTGTATTTGAAATTAAAGGGTGGTCTTTAGTTGGTTGGACGTTATCAATTAGATTATTTATTGAGCTGAGAGAGCTTCTGTGATCTGATTTTGAGGGAGAATGAGAAAAGATTGAAGATTGATCTGTTGAAGTAACAGAAGAAGGCTGAGAGGTTATTGAGGATGAGTGTCGAGATTCTGAGGACAACATTTTCTTATTATATTAGAATGTAGGATGATATAAGATGATATAAGAATGAAAAAAAATTGTCGTGAGAATAAAACAGATTAATAAATAATTATTGAATTTTATTCTTGGATTATTCTTGGATTATTTTTATTTTTATTTTTGAGTTGTATTCTTGGCTTATTTGATTTTATCTTTAGGTTATTTAATGCTGCTTTTTTTGAGGTAGAATTTGATTAATTTAGATTTAGAAAAGTTTTGTCTTGTTTGAAGTATTTTAAATTTGTATTTAGATTAGTGTATTGAAATGATCCAAAATAAAGCAGTGAAACAGTGAAACAGTGAAGCAGTGAAGCAGTGAAGCAGTGAAGCAGTGAAGCAGTGAATTAATGAACCAATAAAATGATAAAATAATAAAATAATAAACTAATGAACTAATGAAGCAGTGAACAGTGAAACAGCAAATAAATGAGTGAAATATAAAACAAAGGGTGTTTGAGTGAGAGTAAAGAGAAAAGTATACCAGCTGGAGTAAAAATTGAATAAAGAGATGCAAATAGTCAAGCTGAATGGTGATAAGTGGTGAGTAGTTTGCTTTTGCTATCAACCTGTGTTTTATGAACCAATGGAGATGAAAAATATCAGCGAGTAACTAATTATAAACTTATAACCAACAATAGAAAGATAAAGGAATCAGAAGAACGAAGCACAGTGGAATAAAAGTGAAATAATCAATGTTAAACCTCAGTATCAAATCCAACTTTCAACATATAACAGCAAAAAGCTGAATCAGCAAAGGCCCTGTCGTGTTCGCGAACACACCAGCAGTTCGTCAACCACGTCGGCAAAAACACCAGCCTTTCGGAGCCCTGTCCGAGCTCCCGGCAGCCCTCAAAACACGCTCCAGCGCGCTGGCCGGACGCCTAGCGAGCGCTGACGGAGAAACTTGAGCTGGTGAACCGCTGGCAGCCGCAGGAGGCCGCAGTGCGAAAGGGGCCCCGTTCGCCAGCCATGTTCGCAGACGCTTTTTGTCGGTTTCAGTTGATTCTGGCGCTTTTGAAGTTACTGGTTGCTCCAGCCCGAGCTGCCTCTGAGGCTCGGGAAAACAGCGCAGAAAGCCTCGCTTTCCGCCGTCATCTGGAGAATCGAATTCAGCTGCCAAACGCTGGGAGCGCGTGTAAAACGAGGCTGCATTTCCTTGCTCTCGCAGTAAAACACGCTGCTGATCGGCGCCGCTCGTTGCCCGGCCCGCGTCTGTTTCACGTGTGCTGAGTCAGCATTGTGTGTGTGCTTATATAAGCACACGTGTTTCGGAAGTACGCTTATCAACGTTAGCTGTAGTAGCTATATGAGATACTTAATAGTCAGAGCATGTCGTCGTCGTGAAGATAGTCCTCGTAGGCTTCTTGCCAGTTGTAGGGAGGAATTCTTCCCCCATCTTCTTTGCTGGACGAGGCTCGTTGCTTCACGAGATTGGCGCCCTGATATGGCGACTCAAGCACGTCTCCCTCCTTCAAGCTCTTCAATGGATCTGCCAAATGCCCACCCAATTCCTGCTTAAACCTACTGTCTCGGTCCAAGATATCCACTCCTGTGTCGCTTTCCACCAACTTCTTGCCGTCGTTGCTCAACTCGATTTTCTTTTCCGAAATCTGCGTCATCAACCTCAAAAAATTGCTTTTTTGAAATTTGTCCTGGTTTTCAATTGACTTGTTCATAGAATCAGCCACTAAAGTGGCTGTCTTTGCAAACAAGTTTTTATCGTACTCATTCTTATTCTTTTCTTCGTTTTCTTGATCTCGCTCATTCTTTATTTGATGTTCTTGTAGTTTTAGTGTCTGTTCCACGTTTGAAAATGCTTTCATGAAAATATCATCCGAAATGCCCATTGGATTTGGGTTTTGCTGGCTTTGATGTCCCATTATAGTGTCGTTCATCGAATTACTAATTGCATTGTTAAATCTTCCCATATTCAAATTTCGATTTATGTTCATCAGATATGGCGAATAATTATTATAGCTTGTATTGATTCCACTAGTAATACTTCCACTCATCGCTTGCTCTTGACTTATTCCCATTTCTTCTCCTTTCATAAATTCTTGATTCCATGAATTAATATTATTATTATTATTATTACTAACATTATTAACACTATTGCCATTGATTTGAAGCCTGGAAAACTCATCTTCCCACCCAACATTATCGCCTCTGAAATTCTCTTGAACATTATTACTTCCACCAACAATAATACTTTCATTAATCCCATTTCCATGCTCATTTCCATACTCCACTTGATTAAAATTGTTAAAATTATTAAACTCGTTTTGTAAATTCAAATCTACATTGTTCATAAAATTGGTGTTAAATCTACTGCCATCATTTCCATGAACATCATGAACATCATCAACACCATGGATATTTTCTCCTCGATTCGTTAGATCGTTTCTTAAACTAAAATCGTTTGATGAAAATGTTGCCAACTTTTGAACTGGATTTGATGGCCCACAAGACCCTCCATCATTAAACAACGACATTATTATTTCTTATATCTCTTATATCTCTTAATCAATACTATTTATTAGAATCCAAATAACTCAAACCTATTTTCAATAGTTTATCAATCATCTATATAAATGATTCACAATCTTCCCTTTTTCTCTTTTTCTTCTTTTTCCTCATGTTTCTTTATCTCCTTCGAAAATGTGACACCCTTCTCCTCAAATTTCCACTTGCGGAAAAAATCAATTGCTCTTTGCCACATACACAGCCACACTTGCTTCTTTTAGAATCCCCTTTACACTACCACTGAGGAACAAACTTCCTTTCTGGGAATCCTCCTTATACTAATCCGATATTATTCCCAACCTACAATCCATTTTGAATAAAATGGATTCCAACACTGAAAATTAAAATTAAAATTAATAATTAATAACTATCTAACATATAATCAATAAATTAAACAAAACTCAAACACAAAACAGAAATTAAAATAAAATAAAATAAAATAAAATAAAATAAAATTAAAGTAAAGTATATATGCAACAGTGTAAAAATAAAAAATCCTTATTTTTGCATTTTTCTCTTTTTGTTCTTTTTAGTTTATCTCAAAAATCATTAAAAACTGTCAACAAAAAAATAATAAAAATTTTAATAGTTTTAAAAAAAAAAATTATAATAAAAACTAAACAATTTAATAGGTTTAATAACCTTCCATAGAGCTTATAAATTTCTTTTGTAAATCAACAATATTGTTCTTCAATTGATCTCTTTCTTGTTTTATAATAATCAATTCAGCTTTCAAGTCTCTTATCTGCATATTGTAATGCATGTCTTTGAGATCTTCATCTTCATCTTCTCCCTCTTCACTATTGTCAATTTCCTTAATATCTTCAAATTTATCACCATTATTCGATATAGACGAGCGAGAACCATTAATAAGTGGCGAATTAGTTCTTGATCCACTTCTTCTTATTTTAGACAATCTCATAGTATCCAATTCTTTCTTTAATTGTGCATTAGCTTCTTTTTGTTTTTGTAATTCGGCTTGTGATATGTCTAACGCTCTTGATGAAATTTTAGCCGAATTTAATGCACCTTTATAGTTCTCTTCAATAATTTTGTAATGATTGATTTTCAAATTTTCTTCTTTCAATCTAGAAATTTCATCATTTAAGCTTTGAATCTCTTTAACAAGCTTTATATCACTTTCTTCTCTCTCTTTATTTATGTTGATTAATTCCTCAACTTGTTCTTGTAATGAGTCAATATACCTTTGTTTTTCATCATTACCGACACTGTCAGATTCACTCATGAGTGGTTCTTCAACCAGACCTTCTTCTCCATTCAATTCCTTATCTTTAGGAATTTTATTTGAAATTTTTCTAATGCTCCATAAATTGATTAGATTTTCAAGTTTACAATCTATACCGGTCATTTTTTCATCATATTCATTCAAATTGATTTCCTTTGTAGTCCTTGTTTCTTCAAGTTCTTTGGTTAAAGCTTCATTTTTGATTTTCATTTGATTTAATTCCTCAACTAACTGATCATAATCCTTCAATTTATTTTTAACAATCTCTCTTTGGTCTAATTGAAATTTAATTAGTTCATGCATTTCTTGTAATTCTAAGAAGTTATTTGCAACTAATGGTTCTAGTTTCGACACTTTATTCTTTAGGTTTTCGTTTTCGTTTTCCAACTTTAGCAAATTATTTTTCAATTCCAAATTATTTCTTTTCAAGCTATTTGATTCTTCAAGCGCTTTTAAACTATCCACTTCATTAATGTTCTTAAATTTAATATGGTCTAAATTCGATTCTTCAAGTTTATTAATTATTTCAGCCTTTAAACTTAGCTCATTTTGTATCACATTAATCTCAATTTGCTTTTTCTGATTGAAATCATTTTCTTTATCAGTTAACGATTTTTCATGCTCTTTGATTAAAAGCTGCTTTTCATTTTCCAAGCTTCTTATCTTGTCACTTGCCGTCTTGGCTTGTCCATTCATCTGAACTTGCAATTCATTTAATTCGCTTTGTAACGATTCAACAATTTTTCTAAAATTTTCTCTATCGCACTCTAACAATTCCTTTGAATGTTGTTTTTTATAAAATAACATTTTTTCTTCTGGAGAAATCGGAGAATCAGCCATAATTTCTTTCGGTTTGAATTGAGTTATCCCCGTCGCTGTAGTAGTTGAAGATGGAGGAGTAATGGGCAATATATTCCTTGAAGCAAATTGTTTTGAAGCATCTTGAATAGTAGTATCACTTACTCCTGAAGTACTTCCAACATTATGAAGTGTTGTTGTCTCTGATATAGCTGATTCGTGGTCATTGGATCCAAAATTATCGTTAATTGATAATGTATCTATTGCTGGAGATTGATCTTTAGGTATTTCAATTTCCTTTAATTTTTTTCCACGTAAAGTTAAATCTTCTGCATCACTATCAGACATATCACTAAATCTTTCTGGTGTATCAATTTTTAAATTAGAAAACGATAAATTATCCTTAGGAGCTAAAAGCAGCTGGACTGGAGGTTGATTAATATGTTTATCAAAGCCCCCATCTTCTAATTTTGGAGTTGTAGCACTCTCTGGAGTGTTTGGTGCTTTGAAAGCTTCAAGATGTTCTAATGAATCATGACTTGGGACTAATGTTCCATAACCGGATTTGTTTTTTGATGTATGTGGCTCTGAAGAATACTGATAACCATAAGATTCAACCATTTCAGTAGAAGAAGCACTGAGATATGTTGCAAGAAAATCAGATTCATTTCTATTATCTGCTTTTGAAGTGCTTAAGTTGGAGCTTAAAGTTGAATTATCACCATCATAACTCTCAAAGGGCTTGGAGAAGGGTACTTTGAATTCTTCGAATTTAGGTTCTTCTAAACCATTTTTTTCCAAAGGTGAGTTTTCTAGAGATCTATTATTTTCCTTTATTTTTTCTTCGCTCTTGTGACTATCTACAGTCTCTTTGGAAATTTTTTGGGTATCATCTACTTTATTAATTTGATCATCTTCCTGCATGTCTTGTGTTTCAGGTTGTTTTTCCTTTAAGGGCAATTTTTCAATTGAAGAGGGTTTTTCCATGGACTCAATGTTATTGACAATTGGACTTTGAGATGGAGTTTGGAAATCATCATCGGGAGTTGTGGAAGCTTTGCTTATAGATTTTGACAATGCGTTGGAAGGATTTAAATTTGAAAGTGAATCTTTACTTCCAAGGTTTAAAATGTTTTCTTGAGGAGCAGGAGTGACTGATAAGCTTTCAACGGTTTCTTCTTTTATAGGAGAAAAGTTGTTTTGCAAACTCAGAAATGACCCTTGATTGTTATCAATGGGAACAATAGGCAGAGGAGTAAATGGCAAGTTTTTATTGATACTTGATATTGAGCCATTATTTGAATTTGATCGTCTTCTTGTATCAGCGTTACTTGAGCTTCTGGTTCTTTTTCCATTAGTTGTTGTATTGGTTTCTAAAGAGTTATAAGAGCCATCAATATTATTATTATTATTATTATTATTATTATTATTATTATTATTATTATTATTATTATCATCAACCAGAGGAATGGGTTGGTTTTGTGGTTGAGTTATTGAAGGGGTTAGTTGTGGGTTTATTGGAGGCATAGATTGAGAAGATTGATTTGATGTTTTAGAAAATTGGAAGAGATCATCATTCCATAAATTAATGTTTTTATAGTATATTAACCATTCATTATAAAGATCTAGATCAAATAGATAAATTAAAACGCCCAGCTTAGCGTTGTGATTCAATTGATCGAAATCGTCAAGATCAGAGCTAGCATAATCTAGCTGGTCTCCACCCATGATTAGTATTTTGTTTCTCGAGGGGGTTATAACATTGGATGAGATTGCAAATTCTGAAATCTGTTGAGGATTAACTGTGAAATTATTGAATTTGTTTGGATTTATTAAAGATGAGGAAGAATTGGATGTCAAGGCAGTTGAGGATTTTAATTTATAATTAATCAAAGAGGTAATTGTATGACCACATCTTAGTCCTGGATGAAGACTAAAAGGATCGACTTTATGCCAATGCAAGTTATTAAAGTTGAAAATATAAAAGTCACCAAGAATTTCCTCATTGTGGCTCTTTCCACCATATACTATCATTAAATTTTTAATTATTGTAGCAGAGTGTTCTTCCATTGGAGGAGGAATGTCACCATTGCAAACATGTTTTTGCCAGATATTTGTTGTGGGATCATAGCTGTATAGATCATTGGATATGAAGCTATCATTAGAACCACCAAAAACAAACAATTTGTAATCGAATATGACCATTGTATGGTTTGTTAGTGGAGGAGGAATATCATTTGGGTCATTATTTGCAGGAGAGATGATTTCCCAATGAGAGTTTGGTTTTCTGAATGAGCTTAAGTCGAACATCCACAAATCGTTGAAGATTTTAGAGTCTAATTGACCACCGAAAAGAAATAGTTTTGACTGATTGCTTGTCTTTGCAATAACGCCAATTGTATGACCATATCTTCCACAGGGTCTTATGCCAGTTGGGTTGGGAATTGTCCATTTCAAGGAATTGATGTTGAAGAGATACAAATCGTTGTCCAAGTCACCTTCTTCGTTAGTTTGGGTTGTATCACCACCAAAGACAATAAAGGCGTTACCACAAAGGCAACTGTTATGACCTACTCTTGGAGCAGGAACACCATCAAAGTTTTCAATTGATTGGGCAAAGAAGGTGTTTGAAGTTAAAGCCCAAATATCGCCAAAGACAGAGCCTTCTCTCAAACCACCCATTATGAAGACGTGGCCTTTATCTGAGATCATGTTTGAAGCAGTGTGTCTGTAACGAGGAAAGGGAGAGCCAGATAATTTGATTCTTGTCCATGGAGTGAAGGTATCGTAATTTGGGATTTGATTCTGTTGAGTTGGGGAGTTTAAGACAGGAGCAAAATTTTGGTTAAGTGTTTGGGGGTTGATCAGTGAAGGATTAATTGATTGGGGGTTAACTATTGGAGAACTTATTGTTTGAGGAAGAGGTGCTGGGGAATTGGCTACTGGAGAGTTGAGAATTTGAGAGTTGAGAATTTGTTGATCATTAGGGGGCATATAGTTGATAACTGGAGATTTCATGTCCACATTGTTGTTCATGTTGTTCATGTTGTTATTCATATTACTACTGATATTGTTGTTGTTATTGTTGATATAATTATTGTTGGAAGGACTTTGATTTTGAACAGGGGACCTTTCTACAACTTGATTTAGATTTGGAGGTAACGCAGGGTTGTACAATTTTTGGGATTGAGGATACTGTTGTCTCAGCTGAGGTTGTGGTTGTGGTTGTGATTGAGGTTGAGGAGACATTGGGTGGTTGTAGTTGTTGTTGAGAGAGTTATATTGACGATTTGAGTATTGTTGTTGGTTATTTGGAGTAAAGGAGGAATAATTGCTTGGAGGGTTATTTGAGGTTGGTATAAAACTCAGATGATTTGTTCTTTGAGGAGCAATTATTTGGTTGTTATTTATGTTATTTATGTTATTTATGTTATTTACGTTGTTATTTATGTCATTATAGTTGATTTGATTTGGGACCGAGTTATTTAGAGGGTTAGTTAATTGAGGTTGAATCTTTTGTGGTATTTTGGATTGTGCTGGATTGTATTCATTGCTCATTTTTCTTTGTCTTGATGCTGAGGAAGGATTTTGGACATCATTTTGTATATTTTGTATATTTTGTATATTTGATATATTTTGTATAGTTGGTATAGTTGAAATTTTTGAGTTTTTTGAGTTTTTTGAGTTTTTTGAATTTTTAGAGATATTTGAGTTGTTTGAGTTATTTGAGTTGTTTGAGTTGTTTGAATTTGACACAGAGTTTTTCCTGCGAGATACAGTATTTCTGATTGGGGAAATTAAAGAGTTTTCATTGGTGTTGATATTATTTGGGAAAGTATTAATATTAGGAAGATTGTTTAAATTGTTGGATAAATTGCTGGATACATTGTTGGTGTTGGTATTGTTATTATTTGGATTTGGATGGAAGTAGTGATGAGTTGGGGACGCAATATCTTTATGCTTTTTGTTTTTGCCAAATTTAAAGGGGGCCATTTTGATGTAAAAGAGAGAAAATATTGGCAAAAAAGAACTAGTGATGGAAGAGTGATGAAATTGTGATAAAAGATGTGAAAAATCAAGGGAAAAGAAAAGAAAAGAAGAAAAAAAAATCAAGGAAGAGTTTATTAATTATATTACTTGAATAGAGTAAATAGAATAAAGGATCCAGAAATGTAAAACAGATGTTAATGTTGATTCTGATTCTGATTCTGATTCTGATTTTGATTTTATGATTTGTATTGTATATTGAGTAACTGGAAATTGGAAATTGAAAGTGTGAAGTGAAATTTGGATTTTGAGAGCGATATCTAGGGTTCTTAAATTAGAGCTATTCAGGATACAGGGATAAAACCAAAGACGAGTAACGACAATTTTGAATAGTGATAAATTGGATAATAACAAATAATGACGAGGACAGTAAGAGTAAAAGCAATGAAAAAGGTGGAAGTGAAAAAATAAAACTGCTGTTGAGGGATGGATATTGGAGATAAACTGATAACCCAATATATATAGGCGAGGTAGAGCTAGGAGGAATAACAATAACGTCCCTTGGAAATATAAGTTGGTAATGAATTGCTATTCGTGAGAGTGAGGTAGCAGAATCCCAAGTTTAAATCACGTCAGTGGAACAACCTGAGGTTCAGAAGGATCTCAACAATCGCCAAAGCGAACAATAAGACGAAGCACTGGTTGAAATCAGCTACTCGTTGACAGAGAGATTAAAAATAAACAGAGCGAAACCGATTATGCTTTTGGTGATCCACGATTTGTAGGTTTGAGCTGGATATTCCACATGTTCTACTCGAGACAATAACATGAAATGAGCCAAAGCCCAACGTTACGCTCAGGGCAGCTCCACAGACCTGGGCAGAAGAGGCAGGCGGCGGGAGGCTGCCAGAGGCGCCAGAGGAAGCACACGCAGCAAGAGCAGCTCGTCCAGCAGCAGAAGCAGCAGAAGCAGCAGCAGAGGCAGACGAGGGAGCACGCATTCCTGCGCACGTGCACGCATGCACTACGCGTCAAAACAGACGGCGCCGGCGTTGCGCTCAACGGCCCCGACAATCTGGTCCAACACGCCGTTGGCGCCGGCAACGTCCCAGCCCAACCGCCGTGAGAGACGGAGCCGCACCAAGCGCGGGAAGCGGAGTTCCAACAAGGCCAACAACAAGTCCTCCGGCCGCACCTTGTTGAACTGGCCCAAGAGCCCGCTCGTAGTGAGGTGCAACTCCTCCAACACAACGCTGCTTCTGCTGCCGGTGCTGCTTGTGCTGTCGCGCACCATCGCGAGGTTGTAGTCGCTGAAGAGCTCACTTGAGATAAAGTCGTCGCTGATCTCGAACCTGACGAGGTTCGGACACATCTTGAAAACGTAGTCGAACGTGTTCGCCGATAGCTTCACGTTCGGATAGAACACAGACAACTCTCGGATGTTTCTGCCTAACCGGTTGTTGTTCAAGAACCTGTACACCCCAAAGTCCGTGAGACTCGAGCAGAACTTGATGCTCAATTTCTCTATATTGCTGCTGTTCCCGCCGCTAGCCTCGTGGACATCATTGCCACCTCCCTCGGGATTCAAGTTTTCTAGTATCTCGTCCGTGATTCCTCCGCTAATATACAAGCTTTCAATTTTTTTAATCTTCAAATACTTCACATCACCATTGTCTTTATTACCATTACCATCCATTTTAATTGAGCTTCGAGGAAACCGCAACTCCTTCAAATATTCTAGCCTATTCAAACATGTTATCAACTCATTCAAATTAATAACATCTAGCACCAAACTCAAGTCCAACTTCTTCAATTTCAAGCAATTGCGAAAACTTATTACTCCAATATATCCTATTTTCATTTGTGGTAACACCAACTCTCTCAATTCTTTATTACTGTGCTTAATTATTTTTGTTATATTACTGCTTCTAATTCCACCACTTAATTTAGTTAGATCCAATTTTTTGATATATTCCCCTCGAGTATTCTTGAACTTTTTTCGTTTCTTTGTTGTATTTTTATTAATATTCTCCTTTTCATTTGCATTTTGGTTCCCTTCAGTAATCTTACCAGTACCCACCCTTCTCTGCTCCTCATAACCCAATAATGGCGAATCATTAACTGTTATCGACTCTATAAACCTCAAAACATTCCCAATGTGCAACTCAGGCTCCTCATATATAGTAGGCAAATATCTGACATAAAAATACTTGGAAAGAAAAAGATATTTGGTCTTTAATTTAGCCTCCCTTGTATACCATATTATTTTTTCTATAATCTCAATAGGCAATAACAATTCTTTCCTCCCATTTCCATCCATACGCCTCTTCCCATACCTATATTGATCCAGTACACTATCTCCCACTGAATGCTTCAAGTAATCCTCCCCATATAATATCACTGACAACACATCGACCTTTTGAAATCCAGACATTGGCCAAATCACCAAGTTTCCCACATATTCTTCCTTTCCACTTTTTCTCCCTTTTTCAACTTCCTCTTCTTTTACAATTTTGAATGGAACTGAATTATCTCTCTTTGATTTATCACTGGAATAATTATAAACATAAAAATGCTCTTCATCAACATTCTTAATGATACCACTGGGCCCATATCGCCGGTATGGCACCCTGTTCCTTAAATGCCTTCGAGTAGCCACCTTGGATTGTTATCTTGTTTCTTGGGCTCAGAAACCCCAGATTATAATCTGCAGGAAACATAATTCAACTTCTTGATTTCCGTCCGGTCCCAGTTTGAATTGTCCAATGTATCACGTATATACCTCGGAACTCCCTTGTAGTCACCTCCGGATTCATTCAATCTTCTTTTTTTTCGAAATGAAAAAAAAACAAAAAAACTAATTGTATTGATAACTTTTCCATGATTTCAAAACAAATGGTTCAATATAAAAAGAAGTGTGGTTGCTACATCGTGTTAGGCATTTAAAACTTGATTCAAAACTGGTCCCGTTGGTATTAATCCAAATTGATCGTCATAGCCATATATGATTAACTTTATTTAGCAAATAAAGAGCTATATAGTTGGCCTGCCTTAGCTGATGAAAGGCTGCGTGGTAGGCTTTATTTTTTTATTAGCAAAAGACTAACATCACAATCTCCTTGGTGGTTAACTTCATAATTTTGACCATCATGAAAAAATTGTCTGGACAAAAGCTCTTGCTTTTGGTGTTTTGGTATGTGTTTTATAAGTTTTAACAAAGAATCTCCAATCACCTTAATATCCAAAACAGGTTTCAAATCAAAAAGGGCTTTTAAATCAATAAAAGGAGAAAACAAAAACACATACGAGTACCCACCTACTAGTTCATGAACAATATTCTTTTCTTTATCTAATAATAGCCTATAATCATTAATGATTCCTTTAATTGCTATATCATAGCTCTCAAACACTGCTTCCAGTTTTAATGATGGAGATTGAGTTTCAATTATTGCATTTTGGATAGCCATAATATTTGAATAGGTGTTGTCAATTTTTTTAATTCTTTCACCAGCAAATTGAACTAAAAATGGACGAAGAGACATTAATGGATTCTCTTGAAACTTTATAAATAATGATAAATGTTGTTCAATATCAATTGTGGCTGGGGTAATTTCTTCTTGAATTCCAAATAAATTTAAAAGGACAATATCCGAAATAGTTTTCATAACTGGTTCTGTACTGAGTCCTTGAAAAGGCATTAAAGTAGGGGATAATTCAAGTAATCGTTTGGAGGCCCAAAACACTTCTATTTGTATTTCCTCTTTGGTATAATATATCTGGTGGTGACTATGTCTGATAATTCTGATATTAGGAATAATATTTGGGTTATCTGTTGAGGTGATTTTTTCAATAGTATGAGGAAAAATATGTAAGCATTCATTAATTGCATGTTTTAGAATGAGCACCTGAATTGGATATCCTAAATATGTTAATGAAAAACTGTTCAAAGATTCATATAACTGCCATTGGTATTGGAAATAATCTGGTATGTAGCACCAATTTAGAAGCATTTGTGTTATGAATTCATTTACATTTACATTTACATTTACAATTAAATTATCACTATCTTTCTTTTTTATCGACTCCTCCGAAAACACCATGTTAAGAGTAACATTTTTATATCTTTTAAACAGATATCGTAAAGCTTTGAAAATTACACAAAATATCACTACAATTGACAATGGCAAAAGCCAACCGAGACCAATTTTAAAATGAAGTAGAATTGGAACAACTACCTCTGTATCATATATTAAATACATTCGGAGGAACCTTGGGTGGTTGACACTCATACTTTTTAAATAAGCCATATAAAAGGGCAACACCGGCTATCACAACAGCAATAATTTCAACTATTAATGTAATCTTTGAACTATCTGTAGTCTTTGTAGGTTCATCAATAACCATTTTGGCCACCTTAGCCATTTTAGCCATTCTTTGATTAAAGTTGATTAATGCTGATGAAGTAATTAATTTGATGTCTTTGAAATGAAAAGTGAGTTGATAATCAATTGTAAGTAAACACTGTTAGTTGAAAGATTTGAAAGAGTGAGATTGTTTGGAGAGCACAAATATCTTCAGGTACGTGTCAGCGTTTATTTTCCTGTGTCTATTGCCAAATTCATCCAGTCTGAAATGAAATATTCGACCATACACTGCTTATTATTGGATATAGATGGTGGAAAACCAGCCATGTAAAACAACACGAAAAGAAATGCTTGTAACTGCATATTTCAGTATTGCTTGTGATGGCATTGTCTACGTGACATTGCATATATTCTTTGCGAAAGGTTCTAGGAACCACAATTTTCAGACTGGAACTTTTTGATAAAGAATGTTAGTGCCTCAATACATATCTTTTTAATGTTTGCTCCTACCATATAATAAAAGATAATTAACCAAACATAAAGATCTAGAAGCTTACCAAATATTAGGATTTTATTTTGTTGTTCAAAGTAGCATGAAAACAATACAATATTTAAAGTTGCTGTCAAAACGATAAAAAGTCTTGTTTTTTTGCTTGAGTCCACGCATTTCAATGCAGACTTGCATCAAAAAAGTGCGGGTACTTGCGTATATTTGCGTATATTACCTTTTGTTGTTAAAGATATCTGCCATATAAATGTAGAGGTAAATACTTTAAATTTCAGTTATAATGAATATGTTTATTATATTCTTATCCTTCAGAAAACGTATCCGAAATAAACTTTGCAATGACCAGAAACAACAGACAGAATGTATTGGACGGATTACCTCCTCACATTCTCAATCACATTTTCCACCAACTTTCATTTCAACATATATTTGTGTTTATATCCCCAACAAATCCAATTATCAAGACAGCATGCTTGAAAGCTATATTTAAACGTGTTGAATTGATTTCATGTCAACGAGAATATTTTCCTTTAAGTATAGACGAACAGGTTTGTCAAAAGTGTATAAGATTGAATCTTAGAGACGCTACGCTTTTTACAAAGTATTTAAATCAATTCTCTAGAACTATATATCTTAAAATAGATTTACCAGATAGAAACTTATTGAATAATCAAAATCATATAATCGCAATGCTAGCCTCTGCTAAAAAAATCTTGATTCTAGTTCGTTCAATTTCGTTTTCTAAATTGCATTCTCCTTATCCACTGCCTGAAGTACTTAATGAATTCTGGAGATGCATGTCATCGATGAAAAATATGCTACTTTTCCATAGACAAACATTAAATGAAATAACAATTGATTTTCATTATATGATGATGATATTTAATTGCCTTGATAGAAGCTTGATTTATCCTAACCAAGTATTTGAAAGCCCAAGATATAAATTTGATTCTCAATTTCTCTTCTCAGATAAATATGTTAATTATGGCTTATTTGATTTAACAAAACTAAAATTGGATGGCATGAATCTTAATGAAATTGGGTCTGGTGTTTTAAAATTGAATAATTTAAAACATCTCCAAATGAGAAGAAATAACTTCGGCAGTTTAAAAACAACTCAATTCCCTGATAATATAAAACATTTGGATTTAATTTTGAACGAGATCACGAGTATTCAAAATGTTTTATTTCCCAAGAACTTAGTTACTTTGTCATTAACTAGAAACAACATAAAAACATTTAGAAATCTTATTGGATGTGAAAATCTACTCAAACTTGATTTATCTTATAATTCTATTACAAAAGTTAGTAATGTATCCCAATTCAAGAAATTAAGAATTCTTAACTTGCAGTTTAATTCAATCAAATGTATCAAAAACTTAAGTGCTTTATCAAACCTAGAAGAATTGTATCTTACTAAAAATTCAATTCAAAATATTAAAACCCTTAAATAATTATCAAATTTGAAAGTTTTAGATTTATCTTACAACTCTATTGATAGTATTGATAACTCTTTTTATGGCTTTATTAGTTTACAAACACTAATTATAGGAAATAACCATATCACTAAAATTGAAAATTTAGATTGTTTGACAAAATTAGTTTCCTTAGATCTATCAAAAAATGGAATTCGGGTACTTGAAAACATCGAAAAATTGGTAAATATGACCAACATCAATTTATCTCATAACCGTATTAGTGATTTGTAAATCATGGAAAATGAGACAAATTTAAAGAACTTATCCGAAGTGAATTTATCCAATAACAATATATCTAAAATGGACAATTTAAGGTGTTTGAGTAATCTAAATTCTTTGGACTTATCAAATAATTCAATAGAAATACTAGTTCCACTAATCCAATTAAACAGTTGTTCACATATCAATTTGAATTCCAACAATATCACACGTATTGAGGTTGAATCAATTGTTCATAAGTTTTATTCGATGTTTAAAAGAATTGGGAGAAAGCAATCAACTTTTCCTGTTCAAAATAATGCTGAAATGATATTAAATTTAAGTTCAAATCCTCTTAAACAATTGAATGGGATATCAAAATGGAGCGATCTAGCTCACTTGATTTTGCCGGATAACATATCGCGTATTAATAAGAGAAATCTCGCACAATTACCGAAAATGAAGGAAATAGAATGTTCAAAAATGATCTTATTTAATATCAAAAAGCTAAAGAAAAAATACCCAGATATAAAAATAAAATTTTTTGAGGAGCACCCATTAAAAACCTGTCGGAACCACTTCATTTAACTATTTATGTAATCTCCAAAAGATTGACACTTCTGCAACTTGTGCTGTTCCTATTTCCATTCATACTCTCTTCTTCATTTCCATCCTGACTTTATCGATCCCATTGGGCCATATCATGTATTCGAAGCCCATTTTTCTAGTTGGTTTGAGGTTTCCATCTTGAGCTGTTATTCTCTTTGGATTACAAAAACTTGGATTATATTCCACAACAAATATAATCCAACTTTTTAATCTCTTTTTTGTCTTTAGTCTGAATTCCGAGATAGAATAACCTCGTATGTAGTTTGGAGTCACCTGATTGACATTTTGTTCACCTCGAAACTCATTTTGACTTTTCTTTTTGAAATTAAAATTTGCTGCATTTTTCGTTTTGCAGTTTATAATTTACTTGTATCTATTTACTTAAAACACTGCTCAATTCAAGTATATATTTATCAGAAAACAATATAAAAAATCATAGAATCTATTCACGCTAAATAAGAAACAAGCGAGAGAAAGCAGAAAAGAAGTAAAAACAGCAATAGCATCGTTAAATAATACACTAAAACCATAAAAATACAATACCAAAATTTATAATATTTCAAAAACTAAAATTTTTAAAAATTTTAAAAAATAAAAAAGCATCAGAATTTTTCCCAAAAATAAAAAAATAAAATCAAAAAGAAAGCTAAAAATTAGTTTATCAAGATTCATAAAAGAAAAGAATTTATGTTATAAAAAAATGGAACAAACACTTTGAAATAAAAAGACGGGCTCTAAAAAAAATGATACAATCATGAAAGATCATAAATGATTAATTTTGTTTAGAAGTGTCTAGAAACTGGAATATTTGGTGAAGGATATGTTTCTATTGGTTTTTGATCACCTCCTTCAGTGATCATACCTAATTTTTTTGAGAGATCAAATCGACTATTTTCCAATGATTTTCTTGAGAAAATGGGGGACTCCACTAATCTTTCATTAGAACTCGAATTGGAATTGGAATTAAAACTGGGATTATAGTTTGAATTAAAAACTGGATATGGACTTGAAGTAGGACCCGAATTTGAATTTGACCTTGAAAAAGTTGAAAAAATAGGTGAGTTTAAATTTGAATAGTTGTCTAATGCTGGAGATTGTGGATTTGATGAACCTCTAAAATAATAAGAATCTAATGAATAATTTTCATTTGATGAAACCAAACTGGTTCTGCTGTGGTTTTTTTCCAGGAATCTCATATCAACAGAGTTGCCCACACTTTCATTACTGTTGGTGTTATATAAATTTTTGTAATATTTGATAGATGTACTTATATTTTTCTTTATCGTTATGGCATTTAAATTTGTATTGGCAGAGCTCATTGAATTGGAGACTTTATGAGAACAATCTTGTTTAGAATCTGATGGATTTGGAATGAATATGTTAGATATGAGATCACCGTTTCCTCCATTGTTTCTGATTGGAATTGAAATTGGTGTTGAGATTTTGTTTGGATTCTGGATTGGTGAATCAGATAATTCTGGATTGTTAAGCTTGGACAACGATTTTAAATTTAATTGGCTGTTTACAGGAACTAAATATTCCTGACTTTTAAAACAATGTTTTAATAATGGAGTTGAAACAAATTCGCGATTAGGTGGTGAATCTAAATTGGGAATTGAAAGAGTTGATGATCTTGAGTTAATACCTTCAGTGAACCATGTTTTTGAAGCTGGGGAAGACCAATCATTTGAGCTTAAGAAGGGCTGATTTAAAACTGATTCATTGTTTTCGCTTTTAGTTAAAGTTGAAATTGAATTATTGTGATGAGATAAGTTTAATGATGGTTTAAGAGTTGGAACCTCTTCATTTTGTTTCATCAATTTTGATGATAATGAAGGTTTTGAAATGTGGAAATGGTTTGAGAGGTTGTTTTTGGTATGAGTTTGAGCTTTTGACTCAAAGTCATCGCTGGCGTTAATATTGTTGTTTGTGTGATTGATGTTGTTATCTATGTTGTTGCTTAGTTCAAAGCCATCTTGATTTAGAATGGGGCTTGTTCTCAATGAAGAAGAATTTGAGTATCTACTGCTTGACATTGATAATTTTGAGAGAGATGAAGTAATTGAATGAACTGAGTTAATTTTTCTTACTATTTTTGGGCTTGATTTTTTTGATTTAAGGGAGGATTGAGAGAATAATGAGTTTATTGATTTTTTAGTTTTTAGTTTTTGATTGGAAGAATTATTTAGAGAAGAGAGTTTTTTGTGAGTAACAGAAGAGGTGTGTGAGTGATCTAAAGAAATGGAAGTATTTGCAGAGGATTTGGAGGATAGAGTGTTGAAGATTGATTCGTTATTTGATTCAATGGTTGAAGTTGATAGAGCTGCTTTTTCATGGTTTGGAATTGAAGTTGTTGAAGAGTTTAGGAGGATACTGTTTGTTCTTAGATTCAAAGAAGAGGTGTACGTTGGAAGGTGTTTTGAAGAGTTGATACTATTGAAGGAATAGAAGGAGTTTGTTGAGACGTTTTGAGGTAAGAATTCGACGGGGACAGTGTCTATAGGATCATAAGATTTGATATTATTCTGGGGAGAGGTAGCGCAGAATGAGAAGCCTAATTCTGGGTTGATTGAATTTGGATTCAAGTGCAGATTTGAATTTGGATTTGGATTCAAATACAGATTTGAGTGCAGATTTAAATGCTGATTTTGATTTTGATTTTGATTTTGATTTTGATTTTTGTTTTGATTTTTGTTTTGGAATTTATTGTCTAATTTTTCAATTTGAGATTTAATTGTATCATTTTGATCATTTACATGGCAAATGTGATTAAAGTTGAAAGGAGTTGAAATTTCTGATACTTCAGAAGATTCCCTTTTTTTATTGAAGAAACGAGAAGATTTGCGTTTTAGGGATTTCTTTTTCTGTTTTAGATCAGAATTGTTGATCATGTTTATGGAATCAGTGGTGTTGTTATTGAAAGGAATATTTGATTGAGAGATGTTAGAATGGGAAAGATTTGAGTGGGACATGTTTGAGTGGGACATATGGGGAACTGATATAGAAGGATTAGATATGTGGGATTGAGAAATATTTTTACTCTTTCTGGAGAAGCTTTTGTGATTAATTTTGATTTTGTTTTTAAGATTTTTTTTAATGAGATTTGATTCATTTTCAGAGGAAGAAGAGTCGTTGAAATCTAGAAAGGAGTCTTCTTGCATTGTGTTTAGGTCGAAGGAGGATTTGTTTGTGTTATTGATTGACATGAGGGAGATGTTTCTTAAGTTATTTATGTTGATGTTGTTATTGATGTTATTGTTGTTTGGGATGGATGAGAGGGAGATGTTTGAAAAAGAGTTGTTGTGATGGATGAGTTTATTCTGGTTCATTTTGAGTGATAAATAATAATTGATAAATTATAATTGAAAATGATTATTATGTAGTTAGGGTTTGTTTTTTTTATTTCTTTTTTCTATTTTTTATCTTTTTATTTTTGACTGAGTTATTGAGATTGGAGATGAAGAGAAGTTTATATATATAAAGAAAAAAAGAAAAGGAAAAAAAAAGAAAAGAGAAAAAAAAAAAGAAAAAGTAATTTAGAAATTAAACTTAAAGACCCAAAGGGGATATAATTGAAGTAGATAAATAATAAGAGGATTTTTAATTGTTAAGGGGATTAAAAAAGATGATAAATATGAAATATAAAATATGAAATATGAAAAATGTAGGAATAATTTTATTAATAAGATTCTTTCCAAGTTAAGTAGAATGAGAGGATATGATCTTAATAGGAGGAAAGCAGGTAGATAATTAGGATAGTTGAGGTAATTTAGGTAATTTAGGTAATTGGGTATTGGAATTGATTGGAATTGGATTGTAAGTGGTTGGATAAGTGGTTGGAGTATAGATTTGGAAGTAAAGTAGGAAAGTAGTTGAGTAAAGAAGTTTTGGTTTTTTAGTGTGAATTTAATGTAATATATATGAATTACAAGAGGAAGAGAAGAGTTAAAAAAAGGCAGAGAGATAGTTAATTGTGACAATTGCAGTTGGAATCAGAATAACTGAGGCAATTGGATTTTATATTAGTATAAAAAGGCCAAAGAAGGAAAAGAACAAGAAGAACAAGAACAGAAAGAAAGAAAACAAACAAAAAAGACGAGAGTTTGATATAAAGATGGTTATAGTAAATAATGAAGAGGTATTGAATAGATATTGAATGAAATAAGATAATATTAGTAAAAGTTGTGATATGGTTTTATCTGTTAATGGAGAAAGTTAGAACAAATTTTAAAAGAGCAACTTTGGAGGTTTTGCCTTTAATAATTTTTTGGATATGAATGGGATTTTCAGAGAAATGTTTTTTTCAGATTTATTTTATCTTTCGTTTTCCAGAGAGTTTCTCAGAAGTTTCTCAGAAGTTTGTTGAAAGTACTTTGAAAGTACGTTTGAGTTTTGGATAACAAGTTGGGAAAAAAGTTACCAGAATCTTTTGCAGAGTCGTTGACAACCTTTTTTTGAAAAGAAAAGGAATAGCAGCCTTTGCAAAGAAAGCAGTGGAACAAGCTAGGTCCAGAGGATTAGCAGAATATTATATCGGATTAAGACGCAATAGCAGTAGCAGAATAAAAGGATGTGTTGTTGTTGGAGTTTCGAGCAGATCTGGAGTTTTTGAAATGGAATTGTGAAGTAAGTTGCAAATCAGCGAGAAATAAGAGGTTGAAACTGTAACTTTGGAGGTACCAGCGAGTACTGGGTGGTGTTGGTTGTTTTCAGATGTGTTCCAGTTGGGTTGTTTCTGAAGCTGTTTCTGAAGCTGTTTCTGAAGCTGTTTCTGAAGCTGTTTCTGAAGCTGTTTCTGAAGCTGTTTCTGAAGGCTCTTCCTCTTTCGTTGTGTTTGGAGGTTTCGAAACAGCAGACGAGAAGCGTTATATAAAAAGCACCTTCTTTCTCTCTTTTTTCTCTTTTCTCTTTTCCTTTGCGTTGTTCTGCCGCTGTTTCTCCATCGCTTCGCTTCGCGTGTTGTCTCTGGCCGCATCTCACTGCGTTGTTTGCGCAAAGCTCAAACACGGCCTGCGTTGTGGGGCCACCGCCGGTCACATTCCGTAGCCCTAACCCTGTGCTTCTCGTGTACAGTCTCTCCGCGCCCGTACCACGCCTGCGTCCAGCGCGCTGAACTTGTTTGGCTTTTCTGTGCTCGCAGTTGCGTACAGCGTTCTGCGACTGTGCGCGCGGCTTATAAGAGGCCCAGCAGCCAGACTCCCGCTCGCACAGGGGCATTCTGCGGCAGACAGGTCTTCCGCCGTTCTGTGTCGGCTGCTCGGGCAAATTGTGTCCTGAAACAGAAGGGATATAGGGTTAAGCTGATCAGGTGGCTCAAGCGTCGGAGTCAGCGGCCTCGAACGGTGCAATTCTGCCCCATTGGGCCTTGGTCACAAAAGCAGAAAAGTGCCCCATTAGGAAGCTCCATCTTGTAGAGAAAAGGGAAAGGGAAAAGAAAGAGTTAAAGCAGTGAAAGTAATGAGAGAAAAAGTGAAAGCAATAAAAAAAAGTGAAAGTAATAAGAAAAAAAGTAAAAGAAACAAAGAATCAGAGTCACCTCCTTTTCTTGTTCAATATAAAGCTCATGACCCGGGCCAACTCCTGTTTTGCACCCTTTATGTGTTGGTACATTTTAAATCCCATTTTGTATGTTATGCTCTTCTTAAGTGCTTCCTCGGTGGAGTTGACGTTGCAGTAGATCTTGATTCCGATATATGGAAGCACCTTTACTGGTAACATGAACATAAAATTGAAGTAAATAAATGGCAACTCATAAAGCAAATTGGTAAGAAATCTGGTTTTCTCATAGTAGTTTCTCTTAGCTGACTCTGCCTGTTGTTTTTGCTTATGTTGACATGTATTCCTTTTTGAATTCTTACTACCAATATCATTTCCATTATGGTTTTCAGTATAAATTTCAGTGTAATCCTCAGTATAGTTGCTGCTCTTCAGCCCATTGCAACCGTTATCAAAATATTCATAATTAGAATTAGAATTGTAATTATAATTATAATTATAATTACATTCACCGATGTTTGTTTCTATTGTATCTCCTAAATTTTCTTTACCTTCGGGAATTGGTGACGAAGAGCAAAAAAAGTTACTTTTCCCATTAAATGGAGATTGAAGCGTTGAACCAGAATAATAATTATTATCCTCATTCTTCTTATTTCTATTATTATTCCTCATATTATTACTCGCATTAATAATTTTCTGATTGCAATTGCCTTTAAAATATTTTCCACTTCTATTCATATTTTCCATTTCACTCAAATACACAAATAAGTTTTTCATTATCATATCTTGTTTATCGATTTGTCTTTTTAGCTTTTCACTAAACATTAAATTTCCATTCAATTGACTTTCAACATTTTTCATATTTTCTATGCAATCATTCAAACACTTCATTAACGGGTAAATTTCTCCATTTTCATTCTTGTTTTCATTCTTATTCTCACTTTCATTCCGAATACCTTTTCCCCAATTACACTTCATCCTTTTCCCAAACCTTTCAACGATATCCTTCGCTGCTTTCAAATCGTCCATTTCATTTACAAAACACAATTCAAATATCCGCAATCCCCAGATTAACGCCATTAAATACCGTTTATCACTCACCATACTAACCAATAAAATGGTTGGAACAATTGAAATGGAAACCACCTTTAAAATATTTTTCATTCTCTCAACTCTACTCATCATAACTTGTTTTATTCTCTACTTCACCTCAGCCCAACTCAGCTCAACTCAATTCAGCTGGCACTTTCTTATTGAGATCAAATGTCTTGGGTCATATTCCTCAATGTGTCCTCCTTTCGCTAAACCTCCCTCTCTTTCCATGCTTCTTATACTTTTGCACTGTTCCACCCTGACGCTTTTTCTCTTTTTCTCTTTTTCTCTTTTTCTCTTTTTCCCGTTTGTGCTTCAAAGCCACAGCAACGGCTCTCCTTCTCGCTTTTTCCAATTATTCCACGCTTTTCCAATTTTCACAATTCCCTCCCAAAAACAATACCACCATTACCAAATTGTGCATGTGAACGCCTACTTACGCACACAGCACGTGCCTTCCAAACGCTTTCACAATTAATTGGCCCATTTTACGAGCTTTTATTACCTTCTTTTCTTCTATCACCTCCTTCTCCATTTCCTATTCCATTACTTTTATCAATCATCTCCCTTCCTTCCCCTTCCTTCTGTTTCTTCTGTTTCTTCTGTTTCTTCTGTTTCTTCTGTTTCTTCTCTCTTCTTTTCTTCTTAATCCCTTTCACACCTTATATCCTGCTTTTTCTTTCACCATTCTCTTATCTTATCTTATCTTATCTTCTCCATCTCAACAATGTCAAACTCACCACTAGATCAGTCAACTCAAATTTACTCATGGCAGCCTGATAACTCCACAAACAAATGCACTCTCTGCTCAAAGCTCTTTTCTCTTTTCTTCAGAAGACACCACTGTAGAAAATGTGGCAAAATAATCTGCTCAACCTGCTCAAAACATTATACTGACTACCTACCAACAACCTATGTTGTCTCTCCCCCTTCTCAAATGTTTCTAGAAAACCCCCATGTTCCTCACAGAACTTGTGATGTATGTTTCAACGAACTAATAATGATCAAAAGAGCCCTCATACTGGATATCTCCCTACCATCCAACTCAACAACTACAACCTCAACAACAACAACAAACTTATCTCCAGCCACAAATTTATCCAATACAAATAATATCAGCGCCAATAATAACACTCAAACCACAAATACCCTCCTCACTCATCTTTTAAATTCAAATGTCCAATCAAATACTCAAAACAACCCAAATCATTATCTATTCAATGCAAATCACATCACTAACCTAATTAAAACCGATCCCTTTATTGATAACAACTCAACTACAAACACAAGTTTCCTCTCCGGTGCACTCACTGCCACTGCCTCTACAAATGCTTCAAACGCCTCAACTTCCGCTTCAATGAGAGCTAACTATTCAAACTCAAATTATATTCATAACGATAATATTAATAATGATATTCCCAACCACTTTAACAATCTTTCTTTAGATCATATTAGAACTAATAATCCTGTTTATAATGATAACCTAATTGATAACAATATCAACATTACCACCACTACTACTACTACCACTAATATTAATAATGATGATGATGATTTCAACTCTTGTCCAATTTGTGGTTATAGTTTGACTCAATTTCACCAGAATTTAGATAAAGAAAATCACATTAACTCATGTATCGAAAAAGCTCAATTTTCCGGCTCTCCAGATCAAAAAAGACTCATAAATAATAGAATGCTAGTTTATAGAATACCAAAATATGAAAAGATTAAAACTAATAAATTTAATAAATTTAATGAAACTAATAAAACTAATAAAACTAATAAACTTGACCAATTTAATGAGAATAGTAACAATATCCCTTCAACTTCTTTTGATTCCGATTTAAATATCTCAATCAACTTAAATGACCAATACCAATTCAAAAAAGAAAAAGAAAATTCAAATTCTAATCCAAATTCTAATTCAAATTCTAATTCTAATTTTAATTCTAATTCTAGTTCTAAATTCAAATCAGACCAAATATCTCTTCAAAGTAATTTTGAAAATGAGTGTGTCATTTGTTTTGAAGAATTTCGCCCTGGTGATAAAGTAGGCAGATTGGAATGTCTATGTGTTTTTCATTATAAATGTATAAAAGACTGGTTTGATATAAAAGGTCCTGGAGAATGCCCTGTTCATGCTGTTCACTATTAACATCAAAAAAAAAAAAAAATTCTTTTTTCCTGCTGTTGTTTCAATTTCCTTTCATCTGTTTCTTTTCTGCTTTGGTTTTTCTTTTCCTAATCTTTTTAATCTTTTTCATTTTTTTCATCTCTTACATCTCTTTTATCTCTTGTATGGTTTATTTTTTTTCTTTGTCTTTGGAATTCATTTTTTGTTTTTAGTTATAAATTGGTTTACTTTTTCGGATACGACTTTTATTTTATCTCACTTTTCGAATCATCATATTGATTCCCCTTCACGTTCTTTTTGAAACTTGGTTTTCCTTGGTTATTTATCTCTACATATTACTTCATTATCATTCACTATTTAGACTTTTACATATTACATATTAAACTACCTTTACATTCTGATATTTTTAGTACTGATGGATTTTTAATCTTCACTATAAATCCATGCGGGTTCACCATTTTCTACCGCCTTGTGTACGGCAAATCCTTTGGAACTCATCTTAAAATATTCATTAAAACCTGCATTTGTATCGACTGTATTCAACCCAACTTTCATTCAAATCTGAGTGTATTTTTCCAAATAAAAAAAACAACCTCACATCAATCATACAACTCCAAAACTTGTAAAACAACACATTCACAAAAGGATAACAAGATCTAAGTGTCCCAATCATAAATCTTCAAAAAAATTTATTCCGATACCGGGAATCGAACCCGGGTCTGCACGGTGAAAGCGTGCCATGATAGCCATTACACTATATCGGATACTCATAAACTTGTAAATTTGATATAAATTTGATATAAATATTATACTAGAAAGATTGATTTGGACGAAAAAGCATGGGATTTTTAGTCTTAGTGTTTATTTCCTTATTATCTTTGTAGGTTTTTTTCCTGGAAGACCAAGTTTTCCTACACATAGTTTAGAACTAAGTAGTTGGTCTTAGAATTAAGAAGTCAGTTTTTCTTTAGTTATTAAAAAGCGTTTATAGTTACTATATAGGTCTATGAGCCCCATATGACTGGTTCGTGGTCACAGAATATTATTATTACTTATTGATTTGCTTTCTGCTATTTGTTTGTGGTATTTAACCTTTAATTTCTTAAAAAAAGATTGAAATTTAATTGGAATTTAAGATCATAAGCTATCTTGATCCAATACCAGTTCACATACCTTTTTTAGCTTTATTTACATTGGGTTTTTCTATGACTTTGATTGAAATAAGGAGTTGGCAGTATGTATATATAGTGTTAAAATCAACCACAGTAAATAGGTCTGTTGACTAGTTCCGTAATCGTTGAATAAATATACAAAATCTATCTAAGACATCAAATTCGGATAAAAAGCTTGGTTATTTTCAAACCAACAGTCACAAAACTCTTTCTTACTATTCAGGATTTTATCTGGTATATTTGAATTTGATTTTAAAACAACTTTCACTTACTTTTCTGTTTTTTATTTTTCATATTGATTTTATTTTTTTGTCTCCTTTTGTTTTGACTCTAGTTTTGTTTATTCAATATTTTTTATCTATATTCTATTATCCTCAATTAGATTTGCTTGTTATAATCAAAATGTTGTAGTTTTCAACTTCTCACTTGTATACATTTGCAAATAAATTTGTAGATCTTTTATTAGAACATTAGGAAAATCATGGAAGTCAACAAGCTTTCAAACTTTTTGTGATAATAAACAAAGATAAAATAAAGAAGCCTAAAAAAAAAGTATTTTCTAGACTTATTTGATATTGAATATATTCCATAAAATTCAATTTGTTCAAATGTCTTGATATCAGCAATTATCACCAATGTACTAAATAATGAAATACAAAAATTGAATATCTTTTAAACAGTACTTGTTATTATACAAAAACACATATATTATGCCTGACCTTGCAAATAACCGCTTTTATAAACAATCAGATTTATTAAAGTCATGCGACCACATGCATGACCTACATAAATAACATATAGTTCAAAACAAATAAAAATTAAATTATTATAAATCTTTAAAATTATCATAAAGATTTTGTAAAATGAGTAATCTTTAGAACCCATTTAAAAGTTAGTCAAAAATAATAACTTTAATTTATAAATGGCAAGAAAAATACATTAGGCATTGATACTATGCGCTTAGAAATAACTGTCAAACTAAAGAATTCGAATACAATTTATCACAAATAACTAAATTTTTTAAGCTAAGAAATTAACCTTTTGTTGAAACACCAACTATAAAGTTATTATATAATAACTCTTTGGATAAATATAATTACAATTAACATATCCAAAAAAAATATTTCTTAATAGCTAAGGATTTATGCTCATCCACAAAGATAAAATGAAATTATTAAGCGAAACAAAAAAATAAAAAAACAATTTCTGATGCGCCTTGGAAACAGTGCAAAAAGCAGCTTAAATCACTGAAGCTACAACTTGAAAAGTTAGTCCTTGTAAAACAACAAAAAAATTAAGATATAAACATTACTGAAACTAATAGTCACTAATTTTTTGAAAAAAGAAATTAAAAATCAACATATCATATTAACTGAAAATTTGATTAAAGTGAATATTGTTTCAAAACAGAAAATGCACAAAAAAAATCAACCATAAATTTTGACTTTAAAAACCAAACAAAAACAATACTAATTTGACCCACAATTGTTTTTGTTTGGTTTTCAAATGACTTTAGTTATGTGATTTAAATGGCCAAGAATCACAATCAAAATTCGGAGAAATCGAACATAGATTGGAACCAACCCAAAACTGCCCCGAAATTTAGCATTATTTTCCTCGGCACAAAGCCACAAAAAATGCAAAAATGAAGGATGCGAGGTTCGAACTCGCGCCGGAAGTCTTCCAGTAGATCTTAAGTCTACCGCCGTACCGTTCGTACCACTCTTCTCTTGGGCTACAACAGTCCTAGATGGCTCCGAAGCCGAAGCCAGTTTGTGCAGCTAGAAAAACGATACATCAGAAAATTGGCTGCGAGAACAGCAGAGGAAGCAAAACAACTACAATTATATTTTATTTTTATTATTATGAATTACTTTAGACCGATATAGAATTATATAAAAGGCGTTGTAATTTGATCAATTTCGAAAGAAAGGGATCAAGTCTTCCAATACATATTTCTAGTTCTCTTCCAGTTTACATAAAAAGTCCTAAGTTACGGTCTTAGAATGTAAGCCCCTGAGAATTGGAATACAGGAAGCCCTACGGTTACGACCCACGAAGGTCCGCGTGCAAAACAGTACACGTCTTAGATCACTCGGCCAACCCTCTAGTTCTAATTCTGATCTTATAAACCAAAATCATTTGTGGTAGCTATTCCTTAGCATAACATCAAAGACAAAACCAAACAAAAATCAGAACACTATAGTCTCCAAAATAAAACTAATTAAGCACGTTTTCTAACAATCAGTTTCTCACAGCTGCTTGAAATTATATTGGTTTCCTATGCTAAATAATTATCCAAATAAATAATCTGTGCACTTTCAAATAAAAATTGAACAAAATGTATTTTGTTTTAAATACTGCCATTAGAAAACACCAGAAAATCATCAAATTAACTATCCCTATTCCTTAATTTTAAATATTGTTTCAACCAGTGTATTTTGGCTTTGATTTTGTTGACCTATCTTTCTGTTTCATAATCAAGAGCATACAAAGGAATGAAAGTTACTTGATCTGGGTGTTCAAATTTTTCTCCCTTTTTTGTTTTAAAAATCCAATTTTCTTTTAAGTTAAAAAACTTCAAAGTTTTTAGTTTTGAAATGTTTTTAGGATTGTAAATTTCATTTTTCAGAAAATGTAATTCAATTAAAAGAAACAAATTTGACAAGTTTTCAATTTTTATATTTGATAATAATTTTTTAAGTTAACCGATCTGTTTAAATTTTCAATTTTTCTGATTTTATTAGACAATAAATTTAAAAATGCTAAATTAACCAATTTATCTAAATTTCCAATTTAATTAATATTATGAGATGAGATTAATGTCTTCAAGTTAATCAATATATGTAAATTCCCGATTGTTTTGATCTGAGTACGACATAGTAATAAATACTCCTAATTTGTTAACTTGTTCAAATTTTCAATCTTCACAATATTCTAATTATCTTGATTAAGTAATGCCTCAACAACATCAACCTCGCTGATTTTTGAATTTAATAATATTAATGGTTTTAGATTTGGTAACTTGTTTAAGCTTTCTAATTTTTTAAGGTAGATATTATATGATAAATTCAAGTATTCTAGATTGTTAACATATTTAAGCTTTCAATTTTTCTAATGTTTGTTTTTATTAATTATACGATTTCAAGATTTACTAGTTTATCTAAATTTTTAATCTTCTCGATATTTTGATTATTTGATAAACCCAAATATATTAATCGAGTTAACTTATCTAAATTTTCAAACAAAGCAGGCTCATCATTAATACTTTCCGCTATACTCAATTTCAAGGTTTCTATGGTGCTCAAATTAAAATATTGTGAAATGTCTTTATTGTATTGAATAGCCCAAGAAGAGCCATTTATATATATTTCAACTAAATGTTTATAAAAAAAAATCATTTAAATTATCAAAGTAAATTTGATTAGTTTCATTTGGATCATGAACATCAAGACAAAATATTTTTATATTTTTTGAAGTAGAACATTTGATACAACCCTCTAAAGCATCTAATGGTTTATTCCAGTCCAAATATTTAAAAGAACCAATAGAATCATTGGGATCATTCAAAGATTGACTCAAGATTAGATATCCAATTTTGATTGCAATATCCTTCAAATGATATGAATTATTTAATATCGTCCTTCCAACTTTTTCAATATTATCTAATATCCTTTTGAGTAAATGGAGAGGTTATGTTAAAAAAAATATAAAATGACTCTATTTTGTTTGAATCCTCAGAGTGTTTGGTCAATAATATCAACACTATCCATTTGCTCTGAGATATTAATCCAAAAAAATAAAAGTCTACAAAAATTTAATACCTGAAATTTAAATAGATACGAACCTTGAAAGCAAATTTTGAGAGCTGCTTCTTTGGTACAACCAGAGGGATTGGAAATCTTGATATTTTTAAATAATAATAATAATGTCGAAAATTAAATTGAATTGTTATCTGATAATCTGAATAACTATATTAATGGATATAATTCCGTATTCAATTAAGTATTATTCTGAGTAATATCATATGCAGGTATCGTACATCCAATAAAATCAATGAGATAATATGGACCTGACTAGATTATGTTTAATAAATAGTTCTTAAAGATCAAAGAAATGATTAAATCTGTAATATTTATGCTGCAAACTAAAAGTGCTCATCAATAACAGCAATAGGAATAATGACAGTGATGATGGTGGTGATTGTGGTGATGATAATAATTTCATGTTTGAATTTTCAATACATTTCATTTGAATGGATGCTTATCTTAACCACATTGAACCAAATCAGCTTTTTAGAAAACCATAAAGTTGATCCACAAATGGTTTTGCTTTCTATTGCAAATTCTGTAAGCAATAATATGTGTTATTTGATTTCTTTCGATTATTGTCATTTACCTTACAGTATTTTATGTTAAGTTCAAATCTAAATTAGGTAACATATTTGATAATGAATCCAATATAGTTTTTGGTTGGTTGCATAAGAAATAAAGCATCAATGTGGTGTTCAATAAATCATCAAGACATAAAAACTTTCTCAAAATTAAAGAGAAATTACCATAAATAATTACCAATTTACAACTCTAACCTGAACATCGCTCCTGTGTTAAGCTCTTTGTTTAGAGTAATGTTGAACTAAACAGTATTCATTTGGATACTCTTAGTATTGATTCAACTCAGATAGCATACCATCTTCATAAAATACACCAGCTCTTAGCTCTGTCCTACCATTTTTTACAAGCGAAACTTTTTGGAGACAAGCAGCTCTGAGAATGCCACTCTTTTGACACTTTTTCTTATCCTTAACATATTTTTGATTGAATACAGATACTTGATTCAAAGGCCAAAAAACCAAAGAAATATTGAGATAAACCAATTCTGCAAAGACGCTGGCATTTATATTCTCAGCATCGATAACCAAATTCCAGAATTTTTTGTCTATGTGGCATTTCCCAACAGAAAAATAAAATGAAAAGAAGCAGAAGAAGCAGAAGAGGCAAATAGATGAAACCAATTGTCCAATAGACGCATGTCCCATAAATGTGGTAAATCAGATTGTAGTTGTATGCAGTTGTATGCAGTTTCATGCACATTAACGTTTAAAATGCTTTCACACTAAAGAAATTTTTTTATCAAGTGATTGGAGAGATTTGATACTTTACATTTGTTTTGTATTTTACTCTATTCTATTTGCCAACTAAATCAGTATTTTCATCCAGTGATGATAGTTTTTTCGCATTAATTGATGTTTTAATGCTAGTGGTGAAGTTCTACTCTTGCTATCCTAATCCACCACTTGCAATTTGTGCCAGCTACTAGATGTTTAATTGTCTCAATTCCCAGAAACGTGAACTAATCCTTTTTTTTGAATTTTCCTTCAAAGAAAAGTTGTTTTTTAGAAAAACTATTTACGGGATAATAATGGAACTATTAATGACATCTTTCAACCACCGAAAATTAACTTAAAGTGTATATAAAGAAAAGAAGGCAAACGATTGACCATAAAAACACTAAATTGTACTGCATTTATAGTTAAATCAAAAGGAGTTCAACAGATGTCAAATAAATCAGGTTTTTGGCTTATATTCAATTATACAACATTATTTAATAAAAAACAAAAAACGTAAAACTATACGTTAGTTTTATTCATGTTGACCTGAATATGGTTGGTCTTCAAACGAACTTTAGATCATTGGTTTTGAGAAGTGTATTTTCAGAAAATCACCAATGTCAGACAGATTTCCTTTCAAATGATTCTTGTTTTAACATTCGTATCTCACTTCATTTCACAAAACAATAAAACTTCTAAACCACATTGTTTGATATTGTTCCATATTCTTTTTTGTTGAGATAAATTCACAACCTCAAACTGCATGTCATTGCATACAACTGCAGATACACTGCATTTGATATATTTGGAATTATCTTTCAAGAACCAGAATTTAAATGATTCATTTCGAAAAGTATCAATAACTAATATGGAAACTGCACTGGTGTGTTTATATTGATGGAGATTGTAATGAAGCCAACAAAATATTTGCAACTCGAATTTCAATAAACGCTTCTAGTTAAAAATGTGAATAACGAAATAATTGATTCATATTTTCTTTCATATTCTCTTTCATATTCTTCCATATAAATAATGCAGTGGTTATCCATATTGATATTAATATTCACATCCATATATATACTCACAATCGAAACTATACCTATGATATACTCACCTCTCAATATAATATATTCAATTTTCACAACAATAAACACAGATATACAAATCACTAAATACTAAAAATGAATCTGCCACTCACTGAATCATTTCAAAAAATATTTTTAAAAGTTCCTGACAAGTATCATCGGCTATTTACCTTATCAATCCTCCCAAAAGTGGAATCCAAAACCCTCAAAAAGATGGAATCTAATACTGCTTTGAAGTCGTATAATTCTGTCATTATAAATCTTACCGCAAACAATGAATTTGTCGATTCTAGCACCAAAAATACAAATTTATTCACTTATATTGATTATTATAATAAAAACCATTGCAATAGTTATGATAGTTATAATAACCCAAATGATTTCAATAGCAAAAAGTTGGATATACCAAAAGATGTTTTGCATTTAGAGGGCTCGGATTTTTTCAAACTCAACAACCAACATACAAAATTAATTCAAAACCTTACAATATTGTTAGATTTCTTTAAGATTGATGCAGATTATTGTAATATATTGGTTGATATTCTAAAAAAAACAGAAAATTTGCAAAAAATTAATCTTATCATTTATGATAGTGATAGCAAGCTTTGTCTATTTAATCATGAAAAAGTAGATAATTCAGGACTTAATAACGATTTGTATGAAATTTGGAATAAATTTACAAAACTATTAATCCTTCTCAACTCGGATTCTTTAAATCAAATCAATATTAATTCTGGAGATTTTTCAGTTGATGTTTCTAAGTATTTTTGGTTTTTGAATCAATTAACTGAAGATACAAATAAAAGCTACTCCACCAAGAATGCACAATTCTTTTTAAATTTTGAGTCCTTTAATAAAAGCTCTTTATTTTTTAAAGAGCAAAAAACAAATTATACTGATGTATTAGTTACTAATGATGAGTCTAATGATAGTTTTATTAATGAATCTACAAGCGATTTAAATCACTGGGAAATTTTCCCAACTCAATCTTCAAACTTTTTGTATCAATTTTCAATTGGCGATGATATATTTTTTAAAGAACTAAACTCATTTATGAAATTTTCAGTTAATTATTCATTTCTGAATTCACAAGTAGAGATGCAACCTTTCCCTCCTTTTCTTAAAATAAAAACATTAGGGTTTCAAGGGATTGATTTCAGCAAAATTAACGATTTAACAAACAAAGCTGAACACATTAAATTGGATTTTTCCAAAAATACTATTTTTAACGCTAGAATATTATCAATTTTAATTAATTTGTCATTTTTAAATTTGGCTCATAGCCAAATTGAAGACATATCTTTTTTAGCAAATTTAATTAATTTAAGAACTTTAAATTTAAGTGACAATTTTCTTAGAGAAGTCTCTTGCTTAGGAAAGCTAATTCATTTAAACAATTTAAACTTAGATGATAATGATATTGTAAATATTGATTTTATAATTCATTTGAAAGAATTGAGAAGATTATCATTTTCTATTAATTCAATTGAAAGCATTGATAGTTTATCAGAATTAAAAAAATTGGTTAATTTAGAAGGAAATTATAATAAAATTCAGAAAATTGATCCAATAATTAAATTACAAAAACTTGAAGAATTGTCTTTAAATTGTAATAAAATTTCCGAACTAAAAGAAATAAATAAATTAGAGAACCTTGTTAAACTTAATTTACATAGAAATTTAATCAAAGAAGTTAAAGAAGTCTTTTTTTCTGCGGATAATTCGAAAAAATTTAGTAAATTAAGAAAGATTAAAATTTCTGGAAATCAAATTGAAGATTTGAAAAACATTTATATTCCAGAAAATCTTGAATATTTTGACTTTTCATGGAATAAAATTAATAAATTTTCTATTAAAGATTGGGAAAATATTTCCAAGTTAAAAATTATTAAGTTGGATCAAAATTCCTTAAAAGGATTGAAGAATTTCAAGATTCCAAACAGTATTGAAAAATTGTTTTTAGATCACAACAATTTAAAAAATTTTCCATTAAATATAATAAAAACCAGCACTAGTTAAAATCACTTTAATTAGACTACGATATATTATTAGATGAAAAACGAATGAATAGTCCTTTAAGTGTTTTATATTCCATTTTTCACAACTCACATTATTCTGATTGAGAAATAGAAATATTCAATATTTCAAGCATTCATTTAAATTATATATCACTGGACTTATTAGAAAAGTGGTTTGAAAAAAATTAATAATTAGACTTGAATAGTTTTGAAATAAAATTATTATAGATTAAGAATTAAGATTGTGTAAAAATGGTATCAGTGTTTTATTAATTGTTTTATTAATTGTTTTATCAGGTGTTTTATTAGGTCTTTGTTTTGCATTTTTATTATTTGATCTATAACTTATATATTTAAATAAACTATTTTCTTCGAAACCAAAACAAATAAATAATTAAGATTTGTACTGCACGTCTGTACTTTTTGCAATATTAACATATTTGTCAACCAGGTTTCAACTAATTAATGATTTTATACATATATATATAGATCGCATAGTTCTTATTTATATGTTATATTATTCATCTGATATTCCTTTTCTAGCTCATATTTTTTGAGATTTTTATTATTTTTGTTATTTGGGAAATATACGCTCAAAACAAAGAACAGCCTCGACGGGGTTCGAGCCCGTGTTTGAAATCTCGGCCCGTTTTGTTTTGGAAATGATAAAACATTCTCAAAATAACAAAGAGATATCAGAGAAGAGATACAGTTGGAAAGATTTGATTTTTTTATTGGTGTCTTTAACAAGTGTTAGCAGATTGTTACAATGGATGATCCATATGCTGAAATTGAAGCTAAGAAAATCGGTGCTATCATGAACACAGTAGTATGTTACAACTATTTACAAGTCCCATCTTTTTTTGCTTTGGATTTGGAAGAGACTAACAATCAAAGTCTGCAGACGAGACTAAATGAGTCAATGGGCATTGTCAACCAATGTTTACAGGTAAGTTCTTTTGACTTTCAAGTCTATTTGTGTGATTACAGTTAATCGTATTTTTACTAGTCAGGTTTGGAGCTGATACTAATATTAAAAACTTTTCAGAGCATTGCTGAGCAAAACAACGAAATTGATGCGCTTTCAAGAATTTTGACAAATTATCAAGCAACTGCAGAAGATAAATTGAAGGGTGATAATAATTTCAAAGATCCAATCTGAATTCAATATATATCTATTGTCTATATATTAGATATGCTATTAAATAAAATTATGGTACAAGTGAAAACATCGGTAGATTGCTTAGTAGTCAATAGGTTCTATAAAGATTTCTAAGTTAGTATTTGCATTCTTTTTCTGTTGGAGCGAAATAGAAAACAATTGAGAAAAAAAAAACATACCTTGTTGAGTTGGCAACATATTGTATCTCTTTTTTAAAGTAACTCTTTGTCTTGAGTATTTATCATCTGGCGAAAAACGAGCAGGATGAGCAGATTTGGTGATTTCACCATTTTCAGTCAATTTCTTCAAGGTGTAGATACGCTTTCCATCTGAGCCTATAGTATACATTAAGTGCATTTTGATGATAAGAAGATGATGTTGGCTGGTGGAAAATATCAGTTACTAGCTTCTTTCTGATGGTTTTCTTCTTTTCTTCTTTTTCTTTTTCTTTTCTTTTTTCTCTTCATCTCAGACGTGGCGGTGACTATTACACGTGATATGCATGGCTGTGCACACCAGCCACTTTAGATTGTGTTGAAAATGTGTCTGAAAGCGAATTAACAACAGAACCAGAGCTGATCGCTTTTAAAGACGACTACAGTTGATCTGCTGCTTCCAGAAATTGGCTGCTTCGTAATGGCGCAAACTCATGATGTGTTTGCTGACTTATTTGCTTCCACGAAAAAAAAGGATCTTTCCAAGTTATCGCTAGCTGAACGTCAAAGGTTGCAACAGTCCTCAGCTTCTCTGAACAACGCCAATTCAGGTCCTAATAACAGTAACAATAGCAATTGGTCTGGTCTAGATCTATTGGATTCGTTTTTGAATAATAATTCTTCTTCTTTTGCCAACTTGGGATATTCAAACAACAATGCTTTCAATAACAATACTAGCAACTCTAATGTCAATCAGAACGATAGCTCCTCCAATATTGATGATCTTGATGACTTATTTGCTGTTTTTGATACTCCACCTGTGCCCAAATCTTTAGCAAACTTAAATGCTTCAATCAAATATCAACCTCAAGATCAGATAAATTTTGCATCTTCTCCCACGTCAGATTTTTCTGCAAACCACAATAACGTTCTTAATACAACTGTATTAAATCGCTTTCCAGAATCTTTTTCAAATGTAAGATCTAATAATAATTACAGTGACGATGATAATATTTTAATAGATTCTTTTCAGCAATTAAAATCAGACGACTATGAAGATCATAAAATTCATCCATATTCAAAAAATTACAAAAAAAACAATAATAACAATAATAATCATAGTGTGTTTCTTGATTACGAGCCAAAAAATTACCAATCTCAACCTCGAAATCAAATTTTAAATCAACACCATACAAGAAATGATAATTTTAATGATTTATTTGACGATTTATCTACCCCTGATTTAGTCTCAACTGCCACTAATTTATTCAACAAAAGTAAAAATATTATATCAAAAAACATTGAAAAATATCAGGCTCATTATAACTCAGAAATAACTGGGAAACCAGCTTGGATGTTTCAACAACAAAAATATATGAATCAAAATAAAAACTCAAATGGTTTTAAAAATACTTCTTTGCCAAATTTACCACCAATGGATAACCCCAATTACTCTACAAACTCTTCTACTTCTCCAAAATTAAGACAATTTAAAACTGGAAGATCCTCAAATAACAGCAGTGTTAATCTTGATAATTCTCATTCATCGAATAGTTCCAATAATTCAACCCCTAAAGCGCATACTAGCCAACAATTTCTTTCAAGACAATACCAAAACCAATCTTCTTCTTTAGTGGATATAAATTCATATTCAAATGAGCAATCAATATATGTTTCACCAGCAAGAAGAAGAAAACAACAAACAGATTTTCCCACTCATAATTCTACTAGACCATTATCTGCTCAAAATTATAATTTGAAAAATAAAACTAGCAAAAATCAAACTCGTAAATTTCAAAATGTTCAAATTACTTCAGAGTCTAAATTAAAATTTAATAATTATAGAAATCTTGGAACAGATTTCTTCAAAAAAGGTGATTTCACTTCTGCATTAACTAATTTTGAACTTGCTTTGAACTCTTTACCTAAGAATCATTTACTCATGGTTATCGCTTATTCAAATCTATCTTCATGCAATTTGAAACTTGGAAACTCAAAAAAATCTTTAGAAAACATTGAAAATGCTCTATCAATAATTGGTCCGGTTAGCACAAGTTCTTCACCGGAATTTCTTGAATCTGAGATTGAAACTGGTAAAACAATAAAGGAATTTTGGTCAAAATTATGTTTAAAAAAGGCAAATTCCTTGGAACATTTGGAAAAATACAAAGATGCACTATCCGTTTATTTGATATTGATTGCAAATGGTGTAAGTTCAAAAAATATTATGGATGGCAAAAATCGTTGCCAAAATGCATTAAATCCAAAACCAAAACCAAAACCAAAACCCCAAAGTTACCCATCAAATAATTTGAGAAAACAAACTGGATTTCAACCTAATAAAAATACAAATTTGTATTCAAATAAACCTTCTAAAGCCGTTAAAAACATTCAAAGAGAAGCATTTATTAAGGAAAAGGAAGAAAATGAGAAATTTTTATTATATGATTCAATTGAACTTAAAATCAATTCTTGGAAAAATGGTAAAGAAGATAATCTTAGAGCATTATTAGCATCCTTGGATTTGATTTTATGGCCCGAGGCAAATTGGAAAAAAATATCAATTGCAGATTTAGTTTTAGATAAAAAAGTTAAGATTTTTTATCTAAAGGCCGTAGCTAAAACTCATCCTGATAAAATAAATAAAAATGCAACTACTGAGCAAAAATTAATAGCTCAAAATGTTTTTGTTATTTTGAATAAAGCCTGGGATATTTTCAAAGAAAAAAATGGTATACAGTAATATATTTGGGCTGAACTTTAATAATTGTTATAATGTTATAATGTTTTAATTTTTTTTTTCTTTTTTTTTTTATCAAAATTTATTTTAAACTTGTTATTTGCTTTTTTTTTATTTCTATTGAATATTTAATCTTTTTAAAAAGAGTATTTTTTGTAAGAATATTTTTATTTTTATTTTAATTTTTCTTTACTGTCCTTTCAGTAAAAAATACTATACATATAAACAATATAATTGCATGTTTTATATACCGGTTTAAATTTAAATATAATATATAAATGATTGCATTGGAAAATATACAATCATTTGTTGATAGGAGTAGCTGCTCTTGATTGATTATTACTCTCTCGTACAACTCTTGCAAATTCCAGAATGGCTCTATTAAGAGAATCTTTCAATGGTTTTAAATATATTAGAGCTCTATCTTTTTTTTCTTTGTCTGGAAGACTTTCAATGACTGAAGTTACTCTGTCATCACATTTTTTGATACTTGTATATAGTTTTTGAAGGGATTTTGATTGAGAGGGATCTCCTGAAGAGAAAACAATCCAAAAGTGCCTTAAAAATTCAACAGATGTTATATGAGTTCTTCTTAATGCTTCCAAAGCAACAGTTCCGAATATTTTATCCTCAATTTGGTCTGAAGTATTATTTAAAAGATTAGTTGCATTTAGGGTATTAGATGTTGAAAGTTTTGAAGCTTGCCATGATTGTTTTGACTGTTTTGAATTGATCTTTGCAGTCATGTTAACTTTAGAAGAAATCTGGTCTATACATTCTTTATTTGAAAATACAGATTTAAAATCCAAAGGTTTATTAAATAGAGTTTTTTCATAATTTAAGATTCTTAGTTCATCCTCCTTTGAAAAATTGACAAGTATGTTATTTAATTTACTTTTTTTTTTCTGTAAGCCACGGGTATTTTTATTCTGAATATTTAGTTCTATATATTCAGTTTTAAAGGAGTCTTCCAAGTCAGATAAGATCAACTCTTCGGTTTCTTTTTCCAATATAGAATTCAATTCCTCCTGGGAATCCAAAAACCGTCTTTTTGAAGGATTAGAAAACTCGTCATGAGAAAGATCGACTAATTTTTTACTTAATTTGTTCATTCCTTTTAGTATTGGAACAATTTCATCGTTTTTATCAGTCCTCATTGTAAAATCAGGTCTGTTACCCAATTTTTGGGAAACGTCTTGTTCATTTGCATCGAGATTTATAAAACGATTAATATGAATGTTATTATCTTGATTGTTTATGCTATTTTCAGAAACATTTGTATTTGAAATGACATTGGGGATTGTATCATTCAAGGATTGATTCAAGTCCATTTTCAAATATTTATCTAAAATGACATCACCAGTGTCATTTCTTTTAATTTTTTCGCCTTTTAATTTTCGAAATAATAAAGAACTGAAAAATCTAGACCAAAATTCGCCCTCGCTCATTCTTGGAACATTTTCGTCGTAGGCTCTTTTGATAATGGGATACTGCTCAAACATTAAAAATATCTTTTCTCTTGTCAAGGAAATATTTGACTGACGATCGTCATCTTCAACGGGTTTGATCGTACTCAATACATTATATGGCCCTCTTTTCTGAGCAGATTGCAATGCAAAAGTTCTTAATAAATGGATTCTAGCACTCCAAAATTCAACAGGAGTAAGCTTGTTTTCAATAACGGTTTCCTGAAAAGTTTTAAATATCATTGGATTTTTGGATAAAAACTCCTTCTGCAAATCGAAATCCTTTATCAATTTCTTGAAATCCAAAATGTCGTCAATTGAGGTGCCCCTGTCATTGGTGTTTTGGAAAGTGGACTTGCCCTTCAATTTGTTTTGCTTCTCTTTCTCTTCCTGGAGCTCTTGAGCTCGCATGGCCAATTTTTGTCTCGAAACAAAGACTTGCAAGGAATCCTTGATCTTGTTCATAGTGACTCGACTCTTGAAGACAAAATTGATTGGCTTGGGATCAGCATTGGCATCGACTTTGTACTGGATTCTTATCTTCATCTTATCAGACGTTGGAGCATTGGCCTGCAAACCACAGATCAGTCTCAAGGACACACGCAACGAAAGAGGGTTTCCCTCGCTCTCGACAGGTTCCCATGTTAGAACAGGAGGATCATTCAACTCGTCAATACTCACAATACCAGATCTGGACTTGTAGACACATGAACCAGAAATCATCACCAACAGCTGCTCTCTGTGAAGAAGTGGAAGCAGCTCAAAGGCCTCTCGCTCTTTTCAAGCTTTCGCTTACGTAAGCGCCGCTGGAAAAAGCAGGAGAAAAATTTGGTGTGAAAAATTTATTGCAATCCAAAACTATAGCTTAAAACCCAGTCGTAACCCACAGCTCCTCACAATGTCTGTTATTGGAATCGCTTTTGGTAATTCTACTTCCTCCATTGCTGTTTCTACTGCTGAGGGCAAGGTCGAGGTCATAGCCAACCCTGATGGGGAGCGTGCCATTCCCTCAGCTCTATCCTATGTTGCTGGTGACGAGTACCATGGTGGACAGGCCATTGCCCAGTTGATCAGCAACCCCAAAAACACCATAACCAACTTTCGTGACTTTATTGGCGTTTCCTTTGAGAAAATAGATCCCACTGTCTGCGAGTCCTCCTCCAAACCCATAAATCTTGATGGCAAGGTGGGCTTCAGAATTTCCAAAAATGGGCAAGAAGAAGAGACTTTGTCCATAGACGAGGTTGTCACCAGACACTTGAGGGCTCTTAAATTGGCTGCTGAAGACTACATTGGCGAAGAAGTTGAGGGTGTTGTGATGACAATTCCCACCAACTTCACTGAACAACAAAAAGCTGCCTTAAAGGCTGCCAGCAAGAAAGCCGGCTTGGATATTTTGCAATTTATCAATGAGCCAAGTGCTGCTTTATTAGCTCATGTTTCTGCCAACGATTCCTTGAAAGAAGACAAATTGTACGTGGTTGGTGATTTTGGTAATATCAGATCTGACGCTGCTGTCATTGCTGTTAGAGGTGGCATTATGACCATTTTAGCTACTTCCCATGACGAACTAGGAGGAGAAAAATTAGATGCTGCTTTGATGGAATTTTTCAGCAAAGAATTTGAAAAAAAATATAAAGTTAACCCAAGAAAAACCACCAAATCTTTGGCCAAACTAAAAGACGCTTGTGCTACTGCAAAAAAGACCTTGTCCAACGTTCAAACTGCCACTATTTCAATAGATGCTTTGGCTGAAGGCTTTGATCTCAATTCAAGCATCAATAGATTGCGTTTTGAACTAGTAGGTCGTAACGTCTTTTCTCAAATGACTACATTTATTGAATCTGTTGTCAAGAAAGCCGGTTATGATCGTTTATATATTGATGAAGTATTATTAGTTGGTGGTACTTCTTTTGCTCCAAAATTAGCTGCAAACTTGGAAGCTGTTTTTCCTGAGACCACAAAAATCATTTCTCCAGCAACTGCAAAGGCTATTGATCCAACTCAATTAATTGCTCGTGGTGCTGCTCTACAAGCCTCGATGGTTGAATCCTTTGATGAATCTGAAATCAATGAATCTTTACAACCAATTGTTCTCAACACATTGCATTTACCAAATTCTGTTGGTATCTTGGATAGCAAAGATATCTTCCACCCAATTTTGTTAGCTGAAACCGCTGTGCCTATTCGTAAATCATTAAAATTGAAAGTTGGCAAAAAGGGCAATTATTCAATCAACATTGTCGAAGCTAATTCCCACATCAAAGAAACCACTGTGGAAGCAGCTGCTAAAGAAGAAAAACCAAAGGACCAAGAAGATGATGATGAATCTGACTGGTCAGATGAAGATGATGAGCCCGAAATACTTAGAGAAAGGGTTTATGTTACCAAAAAGAAATTAGTTGAAATAGCTTTCAACACTTCTGACGATAATTCCACTATTGAAGTGACTCTAAACGTTGTAAAAGATGGTAAATTACAAGTGTTTGTAAGAGAAGATAAAATAGCCTCAATTCCCGTAAAAGCTGAAGTGCTTGCTCAATAGTTTATTTTAATAGAGTAAAAAAAATTAAAAAATGAATACAAATCTCAATTATAGATTTATAATTTTAATCTTGAAAAGTTTCGAACATTAACAATTTTTCTAATTATATAGTATAATATAAAAGAGCTCATAAGAGTCGACAAAAGATAAATGCACTTTTGTTTATTTTTTTGGTTACTTGTCTAATTCAATAGAATTTGTCTCATTTTTTTTTATAAAAGCATTTTTATTACTATTATCATTATTATAATTTCCCTTTTTTATATTTACTTTATCGTTTTCAAATGATAAAGAATTTCCGTTTCGTTTACTGTTTTCTTCCAACCTCAATTTACTAATTTCAATGGCTAAGTTTTCAATTGAGGTTCTTAAATTTGCAAGCTCGATTAACAACTTAAATTCTTCAATAAAAAATTTTTGAGATTGTTTTAATGGATAAGCTGCTAATGCACCACCAAACATATTAATACCATTGCTTTTGTCAATTTTCTTTTTCATTTTTTTCGTTTTCTCGTTCTTTTTAATGGTTTCTTCTTGAATAGGCTCTTTATGGAAAGGAGATTCATCGGAATTTCCATCATCTGTTTCTGTTTCCACTTTTTTACTTTGGTTTAAATTAGCCACATTTCTCTTTCTTAAGTTTGATTCATTTAAGTTATGTTGTTCTGTTAATTTGTCATCTAAACCAATTGATTCAACATTATCTATTGGTGTTTCCTTTTCTTTAATTAAAAAATTAACTTGCTTTTCCTGTGTTAAGTTCATGACACTATATTGTATTCAAGACGATTAGTAAAAAAGAAATCATGCTTCATAAAATTAACAAAAAAAAAGAGTAATTTTTTGAGGTTTTAACTTACACAATATATTTTGGTTCCCTATCTCTCATATCCCAGTATAATTGACTATATCTTTTAGAAATTCCACCAAAATTGACATAATTGGCTCTTGCTAGGTTTATAAAACCCATTGATGAGGATTTATCGATTTCTAGAGTTAAATCATATAGCTTGGACAATAAGTTTAAGTATTCTATAATCTTTTGATCAATTGGATTATAAGTGATTTTTTCACTGGCTGTATTGATCGATGATAAAATATCTATATCCTCATCATCATCTTTATCGATATTGATATTATTTTCTGTATTTTTATTATCTTGGTTATTGTCATTAACTGATTTCACTTGACTCTTTAAATCTCCATTATTTTTGCTTTTCTTCTGATCATCAGTTGGTGATTCATCCAAGTACTCCAATTGGGATCTATCCACCAACTTCAATGAACCAAACAAGTCTACTATTGTTTTTTCTTTAACTGCCATTTTGTTATTTCTTTCTCATCTCAAAACCAAAACCAAAATCCATAAAATTCATTCAACGCATAAACTGTGTAAAATCACGTGCGGTTTTTGTCCAACTTTTTCAAATTTTTTTTTCTTTGAGCAAAATAAAACTTTTGATTGATTTTTCATTAGCAAAACAACAAAAACAATTGAAACTTTTTTGCGAATATTTGAAAATAAAATGGATCAAATAACTACAAATAAAGCAATTAAATTGGGCAAGAGTGGAGGTATTCAATTACATTCAGAATTAAAGATAAGAAACTTTAAAAGGGTGTTTACTGAGCCGAAAGAAACGATTAGAGCAAATCAGAAAATTGATGAAGTAGATGACCAGAAACAAGAAAAAGAAGCTTATGAAAGTGATAAAACTGATGAAAGCGATGAAAGCGATGAAAGTGATGATGATGCTCCTGAAGAAGACAATATAGGTAGTGGTAAAAAAATAGCTGATAATATACTACAAGAACAATTAAAGATAGAAAATGATCAAAAACTGATTTTAAAGGATAAAAGACGATTAATAAATGAAAAATTTAAAAAACAGCAGGAAGATAAACAATTAAAGTTGGAAGAAAAAGAGAAGGAAAATAAAAAAAAACTAGTGAGTATAGCATCAATTGACAATGAGATACCAGATTTTTTACCAGAAGAATTATTGGAAAGTGCAGCACAATCATCATTGGATATAAATAATGAAATTTCCAAAAAAAAGAAAAATGGCAATTTAGGGAAGAATGATAATAGTAGTAAAAATTCGTTTACTGGGAAACATATAAAATTAGATCAAATTGATATTGAAGATCTTAAAAAGATAAAACAAAAAATAAAAGCTAAAAATTTAAAAAAATTAAAAAAGAGGAATCAGAAAACAATTAAAAGAGGCCCTGTTAAAGTAACGGTGCTATCGAATACAAGAACAAATAATTTAATTGCCCCTTCATCTGAAAAAATAATTCAAGAGAAGAATAAATGGCTAAAAAGAAAAGTTTTGGGAAAGTCTGGTAGATTTTAAGTAGGAATGGAAAAAAATAAGCAAAAAGCACAAAGATTTGCTAAATATAAAACAATTGATTTTTGAAATATATAAAACAAAGTGATGGAATTAATAATACAAAATGAAATAAGGAGATGATAAAAATGAAGAAGTGAATTTTTTTTTTAGTTTTTTTTTTCTTGTATAATATGGTATATAATTTATTTTTTTTTTTTCGTTTTTGTTTAAATTCTATAATTCATAGTCCAAAATCTTTTTAAAGTTATAAGATTGTTTAATTTGATTACATTACTTTTTTGAATGATTATTCTTTAATAAGTGTAGCTATCATTGGTAATAACATACCTGCAATACTTATGGAAACATCTGTTAAGGAAATATTTTGGTTTTCATCAGTCATTGTTGTATCAGTTCCGGCACTTGAAGGATTGTTATTATGGTTGGTTTCATGAATATCATGGTTATTATTGGAAGTAAATTCTTGCATTACATGAACAGCGACATAGAGAAACGTTCCGCCGCTAAATAATAGTAATAAACCAGTCCACCAAGCGATTGAAGTTTGATTATTATTACCCAAGAAGATTATGGTAATGTAAGTTAAAAAGGCGCCAAATGGAGCAGCGATAGCAAAACACGTTAGATTGATTTTAATTTGGAAATTTGATATATCTGATCTCAATAAAACAGATGTTAGCGCAAAAGCAGCAGGAAACTTGTGAATCATAATAGCTAGGAAAACAATGATTTCTAAAGTTGTATTGGTTGTTGCAATTGATGAGCCAAGGGCTATACCATCAGCTATTGAATGTATGACTAAACCCAAAGTGGTGGAGGAACTCAATAAGGATTTTATGTAAATTATCGGATTCAAATATTTTTTCACAAATGAAGCTGAAAATTCAACCTCAGAAGGAATGATATAATTTGAAAAATCGCTATGATTGGTTATCGAAGAATTGTTATTAGAAAGCACAGTGGTTCTTTCAATTGGGATAGCATTAGTGTGTAAATCGATATTTATATCATGAATATTAAAATCACCATTGTTCACTGAAACATATTGAGGAGATTTATGTGATTTCAAAATCAATTGAAAATTATCAATCAAGTACATCAACATGAACCCAAACAAAAGCATGATTCCAACATAAAATGAGTTTCCCTTTACGGCTGTATTGGAGTCAGAATCATCAGAAATTGTTGACAAGTATAAAGTGTTAACACCTTCGGGGATGATGATGAGTAGCGCAGTTCCAATTAAAATACCCATTCCAAATATAGATATCGATCTGATCCTCGAGGGCGATAGTTTGATTGACAAAGGTAAAATACCAGCAATGAAGGCACTACAACGAAGCAAATGTCAAGTAGAGGAGAGCATGTTAGAACAGGTCTGGTTATGGATGCAAATGTAATGCCAAATCCCATGTAAATGAATCAAACCACCAAACATACGCAATACCCATGAGGGCGGACAGAAGCACCAACGTAAGAAAACCGTGCATCTCGAGCAATATCGCAGTGAAAACAGAGCTCCAGCTAACACTCTCCACCGGTAATGAACAGCAATAACCTCCACTCTCAAAGGTGGTATTATATTGCCTGTCAAAAACGGCAGCGCCCAAACCTTATTTGGGCCTGCGCCAGCTGTGTGGGTCGTCTTTTTGTACCAGGAAGCAGAAGCAGCAGAAGCAGCAGAAATAGCAGAAGTAGAAGAAGTACACTGGTTTTGTGCGGCTGTTCCACAAAAGCAAAGAAGCCATCGGTCCATGAAAAGCCATATATAAAAGGTCTTTTCAACGATTGAGAGTTCTTCCTTTTTTTCCTTTATCTCATCACCTTGGATTTTTATTTCTGCTGCTAATCTGAAAATATCTTGCTTTCTATATTCTTCAAACTTAGCTCATAAAATATTATAAAAAAATAAGACCAAAGTTCTTATAGTTCAAATTCTTCATAAAGTTTACTACTCTCGTTTTCGCTGAAAAATGTCTTCTGCTGATAATCTCAACAACATGGAAAGTAACCAAAACACTATTGATTCACTAAATGATTTCCTTAGTAACCCCCAAACAGTTCAATTAAACCTAGGCTTGCAATCTCCAGTTAAGCCAAATATCCAGGTCTCCGATACTGCTTCTTCCGATGTTTATTTCAATGCCGCTGATGAGTATAGCTTCAATAACACAGAATCAGACTCAACTTTAACTTCCTTCAATTTGCTTTCAACCTCAAATTCACCAATGGGTTTCAATAACTCGCCTGCAACAGAAAATTTAGTCACAAATAAAGTAACTGACACCATCAATAGCAATGAAAATAACATCAACAATAAACTCAGCAACAAATCCAGCAACAAACCTTATCAAAAGAATGTGGTTAAAACAAACATTGAGACATACAATAAAATGAACAATAATTTTAATTCTCTAAATCAACCAACTACTCCAACTTCTTTAACAAGTCCAGATAGCTCAGCTCACGTCAATGGAGTTGCTAATAGTATATCAAAATTCTCAAAAATGCTTATTAGCTCTACTGGTTCAATCAAATCAAAAGCTGCTAATAATTGGAAAACCAAAAGATCTGCTGATTACGATTTATTACCTGTTCCTTTGATAAAAAATTCTTCATATGTTGGTTATCATCATGTAACTTGGTACGTCTCTAACGCAAAACATTGGGCTACTTATTTTGTTCATATCCTAGGTTTCAATCATATTGCCTATAAAGGCCTAGAAACTGGTTCCAGGAATATAACTGCTCATGTTGTATCAAATAATCAGGTTATCTTTCAATTTATATCCCCATTAAGAAATGATAATGCTGAATCAAAAAAAATTTGGAAACATATCCTAAAACATGGTGATGCTGTTAAAGATGTCGCTTTTAAAGTCGATAATCTTAAAGAGCTATACAAAGTAGCAATCGGTTCTGGTGCTAAAAGTTTAATGAGTCCAACTGAACTCCAAGATGATTCTAATAACGATTATTCAATTTTAATGGCTCAAATTAAAGTATTTAATGGTGACACAACTCATACTTTGATTGAATTTCCAAACATCCCACAAACTGAATCAAATAATCAAGTCTTCTTACCTGGTTATAAAAATACAACAAATAGTAAAAGATTTAACTTTTTCAATTCAGAATCAATTCAGTCTTTACCACAAATTCATTTTGAAAAAATTGATCATTGCGTTCAAAACCAAGGTTGGTATGAAATGAATAAATCTTGTCAATTTTATGCTAAAGTATTCGGCTTTCATAGATTTTGGTCTGTTGATGAAAAAGATATTAGTACTGAATTTTCTTCTTTAAGATCAATTGTAATGGCTTCAGAAAATGAAGCAATTAAAATTCCAATTAATGAGCCAGCAAAGGGTAAATGTAAATCACAAATTGAAGAATTTCTAGATTATTACGATGGGCCGGGTATTCAACATATTGCTTTATTAACTAATGATATAATTTCCACTGTTAAAGCAATGAAACAAAGAGGTGCAGAATTTATTAATGTTCCCGAAATTTATTATGATTTCCTAAAGGAAAGATTGAAAGATAATGGTCCCAACATTCTGGAATCAATGGATGAAATTAAAAAGCAAGGCATATTAGTTGATTTTGATGAAAATGGTTATTTATTACAATTATTCACTAAACCATTAGGTGATAGACCAACTATTTTCTTAGAAATTATCCAACGTAATAATCATAACGGATTTGGTGCTGGTAATTTTAAAGCTTTATTTGAAACAATAGAGGCAGAGCAAAAACTAAGGGGAAATCTAGAGAAAACTTAACCTTTAAATTTTATGTTTCTTATGTTTCCTAAGTTATTAACTGACTAAATTAATAGGCTGATAAATTGATAGACTAATAAACTGGGAAACAACAAGACCAAAAGATGAAATAAAAAATAATCAGAAAAAAACCCAGAAAATTGTTGGTGGAAATGAGGATGAGTCAAAAATTGATAAAAAAAATTTAAAGTTGATTTATATGCTTTTGATTCTATTAACCTTATAACTTGGTTTTTTCCTTTTTTTTCAATAGCTAAAAAGAAGTTAAGAGTTAGATAGTGTTTTTGATATTAACAGTTTGTTCAATTTAATTGGAAATTAGGATTTTATTAAATGAAAGTTGTCTTTTTTATACCAAAGTTAACCTTAATGATTATTAATTAATGAAATCTATCAAACTACTGGTAGTGAATGATTTAATGATTTTAGTTATTATAAATAATAATTTTTTTTTAATTTCCCTTTTTTTTCATAATTTGACAACAAAGTAATAAAAGTTTATGTTTGAAATATATAAAAAAGAAATTTAGTTTGTAGATGATGCAAAAAAACAAGTGATGAAATAAGGAAAAAACAGACAAAAGAGAGATGAAGGGGACGATTAACAAAAATAATAAAATTAAACAAAAAAAAATAAAGTATAAAAGAAATAAAGAAATAAGAAAAAGAAATGTATTCATATTTAGAGATAAAGATAAAAGGAATTAAAAGAAAAACTAGAAGAAGACGAAGAAAACAAATAACATGGCTAAGATGAGTAATATGATTAACACGATTATTGTGATTAAATTAAATTAAATTAAGATGATTAAATTTAAGTGTTTTAAAAGTGAATTAAAAAATTGAAAAAAAAAGAAAAGAAAATATTTTTTATTTTAATTAACATAAAAGTAATGGTTTAAAAATAAAAAGAGAAGGAAAAAAAAAAGAAAAAGATTTGTATTGAAATTTTTAATAAAATTTGAATAAAATTTGAATAAAATTTTGAATAAAACTTGTGAGATATTTTGTATTGAGATTAGTATTAAAATTAATTTTGAAACTAATAAATAATAAATGGTAAATAATAATGCTAATACTAATACTAGTTGATAGTATTAAAAATAGCTATCATCATCATCAATCGATTGATAATTATTTTTTGAATTAAAGGTTTGAAAATCCAAAGAAAAGGATGGGGATTTGTTAGAAGATGGATAAGAAATAAAATTGTTATTCATATTCATATTTGAATTTGAATTTGAAGTAAAATCTGATCTTTGAGATAAAGTTGGAGAGAATTTATAGTCATAATCATAAGCATAGTCGGGATGGTTTTGAAGAACAGTTGTGTAATTTAAGCTGTTATGTTTACTATCCATATTTGTAATTGGAGAGTTTAAGGAAAAAATAGGAGAATTTATAGTTGAAATTTTATTTGAGGTTAGGGTAGAGTTTCTAGGTGGTATAATAAAGTTTTTAGTATTGTTGTTAATAATATTATTGTGAATAGTATTTTCGTTATTATTATTAAGAATTAAAGATTGCTTTTTGTCTATTTTTGAATTAATTATTTTGTTTTTAATATTTGCAATTCTTATTTTGATTTCCTTTTGGGCTTTTATTAGGTCGTTGTTTGATATATTTATTGGGTCATTATATGTGTTGTAGGTGTTGTAGGTGTTGTAGGTGTTGTATGATTTGATAGATTTGGCTGAGATTATTGATTTATTTGATTTTAGGGATTTGTTTGATTTTAAGGATTTATTTGATTTTAGGGATTTGTTTGATTTTAAGGATTTATTTGATTTGATTGATTTATTTGATATTGTATTAAAAAGCGAGTTGGTGTTAAAGCTGGTGTTAGCGCTGGTGTTATTGTTATTGTTAATTGTGTTATTGATTATATTGTTGGCGGTAGCTGGTGTGTTAGCGGTTAAGTTAGCGCTGATGGAATTTTGGTTGGTATTAAAGGAAGAATTGTTTATGATTGATAATCTTTGTTTTTGCTGTAACTTTTTTTTTAGAATGTTTATTTTTAAAATCAATTGATCTTCTTGATTTGAGATGGCGAAAGAGTTTGAATTTGAATTTAGATTTGAAGTTAAGTTTGAATTTAAATTTGGGTTGTTTGTATAAGAATTGATTGAAAAAGATTTATTTGAATAGATTGATAAGTGTGAGTATTTTTTTCTCAAGTTTGGCGGAATTGGAATGTTGTTATTGATGTGTAATGTATTTTTATTATCATTGCTGATACCATTTTTGATATCGTTTTTGATATCATTTTTGATATCATCTTTGATATTGGTGATAGTATTAGTAGCACTGGTATTGTTAATATTACTAGTATTACTAGTATTAATATGATTTGAATTAATTGATTGTTTTGAATTTTTTGATTTCTTTGAAAAGAGTGAGTTATTTGAAATATTTGAATTGATTTGGTTAATATTATGAAAGTGATCAGATATTGAAGTTGATTGGGATATATAAATTTTGTTGTTATTACTATATTGATTATTAATATTGTTATAATTATTATTATTATTAATCGGATTTAAGGAGTTGGAATCTATTGAATTTATTGGATTAATTGAATGAATTGGATTATTTTGTTTTAAAGATTTTAAAGATTTTAAAGATTTTGAAGATTTTGAAGATTTTAACGATTTTAACGATTTTAACGATTTTAACGATTTGAAAGATTTAAGTGATTTTGTTTTATTTAAAGATTTTCCATTAAAATTATTATGAGTTAAAGTGGGAATAGTTTTAGAATTAGTTATGGAATGAATTGGAGGATCTAGTTGGTTTTTGTTGATTATGTTTTTGATATCATTAATATCGTCAAGACTTATACTTTTATTGTTAATTTTGTTGTCATTACTGTTCGTAGCAGTAATGTTAGTATTGTTATTGTGATTTTTAGTTTTCAGCTTAGACCTAGAAAAGGGATGCGATATTCGCCTCTTCAAAGAAGAGAGAGAAGTGTGAAAGCCCATGAACTGGAAACGAAAAAAGCCGGAGAAGATGGAACGGAAACGAAAAGAGAAAGGATACACAGCAGAAGAGCCAGAGGAAGCAGAAGAAGCAGAACAGCAACAGCCCAAGTGTCGACAATGTCAGCGGGCTCCACCGCTCACCGTGTGCCGCGGGTCTCCGCCCGCATCCCGGCAGCGGTTATTTATGCCCTTACGCAGCCACCGTGTGGCAGGCACGCGCACTACAGGCATCCATCTGTGCCTGTGTACACACAGGTGCATATCGGCGTTCAAACACGCACACGCGCGCGCACAGCGCACACGGAGGCATCGCCTGCTGCAGAAATCTTCTGGAATCTGCACTGGTGCAGGCCTGAAGCGGAGAGCTCTGAGCGCTGCAGCCGAGCCGACGGTGGAGGTGCGGTGCGCGCGCAGGGCTCGCAATCTCCAGAGGTCTGTTCTGTAGCGGTATTCTACTGTGGTTTGCCATGATTTGCCACAGACAAAGTTTAGTTGTGCTTTATCCTTTTTCTCACGGTTTACGACTAAACTGCTAGTTTCCTAGCTAACTAAATAATTAATATTATTTGTCGACAATAATCAAATAGGAGTTGGTGGGAGATCAAATCGTTTCTCAAACTAGAAAGCAAATGCTTTTCCCTTTCTTTTCTATATATTTATCTCTAGCTTTTCCCACTTTCTTTCCACTGCCCAGTATATCCCATTTTCTATCTGGCCAGTGTCTGTTTATATTGCATCTATATATTGTCCAAATATAACTCGCAATATTATCCAAATTCTTCATCTACAAATTCAAATCCAAATCCAAATTCAAACTCATTATTGTATTTCAATAGTAAAATTCAACATTACAATTCAATATTGCTACATTGATATCTCTGCTGTTCCTTTTTTCTTTTCTTTTTCCTCCTCCTCTTCCTTTTCTTTTTCTATTTTGGCTTTGACCTGGATTTTGACTTTTTCTCTTTGCTTATATTTCATAATTCACATTTCTCATCTAACTTTCCCTATCTCGTCCACCTCATCTTATACGATTCCTCGCAAATGGTTTTCAGAAACACTACCTTGTCTGAAATAGCCAACCGCTCTCTTCCTTCCTCTTCCTCTCCCTCTTCTTCATCCACCTCTACCTCTACCTCTTCAATCGCCACCAACCTCCTTAATCCATCCTCTATTTCCACAAAAGATAATACTACTCTCAATAACAACAATAATAACAATGATTCCAAAAATAATGATTCCAATAACAATATCTCGCATCTCATCATTACAAATGAGTCGGCCCCTATCATAAATTCTCAACCAAATCGTCTATCTACTGCTACAAACAAAAAACCAAAAAGACATAACAAAAGAAAACCAAATCCAATCGATCCCTTATCTGTAACTGAATCTTTAGGTTACCAAACTTATAGAAGAGAATCAAGAAAACCTTGGACAAAAGAAGAAGACAGTAAATTAAAACTACTAGTAGAGAAAAATCTAAAACAATTTGGCGTATATATAATTAAAAATATTAATAATAACATCGTTAACATTAACAACAACAACAACAACAACAATAATAATAATAATAATAATAATAATAATAGTAATAATAATAAAAATATAAGTCCTGAAATAAGCGCTGACATATCATCCAACAATAATTTAAGCGCCAACAATAATATCGACTCAAACATAGATAACCAACTCAAAAACAACTCAAATATTTCAAATCTACAAAACATACAAAATATACAGCTGAATGGCGAACTTTATGGAAATGTGATATTAACTGACTCTCTTCCCGCTAAATCTTCCTACAACGACCTCATAACTTGGGACGCAATATCAAAAGAATTACCCAACAGAAAACCAAAAGATTGCCGCAAACGTTGGTCAAACTCTCTAGACCCAAATCTAAGAAAGGGCAAATGGACTCCAGAGGAAGACATGCTTCTACTAAGGGCTTACGAAAGACATGGCGCTTCATGGCAAAAGGTATCCCTAGAAATCAAAGGCAGAACTGACGACCAATGTGCTAAAAGATACATCGAGGTCCTTGATCCCTCCATCACCAAAGACCGTTTAAGAGCTTGGCCAATCGATGAAGATTTACTCCTAATCAAAAAAGTTAAAAAATATGGCACAAAATGGAGAACTATATCAATGGAAATGAAAAGCAGACCCTCTTTAACTTGTAGAAATAGATGGAGAAAAATAGTCACCGACGTTACAAGAAATAAAGCAAACAAAATAATTAAAAGAGAAGTAGAATCTCTTAAAAATGATAAAAATGATCTCAACAATTCAAATGTCGATATCCTTAATAAAAATATCTCAGATATTTCCAAAAACCCAACTGAGATTAATTCAACAAACTCTTCCACTACCACTACTGCCACCACTATCAACAATCCTTTATCTTCTTCAAATGATCTAATTAACTCAAATAAAAAGGAGAATACCCCAATCTCAAATCAACCATTCACGGTTGCGACAACTCCCGTCGAAAAGCAATTAATCGACAATAAAAAATTAACAATTGATACTTCAATAGCATTGATCGATAACCAAAAGAGCATCATGCTTGATAACAATAGCAATAACAATAATAACAATGGCATCCATAACATGAACATAAATACCAACGATATTAACAACTTAAACTTAAACTTAATCTCAAACCAAACCCAGGAAATCTCGGCTTCAATCTCACATTTATCAAATCAATTCAATTTGGATTCAGCAATGTCTTCCTCAACATATTCAACCCCTATCTCAAGTTTAGCTAGAAGATTTCAAAACAATTTATCAACAAACTCTCCTTTATCTGCTACAAATATCACTGGCTCAATATCAAATGATATCAACTATTTCTCAACTTTCACTCAACCTCAAGACTTTAATCAATTTCAAAATGATTCAAATAATTTTGTTCTTCGTGATATACTAAACAATACTACTGCAAATACAAATACTACCGCAAATACAAATACAAATACAAATAATAATAATATTATTAATAACAATAACACTAACAATGCAACTGATCTTACTAATTGTACCAATACTAACTCTACTAATAATCCTCATCATACTAATAACAACACTATTAACAATCAACAAAACCAAAATAATCAAAATATTATTGATAATAACCTTTCATCAAACTTATCCTTTCCAACTCTTACAATGGCAAATCTTAATGAATTTAATAGTCTTGATTCCTCTATTAAAAATGCTAATAACTCAACCTCAAGTAAAATCGTTATTCAAGATAGCAGCAATAATATCATTGACTTCAATGGCTTAATGGAAGCTGCTAATCAAATGACTAATAACCCATTTCCTCAAAATTATCTTCCAAATGTAAATGTCTCAAATCAACATCAAATGGATACATCTGGTTCAATTAATTCTAATGATATGATTCAAAATCTTGTTCAAAGTTGCAAACAATATAATTTAAAAGTTAATATTGTTAACAATGTCCTTCCAAATAACTTGCAACAAAATTTGCAAAATAATTTGCAAAATAACTTACACAATAACTTGCAATCAAATTTACACTCCACTCTACACAACAATTTGCACAATAATTTACAAAATAATTTTGTTACCCCTATTTTAACTTCATCTTCTAGACAGAAACATTTTGGTGTTATGAATCATGATGCTCCAAAATTAAACTCGACAATTGATGCAGGAAAATCAAATAATATTCATAGATTATTAAATGCGACTAATATTGAAAGAGGTACCACACCAAGAAGAAGATCTTCGCCTGTTGGTGGTGCAATTAATGGTATTCATAAAAGATCAAATTATTCGACACCAAAAACAAGAAGAGGCTCAATATCATCATTAGCTTCATCCAAATCAAACAGCCGCTCTCCTGCTTCTTATATGAGTGGAAGAAGTTTGGCTGAGGAAAGTGCGACAACTACCTATTCACCTGCAGGAACTTATTTTAATAGAAAAGTTATAGTTCCAGAAGAAGACTCGGAAGAATGCCCTAGTTTTTGGGATACAATTGGAAATCTGACTCAATTTTCAAATGTTTACAATCCTAATCCCACTATTACTGCTTCTAATAATGGTAGTAATAACCTTGCCAATATTAATGGTAATATTAATCCTGACAACAATAACAATACAAACAATGGATCAAATTTAATTAATGTATCATCATTTCCATGTTATGCATCAGTTCCAGTTTCTCAACATCATCCATTACATTATGAGACTACTTTAACTAATACCACAAATACTGGTAATAATGTTGGGTCTGGTTTCTACGAATCATGCGGTCTATATTATCCTTCTATTGATGATGGTGATGATTCACTAGCTGGTAATACATTTGTCATGCCATTTAATCCTTCTTGATTTAGAAAATGAAAAATTAAATAATCAAAAAAAAATCTCCGTTTTTGACAACATTCTAGTATAATAAATTTTTATCATCCTTATTTTTTTATTTTGTTTTAAAGTTGTTTTTTTTTGAACTTTCAATTTTTTTTATTAAAGCTATAAAAATGAATATAAAAATGAAAATGAAAATGAAATTAAACATGAATATGAAAATATTAATTATAATAAAAATAAATATGAGAAATGAATCATTTTTTAGGGGCTTTAATCAGACATGGGTGTTTTTTTGTCTATTAATTTTTATATTTAAGAAAATGGTTTTAAATAAAGTTTGATGTTTTTTTTTTCAATAAACTTTTATTTTATTTTTATTTCAATCTTTTAATTCAATATGTTTTGATAAAATTTAACAGATGTTTTTCATTCAAATTCTAAATGGTTGTTTTATTAAATGTTGTTACCTAAAGCTATTTTTTAATTAATCACAATTATAATTCTGTTGTTTTATGTTTGATTTTCGAAATATTGTGATATACTATTTCATGAAATGATAGAAAGTTAATAATTTAATTTATTTACTTCTAATTTTTTTTCAACAATCATTTATCAATTATCTTTTTTCTCCACCTTCATAATCTACACTTTTCATATCTATCATAATCATATATCATAACCATAATCATAATTATGATTATAATCAAATCATAATTAAATTTGTTTTTCATAATATATTTCAAAGTTGTTTTTATAAAAAAAATTAATTTTTGTCTCCATATTACTATCATCACTATTATTGTTATTGTTTTTGTCCTGTTTTTATTTTCCCCTCTTAAGAATTCTATACCAAAACAAAGTGAAGAAAAAAAAAGAAGAAAAAAAATTAAAACAATATTAAGCAAAAAAGTCTTGTACATTTAATTGATTAATTTTGTTTGATACTAATCTTCTTTTATATTCCTTATTTTTTATTTTCTAAAATTTATTTTTTGGTTTTATTTTATTCTGATATTTATTTTATATTTATTTTCTCATCTTATTTTTTCTTAAAAAAGCAAAAAAAAAAATAAAAAAAAAAAAATTTAAAAAAATTAAAAAGTTTTAAAAAAAAATATTATAATAATCATATATTGATTTTTATTTTGAAATATTTCAACAAGTTTTGTTTTATTTGTTTGGTTTTTATCTTATTTTTATCAGTTTTTTTTATTTTAAGAAATATTGTTTTATTAGGTTTACAAAGGTTTAAATTACATTTTTTTAGTAAATTTCTTTGCCATTCATTAAAGAGATTTTTTTAGCATTTTTTATTGCAAAAGAAATATTTTGTTTTTTTATTTTACTTTTTTTTGTCATTAATTTTTTTATTTTTTTAATTTTAACAAATTCTATTTATTTTTATTAAATTTTACTTTATTTTTTTAATATTTTTTTTTTATTGAAATTTTTTATCTGATTTTTTTTCTAAGCAATTTTTTATCATTTACTTATTTTTGATTTATTTATTTATTTATTTATTTATTTATTTTTATTTATTTTTTTATCATTTACTTATTTTTGATTTATTTATTTATTTATTTATTTATTTATTTATTTATTTATTTATTTATTTATTTATTTATTTATTTTTTTTTATTACTTATTTATTTTTTTGTTTTATGTTTTGGAATTTTTTTGATTTAGATTCATTGTTGTATTATTAGGTGCTTACAGATGTATATTATTGGGATATTAAAAATTCAATGTAATATAATTTTTTTTTTGTTAAAGAGTGGAATCGGTGTAGAGAATTGTAGGAAGTAGAAAACGGAAAGTTGGAAGTTTGTGAAATAGAAAATAAGGTAAAGAAAGGGTAACCGAGGCAGTGAATATGCAGGTATAACAGTGATTAGACGAGATGGAAAAAATCGAAATGAGGTGAAATTTTGGAAAAACAAATGAAAAGTGATAATTATTTAAGTAGAAAATCATCCCATCTGAGATTAAATTCATTGCAACATTTTAAGAAGTTTTTTTTTATTTGGATTGTAGGTAGGTTTTCAGGGAGGTTTTTGAAATGCAAAAATAATAAAAGACAAAAAATAAAAGACAAAAGATAAAATATCAAATAGCAAATTCCAAAAAAAGATGTTGGGAAGTGATTAGCTCAAAACTTAGGTAAAAGCGTTAAATAAAAGCGTTTGTTGAAATTTGGCTGAATAGTCGATTATCTTTTAAAGTGTTTTTTTTGTTGAAGAAAGTTTTGATAGAAAAGTTTTCTTTTTGGAGGGCTGAGCCGAACGGAAAATCCCGATGAAAACACAAAGAGTGGGATGTGCAGGTGTGCAAATAGGCGGGAGGATGTTCACGGCGGTGTGATGCTGTGTGATGCTGCAGACGCACAGCGAGAGGATAAGGTGGATAGTGAAACAATGAAACAATAATAGATCAGGAAAGGTAAATAAATAAATGTAAATAAGAAGATATAAACAGTAAAGGACTAAAAAGGAGAGATAGGGTAGAATATGATTAATAGCGAAATTATGATTTGAATCTTAAGTGAGAAAGGTAAGAGCACTGAGATAAATGATATAGGCTGTTTTAAGAAAACGCAGGGAGATATTAATGAAGAGATCTATAAGAGGTAATAGATAAATCGATTAAGTAATGGAGTAAATAGGTGGTTGATGAATAAATGAATTATTTATTTACGAACAAAATAACTGCTTGAGCTCATGATACCTACAGAAGAATCCAATACAGATTCACCAACGTTTAAATATTTCTGAGAATATTCACGGATTTCTTTATTCTCTACTAAATCCAATTTTGGACTAATTAACAAAAAAGAATAAAAAAAAAAGAAAAAACATATTGGAATGAATTAGATTTAGATTAGATTAGTTAGAATTTTGAATTATAATTGAATATCAAGGTATAGTTGAATATTTGAATAATTGAAAAAAAAATGGAAAAATCGAATCCAACAGAACAGGATAATAGATGGACGACAGCCATTACTTACGTTAGCCCAGTGGTTCTCTTTATTCCAGCCAAACATGTTGAGATTAGAACCAAATCAATTGAGTAATGAAGAGCTTTTCCTAGCTGCAAGAGGTAACGGTTAAAAGAGAAGCAGAAGCAGCAGCATGGTTAATAAGTGCAAGAGATATGAAAGAAACACAAAGAAAGAAGAGACTCACATACAAATGCCATTTTGCACGAAGATACTCTGTCTTTTGATAGCTGCTGCAGAGGTTCTGAGGTAGTTTTGTGAAAGCTCAAGCTTCTGGGATTTCTTCTCGTGTGATTTGACACCACACAGGACGGATCACCCCGGATATAGCAGCCGTAGCCGCAGTGGCACGTGTGGAAATGCACCCGTGGTGTGTGCGGAGAAACGCTGCTCCGTTGTACGTAAGCAACATACGTGAGACGCGTGAAGAGCGGGGAGTAGGCGGAACTAGTGAGTCTAGACCCAGAAGACCGGGTTATTTATAACACGCCACTTCATCGCGACGCGCACAGGAGGCAGCGGGAATGGCGCAGTGAGCCGATAAGCCGTGGATGGAGGAAAGTACACGGGAGGCATGCGGGACGCAAACAGAACGCACGCGGAACACAGCTGGAGCAGTGCAGGAGCGGTTTCTGGAGCACGTGGTTTGTGTGTGGGCGAAGCTGGTAGATTGTGAAAAAAGGCAGCAGAAGCAGCCGCAGAAGCAGGAGACGAAGCAGCCGCAGAAGAAGTAGCAGAAGAAGCAGAAACAGGAGAAACCGCAAAAGCAGCAGCAGGTCTTTGCAGAGTGTTGTTTATCCACCATTCCGTCGTGTATTCTTTCTTCTAGCTTGTGTTGTCTTTCCACTGCAGCGATAGCCACTGCTTTCTCATCACAACGTTGCACATCTTTCTCTGAATCTTTATTTGAATCTTCATCTGAATCTTCATCTGAATTCGCTTTCTATCAGCTATTTCATCTCCAGCTACACTCCATTCAACGCTGATTCAAATCTCATCCAAAAAACCGGTTTGAGCTACATTGACTTGATTCTCTTACTGCTGAGCAGAATTATTTTGGTTTCAGCCTAATAATCCTCTATTATTTATCTTTAAAAGGCTATTTCATTTCATTCCTTTTTTTGTTTCTATTCAAAGCAAACAAAAGAAAACTATTCAATCATCGTATTCTCTTGTCGTCGTTTTCTTTTTCATTGCTATTATAACCAATAGATTATCAAATACTAAAAAGCAGTAGAAAATCATAGGAAAAACGTCCTTTTTTTTGGTTTTTGGTATCCTGTATTTTTCTCACTGATTAATTTCATTTAAATTTCATTTTCGTCGTAATTTTCCCTCAACAATGTCTGTAACTGATGAATCCTTAACTGTCGGTCTAGCTGTTGGTTTGCCTGCTGGCGTTTGTTTCCTACTAATTGCCTTTTGGTGGTGGAAATCAACCAAGAAATTCTCTAGGGAAGATTCCCAATTAGATAAAGAAATCGATATTGGTGAAATCGATGGCGAATTATCCTTTGAAAATTTAAATAAATCAACAAATAACAACAACGACAATAATAACAATAACCCTATTAACAATAATAATATCAAAATAAAATCAAAAAATAAATCAAAAAATAAAATTAATTCTACAAACATTACCACTACCATTACTACTAATAACAATAGCAACTCCAATAAATCTACCACCTCATCTCCTAATAATAACAATAATGAAAAGTCATCTCACAATAACGAAATTGTTTCAATCCATACAAACCCATCACAATCTTCCATCTCTTCTCCTAAATCAAAATCAAAAATTGATAGAAGAAAGACAAAATATAGAAACTATAGAACTTACCAATCTGCTGAAACTTTGCAAAACTCTTACTCAATCAATAAAAAAACTGACTCAATTAACAACAACGATCATCAATTCTTGACCAATAAATCCTCCACTTCAAATTCCCCAATCTCTTCATCAGACTACACCTCAAATACCATCACCAACAACACCATCAACAATAACAAATCCTCCTCAAACTTATCAAACATATCCGGCGGTACTTTATTCCAAACCTATTACGACTCAGTAATCCCAATATTACCTCCGGATTCTCTACCAAATAAATCAACCCTTTCTTTAAATGATAATCTTCATAATACTTCAAATACCTCAAATACCCCAATTGAATCCCTGCCTAACTCAAAATCAAAATCAAAATCAAAATCTCTATTAAAATCAAAATCGATCAAAAACAAAATCTCTCTAGACTCTCAAAATAATAATAATACCAATAACATAAATGACACTGACCAAATTAATTCTTCAACTCTTGACGCTCATAGAAAATCAATCTTTAGATCTCGCTCCTTAAAGAAAAAATTTAAATCAAACGATGAACTAAATAATAACGATATTAATAATGACAATAGCAAGTCAAATTCTGAAAATAATAACGATTTAACCAAATCCTCCCTTCCTGTCCCCAGACTGAACTCAAAAAATATTTCCTCAGACTCCCTAATAAACTTAGACAAATCTCAACAAGAAGAATATATCAAAAATCTACATCGCTACTCAAATTCTCCATATCCTTTCGACCAGGCTTTAGGCTCTCGTAACAACAGCTTTATAGAAAGAAACAGATCCCATTCCGGCGGTAACCTCTTAGTTTTAGATCAGCAACAGCAAAAGAAAAAAAAATATCCTCCTTTGCCTCCCCATAACCCAAAATCTTTCTCAATCGATAGCAAATCAACCAATAATTCCTCAACCTTATATACCCCAACTTCAACTTCAAACTCCAATTCTCGTCAAGTAAGCGTTTCAACCACTCTCAACACTAATAATAATAATATTGTTATTAATAATAATATTAATAACAATATTAATAATAAAAACAATAAAGGTACTAAAAATAAAGACCATCAGTTGAATAACCAAAAAGGACCTGTTTTCTTTATTGAAAAAGATCACGACTTGAAAAATAATAACAAAAATGATAATGTATCCTTCTCAGACGATGATGGTCCTTTTATATCAACTGATAAATTAGATGACGGTTATATCGCTGACTTAAAAGGCTCTTCTTCTTCTTCAATTAAAAGATCAAATGCCCCAAATATCACAAATAATCAAATTAAAGCTTTTCACGAGACAAATTATCATCACGCAAATAAAGATAGCATAGATTATGAATCCTCAGCTTTATCTGATTTTTCTGTTTTATCTTCTCCAAAGATTAACAATAGTATAAATAACAATTATCTTGATTCAGATAATGACTCAATTGATAAATCGCCATTTGAAGATGAAGCTGAAATTTTAAATCGTTCATTATATTCTAAAAAATCTATAACTTTAAAATTGAGCCCGGAAAGCTTAAACAAAGCAAGATTTCTGGATATTTCAGATATAAATGAAATCGATGATAAAAATAGTCCTTCATACGATAATGAATTTACAAATTATAAAGAAAATCATAGTGATTTTATTAAAAGTTTAAGACCAAAATAATTATTAAATTAAAATTAAAATAAAAATTCATTATTCATTTCAATATTTAGATTTATTTTTTGTAATTTTTAATTTTCGTTTTTTTCGTTTCTTTTTTTTTTTATTCATTTGATTTTGCTAAAATTTATAGTATTTTTGCTCCACATTTCTTAATTGTTAAATATGGATCAAATCTTGTTTTAAAAAAATCTAATTTATTAATTATTCCATATACTTCCTATAATTCATTGTTATACGTATGGTGCCAATATCTTTTTATTTTTTTTTAATTTTTTTTCAGTGCCATAATAATTAATTTGCTTTAGAGTCGACTTGTTTTATTGTTTATTTCAATTTTTTTTTTATTTGTTTTAGTTTTTTAAGTAATTCTTAATTTCCAATTTCCTCATTTCTTAATTTAATTAATCTTATCACAATTCTTTTTAATAGGGATATCATCAATTTTAAATTCCAGACTTATAATAAAAAATATATATTATAAAATCACAAAATAAAGTAAAATAACAATAGTATAAACTGATAGAATATATATTAAAATAAAAAAAAAAGAAAAACAGATAAAAAAGCAACCTTTATAGAGAATTTTTTTTAATTTTAATATTTTAGTTCAGTTCTTAAATTTTTATAAATTATATAAGTGTATAAGTATAAGTATAAGTATAAATATAAATATAAATATAAATATAAGTGAAGTTGAATAGAATTAAAAAAAGGGTATTGAAGTGAATTGAATAGAATGAAAAGAACTAATGATACATTTGAGATTTGAGTAGAAATGAGTATGATTGAGTAGAGGATTATTTATTATTAAAATCAAAAGAAGAAGAGGAGTTTATAGTAGAGAAAGAAGAACGATGAGTTGTAGTATTTGATTGTAAATGTTGTTCGAGTAAGTCTAAAGAGTTTTGTAGATCTTGAGAATCGTTCAAGATAGAAGGATTATTTACGTAGATATTTTCAATGTCATTGTTAATAATGTTGTCGTTGATGTTGTTGCTGTTGATTAGTAGTAATTTTTTTTTAGTTTTAGTGTAAACGATTGAGATTAATAAAGAGAAGGAGGATATGGCTATGATTATAGCTAGTAGATCTAAAAATTTGGAAGAATTGTCTTCATCTGAGCCAATGTTTTTCAATTTCAAGCCTATGAATAGATGGAAGACTAGCTTTGGGGTTGTGATGGCCGAAGCTAGGAAGAATTGTAGAACAGTGATGTTTTGAATTGAGGCCAAAGCACCATTTAGTAGGGAATAAGGAAAGGGAGATATTTTGATTAGAGCTAGTAGGAGGATTTTTCTCTTTTCTTCAAGAAAGACCTGAGATAAGGCGTTGAATAGGACGTTTTTTTGAGATAGATAGAGTGAGTAGTTTTTGAAGCAGAATTTGTATATGATGAAAGCTACGGTTGAGCCTAGTACTGAGGAGGAGGCAATTAGAAACCAGCCATTTAAACCAAATAGAATGCCAGTGAGAGTAGATAGAGCAGTGTAGCCGATCATTGGAGGGAAAGAGACAAAGAACATGGCGAACCAGATGATTAAGGAAGTATGGTCATAGGATTCTAGGAAATCTGAGAGTTCGATTAGATCATTGAATAATTTTTTGTGGTAAATTAGCATCAAGGAAATGGTTGTGGTTGAGAGAATTGAAAGTATGATCAATGTGATCTTTTTATGTATTGGTTGAGAAAGGTAGTAGGATTTGAGGAGAAAGAAAAGATAGAGAATCAATGATTTGAGTGAGGTGAAAAAGAATTTGATCTTTGATAGCAGTGAGAGGTTGTTGTTCCTGTTGTTGTTAGCGGTAGGAATAGTGTGATGATTCTCAGGAGGAATGTTTGGAGTTAAGAGATTGATTGAGTCAGATTGTGAGTAGTTGTCATAATGGGCAGACAGAATAGAGTCATTGTCGAGAGCATTGAGAACAGAGGCACTGGAAGAAGCAAGACGAATGGGTTCCATGGCAACAAATGAACAACTTGTGGAGAGAATGCAAGCAGGGCAGGTGCAGGAGGTGGATTTATATATCTTTTATATATCTTTCATATATCTTACTGGTTGAATTGCTTCCACCAAAGAGGTTATTATATTTATAACGGAAAAGGGAAGTTGCCGATGAGAACGGCTCAGGAAAAGCCGACGGGTGTTGGAGGTGCGGCCGTTTTGGGCGGCGAATAGGAGCGAGGCCAAAGCTCATCAGAAGAGGAAGAGAAAGAAGAGGAAGAAAAAAAAAGAAGGAAAGGATCATTGTATTTAGACGCTATGTACAGGACTATGGACTATGGGGCAACAGCGATCACCAGGCAGCCTTGCGGACTCCAGGCAATAACCCACCCAAGGCCATTTCCCTGAATTGGATTCTGTTGATGTGGAAGTGTTTGAGGACACTTCTGGAGGTTCCTGAGACAAAGCAACGATCTTTGCAGGAGGTGATTCTGGTGTAGTGGGGCATAGAGGTGAGCTGCAACTGGGCCTCCAACCTAGCTCTGGGAGGAAGAGTGGTGTTTCGAGCAATGTACTTCAAGGCTCGAATCAAGACCTCGTGTTCGGCGCTCTGCTGGCGCTTGAAGTTGTCTCTGAGGATTCTGGTGTTGATGAAGCCCGGGGGGAGCTTCATGGGAGCAGCAAAACGGAAGTTCTTCATTTCTCACAGCACACACAGCAAACAGCAAACAGCAAACAGCACAAACAGCAAACTCAGCTCTAGCAGAGGAGAACCGGGGCTGAAAAAACACAGACACGAAAGACCGAGCAGCGCGGCGCAGCGAGGGCTTCCTCTTTGGGAAGACGATATAATGCTCTCAGCTCCAGCTCGAAAAGCTCACCTCAGCAGCGATGTCTGTGCTAGCCATGTCCCTCCCTGCTTCTGTTTCGCCTGCTGGTGCTGGTGCTGGTGCTGGTGCTATTGCTGCTGGGGTTGATGCTGCTTTATTGAACGCTGCTGCTCGCAAGGCTTCAGCCTGTCTGCACAACCTTCTCTCCATCATCAGCACCTTCGATGCTCGCCAAACCACCCACTCAATCAGATTGATCTCTTACATCCTAGACTACAAGAACAGAGGCAAAGACGACCATGCCATCTTTAAAACCAACAGCTCTCTCCATTTCTCTCGCAGCTTTATTCAATTGCGACTCTTCAACCATCTATACGCCATCTTAAACGATCCGGCCTACTCCACCATCTTGCACAACAGCACAAACAGTGACATCAATCCCACCAATTCCACCAACAATCCTATCAATGACTCTTTAATCTCATCCAATTTGAAATTGGTTCTGCTGCTACTAAATAAAATACAATCTGCCTTGTCTCATTTGATCACTCGTTTCCAAAAACACCCTTCGCTTATGGAATCAAATAACTACATCTACTACTTGATCTCTTACTATCTAATTGGTTACACTCTTATCATAAAATACATCCCAATTAACATGTCTCTCAATACACCAAGCAATACTGATTTACAGCTGTACTATCACTTGAAATCAATTTATAATGATTTTGAGTTGTTATCAGATTTTAAACTGAACATTATCGCCTTTTTTTTCCCAAATGATAATACTCATAACACTACTAATAACAACAATAATAACAGCTTTGATAATAGCAATAATAATGATATACAATTAATACAGTCCTTACCTAAAATTAACCTAAAATCTTTTTATTCCCTCTTATACCCTCCAGAATCATATCCTTCAAATTCAATTATCCCACCTCATTTAATAAATAATAATAAAAATAATAATAATAATAATAATAATAATAATAACAGTCCTTCAGACAACTCCTTCTTCTCTTCTACCTTACTCATAGACTTGAGACTAACCTCCCATTTTAATAAAAACAACCTCAATTTACCCAATTTAATCAACATTGACCCATCTTTATTTACCATCAATACAAATCCTACTCACTACTCAGACAACCCTGATAACTACATCAATAACATATCTTTCTTGGAAAATCGCTTGAAAAAATTAAACCCATCACACTACAACTTATTCATGCAAAGACCAAATTGTGACCACATAATTTACTTCACCTACAACACCTCAAATATCCATTTCACTAATCTATTGTTGTTTTTCTACAACTTACTAACTGCAACTCAATCCTCAAATCTAAAACTAAAATCTCTCCCTTTATACTTGGAAAATGGTTATGAAGGCTTCCTGGCCTACATTACTCAACTCAACTCAAACTACTATAATAAAATCAACAATCCTAATAACATTAACCCCAGCACCAACATTGACAATAATAACATTTGTGGTTTAAAAAATAATGGCAGCACCTGCTATATAAACTCAAATATTCAATGTCTTTATAACTTATCCGACTTTTCAAACATCTTCATCTCAAAATCTTACTTGAACTACATTAATCAAAACAAAAATTTCAAAATCCTTTTATCAGACTCTTTCTCTTTGCTATTTTCAAAATTGGCAAAATACTCAAAAGTCCTAATAGACCCTTCTAATTTCTTGAGAACTTGCTCAATTTTAAACCCTCACTTAAATATCCCCTACGACCAACAAGACACTCAAGAATTTCTAATGTTTTTACTAGATAGAACACACAACGAATTATCTCAAAGTGATTACATAATTAATCAATACCCCCATCTAATCAAACCAATCAACTATTTCACAAACATTTCTTCAAATAACATTGAAAGACTACAATACGATAAATGGTTCAACAACTTGATCAAAAATCAAGGTGTCTCCCCAATTAATCTATTCTTTGAAGGAAAATTCCAAAGTTCCTTGAAATGCCTAATATGCTCAAAGATTTCAAGAAATTTCTCAACCTTCTCAATACTATCACTACCAATTCCAGATATCAATTCTCGCTCAATTTATATTGAAGAATGCTTTACTGCTTTCACTGATGATGAAATCTTAACTGGTGATAACGCTTGGGCTTGTCCTAATTGTAAATCACTAAATAATGATAACAACACCGACAATAACATTGATAACAACAACAACAACAACAGCAGCACCACTAACGATAATAATGAAACTAAATCCTCTATATTTAAGTTTATATCAAAAAGAGAAAAAATAAAAGGAAAAACGAAAGAAAAAGATAAAGATAAAAAAAAAGATAAAAAAGATAAAAGAGACTCAATTAAACCCACAAATGTTAAAATGAAAGCTATAAAATCTCTTAAATTTATTGATCTACCAAAATTGTTAATCATCCATTTATCAAGATTTTCATTCAAACATGACGTGATTAAAAATAATTCATACATTAACTTCCCATTGATTCTAAAATTAAAAATTAATGATGAAATAATATCTTATAAATTAAATAGTTTCATCAATCATGATGGTAACTTGAAAAGTGGCCATTATACCTCTATTATTCATAAAAAAAATAATTGGTATCATTGCGATGATTGGAACGTCTATCTAGTGAGATTACCGATTAATAAGAATGGCTATATAAAGAGTAATTTAGTTTATGTTATTTACTATGAAAGAATTCTGTAATTTTTTTTAAAAAGGATTTCAACCAAAATCAATCTAATTATTAATTGTTTTTTTTTGTTTTAATATATTATTACTCTGTTAACTTATCTAATTTCTTATCCTTTTATCCTTTTTATCCTTTTTTTATAGATTTTTTTTTCTTTTGTGCATTTGTTGGAAATATTTTTTATTTTTTTATTGTTTTTTTATTGTTATTTTTTTGCTTTTTAGGGAATAATGAATAATAATCATTGATGAATAATAAACCAGTTGAGCTTTGAAATCATGTGTAGACTAAATCCAAGAAGGATCCCAATAAGCAGTTTGATCGTTATCATCTTGAGTATCGATCCATAAGAACCCCTTTTCCACCATTGAATTTAACACTTGTTGAGATCGTAATCTTGACCATTTAAAGTTGTCCATTAATATTCTCACAGTCACAAATTTAATGATTTTACAAATAACCAAAATTTGATTTTGATCACTGTTTAGTTCTATTGACAGAGAAGAAATTAAATTCTCATTGCCATTATTAATAATTTTGAAATTTGGGTTTAATATTTTAATTTTATTGATTGATATTATAATATCATTTTCGACCAAGTTTTCAATTTTGTTTGGATTGCTTGGATCATTTAAGTAGTTTAATAAATTTTTAATTGAGATCAAACCACCATTTAGATTTGAAGTTTGTCTGCAAATTTCTATAATTTTAACGGATAGTTCATTATAGAATTCTTCATCATTATCATTAAGGATTAAATTTGACCATAAATTTTTCTTTTGATGGGTATTAGTGTTGGTGGTAGTGGTGGTTTTAACTGATATGCTTGCAGCCAATGGATCAACACCAATTGATAGGCATAATTTATAAAAATTTCTTGAAAAATCGGGATTATTTTTGATTTCGTTATTGTACTTTTTGGCAAAGTTGATTAGATTTTCTTGAAATAGTTTCAATTGATCAGATAGCAAATTTGATTGTTGTTGGATGAGTTGGGAGCTTATTTTAGAGAATTCGTCCTCATTGTTTTGAAAACTCGCTAGACCTAATTTTCTGTTCATTATTTGAAAATGGAAATAAGATGATGGCTTATAAGAGTGGTTTATAAAAATATTTATCAAGTTGATGTAGAAACTTGATAGGAATAAAACTAGAGAAAATATTAAGATTGCGATCATGGATGAATTTAAGTTCTTTTGAAGGTGGTAACGGGAGAAAGTAAAGATACATTGAATTGATAAAATCTACATAAGGTATGATAAATAGAGAAATTTAAAAGAAAAATGAAAAGTAATTTTGAGAATTAAAAGCGCCAAAAAAAAAAACAGAAAAAAGGGTTGTTTGTAAAGGACTAAAAAAGTATAAATAAAGAAATAAAGAAAAATAAATGGAAAAAAATTTATAACCGAAGTAAGGAAATAAAAGTGGTAAGTATATAGCGAGATAGAAAATAGTGTAAATAACCAAATACAAAAGTAGTAGATAAAATTTTATAGAAGGAAAAATAAAGTATAAGTAGATACTGGATATGGAATAACAGATATTAAGTAGTAGGCAATTCATAATCAACAAATAATAAATGACAAATGATAAATAATGGTAAAGAGATAGATAGTAGGCTTTTATGCTTTGTTTTTTTTATGTTTTATGTTTTTATTTTTTTTTCTTTAAAAATAGAATAGTTATTAATAAGTTACTTTCAATGAGTAAACATTCTTGACACGAATTAAAAAAAAGCATAACAAAAACCACCTAAACTGAAGATACCAAGTGCAACGTACCATAAAGAATCGAATCTATCTTCATTAGATTTTCTGAGATGTGGTAACTTTTGTTTAATTTCCAAGCTCCTTCTGACTCTTTTTCTTAAACTGGTTTCGGTTTCAGTTGCAATATCAGTATCCTGTGAATTTGTAGGATTAAGGACTTGGGTTGGTAGCATCATTGGAGGTTTGTAGGCCAAATACAAGGGTTGGATTGGAGCACCGTCGAACTGATACAATTGCAATTTATACTGACCATGGTAATCATCGATGCTTAAGGTATAAGCTTTAAAAAGTTCAGATTGGATATATCTTGAGTAAATAGAGACACCACCATCGTCGCAAGGAGCACTTAGTAATTGTCTACCATCACTTTCAAAGGGCATTAAAGATAACGAACCATTTGACAAGATTTCATATCGGCCATGTTGAAATTGTAGGACAGCAGTTGGACACGAGTGGTTTCGAGAATTGGCAGTGACGATATAAAGAGCCTCTTCCCAGTAACCATCAGAAGTGAAACTGTAGGATCTTCCAGGCAAAGCAGGTTCAATGAGCAATTCATCAACAGGGTCGAAAAACCCTGGACCGGTAAAGACAGTGTTGGATTTGGAGGACCAGGTACCCTCAAGAGAGATCTCCTCTGCGTAGGCCTGAAAGAAGAGGAAAAGAAAAACAGCGAAACCAACAATAGCAGCTTTGGACAGCATATTTGAGTGAACAGCGATTGGAGAGGAAGCAGAGAAAGAAGAAGAAGCAGAAGAAGAAAGCTAAACGCCAGCTCTGAGTCTGTCCACACGTGACTAAGCAGCACCTCCACAAAGAAGGCGTTGAAGGAGCTGGAGAAGGAGAAGAAACTGATTCTGGAGCAGTCGCTGAGGAAGTGGTGGAAGCAGTGGTAAGAGCAGCTAGTGGAAGGTGTTAGAAGATGCCATCAACGTATCCTTATTCGTTGGAGTCTGCGTTGGCAGACGAGGTGGAAAACGTCCTTGGGGGATTGGATCCATCGCCCAGTCGAGGTCGCTTGAGCAATTCGATATCGAATCAAACCTATCGATCCCTCTCCAGGGGAAGAACAGCCAGTGTTTATGATGAGGTTCCCAAGGAGTACAGTGCCAGTCGAGGCAGAAAGGACACCAACTTAAAATGGTCCATTTTGAAACATGATCCCTCAGAGAGAATCATTGGCGCTAACGATGGTAACAGTAACAGCAAGAAGAACATTTCTATTGAGCAGAGTGATGAAGAGCAGATCAGTGATACCGATAAGGAGTTTGAATACAATGATGGAGATGCTATATTGCCCAATTATGTTTCATTTTTCCCTAATGATTATAGCAATTCCAATCAAGTCAAGACGCCATCTCAATCTCTATTTCAAACCCAAGCATTTTCGAAATTATCTAATGAAGACATGTTGAGCAATGCATTAAGCAACAATAAGCCGGTGGTGAAGACATCGTTGGACAAAGTTAAAGAAGCGATGAATTATGGAGATAATATTGCGACGTTAGAGGCAATTGAAAATGCAAGACAAACTGATTCTCCGATTCCAAAGGATCTCGAGGAGAAATTCGGCAGCCTAAATTTAAGTCTTCCCAATGAAAAGACCAAAAATGAAAAGTTGAAACCATATACTTTATATAAGAAATCAATAACAGATCCCATGAATTCATTAATTAAAGATGATGATTTTCAAGTTCCATATACATTAGATAGTGATCACAAATCGGATAAACACATTATAGAAGCATTGAATGAAAATATAAAGATATCAGAAATCAATTCTAATTTAGAGAATTCTCGATGTATTAGAACAATAACCCGAGGAGATTTCTTTAATAAGATATCGATTTATAAGAAACCAAAGACCTTCTTATTATGCATGGACTTTTCTCCCGAATCTAAATATGCCTTAGAATGGACAATTGGAACAGTACTAGTTGATGGTGGAGTTTTATTGATCTTATATGTGATTGAAGACAATAAATTTATTTCGCCAGATAATAATATTAACAATATCAATAATACTAATACTAATGATAGTAGCAATAGCAACAACGATAATACTAACAATAATAATACCATAGGTGAAGAACAGTTGAAGGAAATTAAAGAACAAGAAACTGCAAGAATAAATGGGGTCAGGAATCTAAGTGAAGATGCATTAAGTTTGATCAAGTCTACAAAATTACAAGTACATATAGTCGTTGAAGCAATCCACCATCCAATTCCAAGACACTTGGTGATGGAAGTAATTGATCACATTCAACCAACGCTAGTTATCGTTGGCTCTAGAGGAAAACAGGCTATCAAAGGCGTAACATTGGGATCGTTGTCCAACTATTTGGTCAACAACAGCTCTGTACCCATTATGGTTGTTCGAAGGAAGGTCAAGCGAGTCACCAAGAAGAAAACGACCAGCAACAACATCGAGCATGTCCAGAGCTTGAAGTTGGCGAAGGTTGACTAGTCTTGCAAGTATCGTTCAAAGTATTGCTTTTCATATTGTTTTTCTCGTCTTTATAGTACAAATTCACATCAATCGAAAACCGCAACTTGAACCGTCGATTACCGCCGTGCATGGTAAAATCACGTACACGATCACGTACACGATCATTTGCTGCGAAACGGACGCCCACCACCGCTGACAGTCCGTCATCTTTGGCATCTTCGGCGTCCGTATTTTGTTCGTTTGTTCGTTTTTCCTTGGTGGTTTTTTCACCATTTCTACTATCTTTTGAAGTCTTTTCACCTCTTTCGCCTCTTCCACCATCGACCTTTCTTGCTCTGCCTTTTCTAGAATCTTTGCTGCGCCGCCTCTGCTTCTCTGTTCAAATGGATTACGCCTTTTCTAACTACTACGACTTCAATTTCAATTCCCAGATTTCCTCTCCAAACAACAACGACTCCAATGCTCCCAATTCCACTAAATCTCTAAATGATCTCTCCAACGCTAGCAATAACCTTAACAGTTTCTGGGATTCCTATATCAATGAAAACGATCACCAAAATACTCTTCAAAATCAAGAAAACCAACAGATCCACGAATTATCTACTCAAAATTTAGAGCTAATGAACAATAATACAAACAGCAATTTTGTTGCTAATTTAAATTTTGATAATAATTTGTACAATTTTAATAATACTAATACTAATAACAATACCAATACTAATACCAATACCAATACAAACACTAATAATAACACTAATAATAACACTTCTACTAATGATTTTCAAATTGCTCCACCTTTTTCAACTTCAATTTCAAGTTCCAATAGTCCCTTCAATGACAATAATATCACCAATAATAGATTAAATCAAGAGCAATCTTTGACCCTACTTAATAATAATATTAATGACATCTCCTCTGAAATTATTTCAATAAAACGAGAATTACAAGACTCAAATATAATCAACTCGCAAGATCCTTTTGATAATATCATCAACTTATCATCTACTGTTAATGCTAATGCTAATGCTAATGTTAATGTTAATGTTAATGCTAATACAAATATTGCCAATAACAATAACAACACAACTTTTAATTCCCCTTTTAATACAAACACAATTACAAACACTAATAATAAAAAAAGAAGAAAAGATAGTTTGCAATCAAATAATTCAAATAACAACTTCATCAACAATGAATCAAATACTGCTGCAAAGAAAAAAGCCCAAAATAGAGCTGCTCAAAAGGCTTTCAGAGAAAGGAAAGAATTAAAACTAAAAGATTTACAACAAAAATTAACTAAAAGCGAAGAAGAAAAAGCAATCCTTCTCAATAAATTAGAAGTCCTAAAAAGAAAAAACATCATCATATCAACTGAAAATAAATTACTATTATCTTCAAATAACAAAGATTTTAATAACTCCGATAACAATACTAATAATAATACTAATACTAATACCAATAACAACAATAATAATAACAATAATAACAATAATTTTCCAAATAATGCCAACAATAACAACAATTTTTTTAGTAATTTGATACTAGATTTCACCTTTCCTGAAGTTCTCCCCAATAAATGTCTTGATTCACTTAAAAAATCAGCTGCTTCGGACTCAAATTCTCCTATAGTTCATGATAACTTGTCTTTATCAAAAAATAATAAATTAATCTACAACTCAATCGATGGTTCCGAAAAGTTATTAAGTATCGCTGCTGTTTGGGACTATTTAATTCAATTCGAAACTCTAAATTCGGATATCTTAAATAATCAATTAAATTTAGATTTAGATTTCTTACAAATTATAAATAATTTAAAAGGTAACGAAAAATGTTATGGTTTAGGCCCTGCTTATCCATTATCAAAAATCAATCAAACTATTGTTGCCTACTTAAATAACTAATCTCTGTGATTTATAATTATTTTGTAGTCAAATGAATTTTTCCTACTTTGATTTAATTCACTTTAATTTAATTTAATCTAATTTAATTTTTCTTTGTTGTGATACCTTATTTTTATTTAATTTTATTTTATTTCATCCTATGACTTTTGTTTTATTGGTTTTACTTTATTTTACTTTGCCTCAATTACAACCACATTTACAGCCACATTTACAGCCACATTTATAAACATGTTTACGTTTACATTTACATTTACTTTAACTTTTAATTCAGTATTTTGGTTTTTTTTCAATCTATTGTTTATATTATATAAGTTGTTTTGTATTAAAAAAATTATACGATTAAAATTGTGAAAAAAAGACTATATCAAAAAACATTTATTTCTTTCTTCAATTTTTAGCTTCAATATCAAGGTAATCTGGATTCTTCTTCAATATAATAACTCCCTCCAATGAGCTTGCAAGACTAATGTATTCATCATTTTCTAATTCAGCTCTTTCTCCAGCTCCTAATAAAACTGGTGTAGAATGTGTCACCCATCCAGTAATAGTTTTGGGTTTACCAGCTTGTCCAACGACATCGACAGCTTGTCCAACTCTAACACTGACTTCAATTGGTTTTAAATCTTCATCTACTGTAATCAACATTCTTGGATGTATTGAAACATTCAAATAATATAATAAATAGTGAGCATTACCCAAAATAAAAGTCTTTGGATTTAATAGTAAAACATTAGCAATTAATAACCCTGCTAATTGAACTTTGGATACAACCTGTCTATCTGAATGAAATGGGTTGAGTGTTAATGTTCCTTTACCTAAATGAAGTAACCCCTGTGCGATTCTAACCATAAATAAACAATTGGGTTCTCTTGAATAATAACTGGCTAATTGTCTTAGCAATTGTGCTAGTCTAGCATTATTGGTTCCTGATCCGACTACACCCATAGAGAAAATTGCATTTGCTGCAACATCTGAATCTGGATCATGAGAATATCTTGACAATGTATCATAAATATTCATTTGAGGATTAGAAACAGAAACTAATCCCATTGCTAATGGAACTGCTCTTTTGATTGTATCATTACCATAATGCATCAAGTGCCCAAAATGACGTAATGACATTTCTTGTCCAATATCTTCACCCATTGCAAGGATTGCAAGGCCTAGAACTGCATATGCTTGATAAGTGGTGTCTTCTTCTTCTTCATCATCCTCTTCATCCTCATCTTTTTCTTCCTTTTCTTTTTCTTCAGTTTCTTCTGGTAAGACTTCTTCCATCACTGCATCTTCATCAACATCAACTAAATCAGGTTTTTTACCCTTTTTAGCATCATCAGTTTCAGTTTCAGTTTCAATTTCAATTTCGCCTTCACCTTCGCCTTCAGCTTCCAGCTTATCCTTTTTGGGGAAATTGATGCACATATTTAATAATTTTTGAATTTCCAACACATTGCCTGTTCCTGCAAAGGCACATACAGTGATTAAAATTTCAGTTGCCTTTCCAATTGGATGATCAACAGCTTTCAAACTTTCACATGCAACATCGATTTGATCGTATAATCCAACGAATAATAAGGCTAAACCTAATGACATTAATTGAGCAAAACTATCATTAAAATCTTTATTTGGTCTTTCAATAAAGGTTGATAAAATTGTTTGGGCAATATCTGGGTTACCAGTTCCCACAAAAACTAAACCTAATGATAATGTAGCCAAGGACACAATTTCAATTGAAGCAGATTCATCACTAATAATTGGTAATAAAAGTTCCAAAACACTTTGGTTTTCATGACCAGCAAATGAGATACCCAAACTAATTATAGAAGCAATTCTTAATAATCTTGAATTGTTAGTGACGTAATTTTCAACTAAATAAAAAGAGGTGAGAACTTCATCATAAATTCCAGTATTGACAAGACCAATACCGAGTAAAGCACCGGCTTTGATTTCTTCTTCAGTTGATTCTAAAAATTTATCCAACTCTTGTAAACCAACAGATGAAGACCATTGGAAAACAGCACCTAAACTAGCAGCAACAGATAGCATTCCAGTATCTTTAGTTTTATAAATCCAAGCCATAGCATTTTCTTGACTTATTAATTTATCGTTACAAAATCCGCAATTGAGATAGGAGTTGACAAAACTTGCAGCTAAACTTTGTTTGGCAGAATCAGTAGAAGTTTCCATATAGCCGTTCTTTGATTCTAAATGAGATTTGTAAATATCCTCGGGGATTTTAGGTTCTAGTAGGTTTAATTTTAATGTTAGATAGGTGAAATATTCGTTTAATTTTAGATTTGATATACAAACTTCAACGTCAGGATTTACTTCTTCAACAATATCATCTTCAGCTATATCTTGATCTTGTTCTTGATCCTGATCTACTTCACCTTGTTCTTTGGATTCATCCTTTTCTATTGAAATATCGTTTTCAGCGTCATCTTCATCTTCATCTTCATCTTCAATGTCATCGTCTTTTGATTCAATTAATTGGAAAGCAGGATTTTGTTTTGCTAAAATAAAACCCAATTGTTTTGAAGTGGCCAAGTCATTTGAGCGAGAGAAAATATTTCTGATTAATGAATCATCACCGATTTTGAGTGCTAATGGAAGAGCTTTAGTCAATTGATCTTGAGAGAGATAAATTTCACAAACAGTTTGTAAGAAAGAGACGTCATCAAATGGAGGCAAATATGGAACACAACTAGCCATGTATAAGCAAACTCTGGAATAAGTATTTTTGTCAACAAATCTTGGGAGATCTTTGATGGAGTCAATTTCTAATAATAAGTCAACAGCGTCAGCTTCAGCGTTATGTTTTAGGAAAAAGGGAACAATTTCAAAGGCCAATTGTTTCAAATCAGCGATTTTAACTCCAGATAAGACTTTTATTTTTACTTCCTCATCGTCGGCTTTGGGTTTATCAGATTTTTGGTTATCTTTTTCTTTATCAGCGGAGTTACTATCTGATGGAGAATTATCCTTTTTGCTAGACTTAGATTCATCGGTCTTTAATTCAGTTGAAGTTGAGTCTTTAGATGCAGTATCTAGTTTTTCAGCAACATTGTTGTCTGAAAGAACTAGAGCAGTAACTTCTTCAGGCTTTAAGCCATTTTCGAGTTCTAGTAAGGGAATGTAAAGTAGACCGATTTCTAAAGCCAAATGACGAACGTAGTCATGGCCCATTTCACTTATATCGGGTTCATTGGACAATAATCTGTACTTTAAACAATCAAGGTTACCTTCATCAGAGTAAGTCATTCCCAATACCGATAGGATATCAGCCAATTTCGATTTCAAAACTGGGTCTTGCCATTTGTCGTATAAATTGCATAAGAGAGGATAATGGGGTCTTAAGAATTTCAAAGGTTTAGGAACAGCAGTCATTGAGCTTGTGGATTCTTTAATAAAGACTTTCAACTTCGACAAAGAGGCCTCATACAACAAGGAATCAGACTCATTAAGTCTCTCAACCAACATCTCTAGATCAGACTTTAATTGCTGGTCTTCTTCACTTAATTCCTCTTCTTCTTGCTTCTTCTTTTTGCCTGATTTGACATTTTGTTTAGCATCTTTAGTGGCGTCGGGCACGACTTTTTTCTGAGGGAGCTGATCTTTGGAGGACATTTCGGACAAGGAAAGCAGTATGGGGAGCCACCAGTAGCAGTGATGTGTTTCAATTGGTTCAAGCTCGCTAGCTAGATGGTTGATCTGAAGGATTGATCTCTTGCAGCTGAATCAAAGAGCCAGTTGGAGGTAGTGGTAGCTCTGTTGGAACAGCTTGGAGGCAAATCCAACGAGTTTTTCAGCGCCAACCGGAACACGTGCGTAGAGACATCCGACCCCGCCGGAAGTGCTTTGATCTGACAGCTCTTCACTCCATCGCCTTGAGGACAAGCTCTGAAGAAGCCTCTGAAGAAGCCTTTGCACAAGAAGAAATCTCTCCACCAGCTTTATACTCATCAACCATGTCTTCCACTACACTGACGTTTGTGGGAGTTCGTTCCCAGGCACTTGCATTTGAAAACCAGACCTTGAAGCTTCTCACCAGCTATTCCTCGTTTGCTCAGTCTCCCACTGCACATCCAACCCAGAAGGAGCTAGCCTTGGAGAAGGAGATCGCCAATTTGCTCAAACAAAGAGACGCAACTGTTGAGAATTTGAACAATTTTGAGAAATTCGAGAACTTGGTTCCTTCCAGATCACAACAGTTGCAACGACACAACGAGGTTCTACAGGAAAATTACAGGGATTTCAATAATATCAAACTCTCTATCAAACAAGAAAGAGAGAGAATCAATTTGCTAATAAGTGTTAGGTCCGATATCGAGGCCCATAAAAGAAGAAACAACGATACCTCCAGTAACCAGTTTTTAAATGACGAAAACGACTACATCAACAATGAACGAGAGAGGGCAGACAATGCCAATTCAATAGCCGACAGATTACTAGCCCAGGCCTATGAAACAAGAAGTGAATTTCAAAGACAGAGAAGTGTACTCTCTGGGGTCAACAAGAAAATGTTTTCAGTATTGTCTACTATACCAGGCATAAATGTTTTGCTAGGTAAAATCAACACTAGGAGGAAAAGAGATGCCATTATTATAGCTTCGTTAATATCAGTTTGTATAATTCTTATATGGCTCACAAGCTAGAACATGTATCAATGGATCGGAATTTTTCACTTTTAATCTAGTGCAATCAACTCTATGAGGATCGACCTAATCTATTTAATTCTATTTTATCCTATTTTATCTTAATTTTATCTTAATTTTATCTTGATTTTATCTCAATTTTATTTAATTCTATTTAAATATAATATCAAATTAACTTGAAAAATAAAAAATAAAAAATAAAAAATAAAAAATAAAACAATAAAAAAAACAACCATAATTGTACAATAGTTTATAAAGGGGTTTGTTTTTTTAATTATCTAATATCCACATTGATTAGGATAATTACGACTCTCTAATGGTTGAGGGAATAATCCATATTCTGTTAGTTTTTTAAAGTCCCATTCAATTGATGACTCAGTTTTATAGCACCAAAAGATCCATCCTGCTCGAATTTGAAAAGCATCTAATTGAGCTTCAATATATTTTCTTGTTGCAATTTTTTTATTGCTGCTCCAATAGTTAATATCATCAATATTCTCACAAGAACCAATGGGATTCGAGACTAAAAACGTTCCGTCGTATCTTGCACCTCTACCAACTCCATTAAGCCATTTTGTACAATCAGTTAATGCTCCAGACCATTCACCAGCTACTGTCCAATGGTATTCATCTTGAATTTGTCTTCCAAGATTGCATGCAAACGAAATATGTTCATCATCACTTCTTAATAGTTCACCTTCAGAGAAAACTTGATAGAAATGATGGTCAAGTACGACTCCCCAAAAGCCACTATCAAGAACCATAAAATTTGACCAATAACCCAAAGGTTGAAATGCATCATGAATTATTATATTATTGGTTGAAACATTTCGTAGTTGATCATATCCATCGAGATAAAACTGTTTGATTTTATCCATGTCCAATGAAGGACCCAAGGGTTCATTTAATAGCTCAATTCCAATAATGGTATCTTTATAATCATCACCACCGTATTTATTCATAATGTAATCTAACACCTGTAAAGTGACTAGAAGATTATTGCCATTTTGCCAACCTAAATAATCTCTTTTACCGGAATTATCGAACCCATTTTGAGAGCCTGGAGCACCATGTAAATCTATCCAGACCTTTAAATTATTTTCTTTTGACCATTCAATCGCTTTATCCAAGTAATATTCTTGACCTTGAACATATGGATCGTTGTCTAATAGTTGAAAAGCCCAGTATCCAATTGGAATTCGAACTGTGTTTAATCCATAAGAAGCAATGTCTTTAAAATCTTGCTTAGTATAAAAAGTAGCCCAATGCTCGGATAATCTGTCATAAGCTTCTTCTTTTCCTAAATATTTTGTATAATAATATTCATCAACAGGAACATCATTCTTATTATTATCATCATCGGCACTGAGCACTTCAAAAAGCGAAGGTGTGATATAAGGTTCTAAAAGAAACCATCCTCCCAAATTAACACCTTTAATTTTATTTTCTGGAAGGGCATAATTATAGGATCTTCTCATAAATTTAAGATTATCTTCACTTCTTTTGATGTTTGAAATCTCATAAGTTATATCATTTGCTAATAACCTAATAGAAAAAATTGAATTAAACAAGAAAAAAGCAATAAATAAAAAGCAGTGAAGTTTAGACATGATAGCCATTTTTCTTTAAAAGCAATTGATAATTTTAATTTGATTGTTTTATATAGATATTATTTTATTCTATTCTATTTTATTTTATTTTATTTTATTTTATTTTATTTTATTTTATAATTATTTATAATATGATTGGTTTTAAAGGCAAAGGATTTCAATAGACTCAAATGTAAAGAAGTCTCTATTATAGGTTTTAGCTATGTCTGGTGTGTGATTTGGTTTTGTGTTGTTTCAAAGCGAATGAAGTGATTACAATATTAAATCTTTTAGCAAAAAATATAATTATTTAAACTAAAGCTTTGATATTCAAGATCTCAAAAGGTCACAGTTAAAAATAAAATTAAATAAAAAAAAAAATCAATTCAGAGTGTGAATAAAGATTCCACAAGAATATTTGAAATAGAATAACCTCTTTTATACAAGATGAAGAAGAAAAAAAACTTGTTTTTTATTGGGAAATCACATTTATATATTCAAATGAGAAAAAGAAACAAAAATACAGAATAAGCACATTAAAAATATCAAAAGATACAAATTGACTGTCAAATGAAAAATATTATAGCGTTATTGGGATTTTATTATAGAAAATTTTGACCTGAAATGGAAAAGACATGTAGATAATAGAGTTTTAGCTTAAGGTTGTGCTTTTCCTTCTGTGTTTCTTTTCTATTTGTGGCCCCAAATAAAATTACATATTGCAAAAACAGATTTGCTGTGTTTGATTGGACAAAAAAATGACAGGATCTGGATGTTGGGAGAAAAAAATGTCTTGTTTTGATGGTTCGTAGGATATATGCACACTCTACAGACTGATGCAGGAGACATTTCCTTATTTGGAAATATAGAACTGAAAACGCACCGCTGCGCTGCAACACAAAGCTAAATTGAAGCTGCGATCCAAATCACTGGAGCCCCTTTTTCCATCTAGAGTTCGGACATTGCTTCAACATGAACTGAGAGTACCGAAATGTAGCTGGATATGCCTGCTGTTGCAGCTTAGTTATTTTTAAGCCACAACACCATGAGAATTTATGGTGTTGTATAAGTCAAAAAAAAAGTGATTACAAACAACTGTTTGTTTAGTTCATCTGATGCATGTGTGCATCTAAACTTGCCGCATCTGCAGACTCACGTGAATACACCAGTACAAACCGCTGGAAGTCTGGAGATGATGGAAAATACGCTACGTCTTTTGTTCTGCTGCACTCTCATCGTGAGCCAACACAAGCAGAAGTGCACCAGCTCCAGTTCTAAATGCTGGTTTCAATCGGGCTCCAAAACAAAAACTGCAAATTGGGGTTGGAGCATTTTTGTGCCGGTGCTTTCGAAGAAGTTCGGCATCTGCCTCTTCCGGCCCGCCTGCGGATTCTCATCAATGATCACAGACCCGACTCAAACGCAACTTTGGATTTCCACACAGCTGGTTTGCCATGCAAAAGTTGCTTGCGTCGCACAAAAAGACCTCTTGGAACTGCAACCGCATACTTTAACACGCAAATTTCAATGTTTTTGTATCGTTTGTTAAAGCTCAACTATGACCAAACAATTACCAAAAGCCAGTTGGATACAATCAATCGAAGCAACTGCAATCAAAGCACATTGAGCATTCTCCTTCAAACAAAATTCCCTTCACACTATTCAACTTATCTAAACAACTGTTTGCAAATGATAAAATCAATCAAATTGCAGTTTATAAAGTGCCGAAACACCCTAAACCATCTATTCTTCAACTGCATCAACTTTGCTATATCTAAATTTAACTACCACATCGAATCAAAATACCATATAATCCACGATCTATATATCATCCAATATCTAATCAAGAGATTGTTCTACTACTTGTTGCAGAATCTAAACAAAAAATTGAATTACTGGTATATATTTGAGAAAACAGTTTTTGAAAATGAAAACAAATTGGCTCTCGTTTACATCAACTCTCCCTCAATCAAAACTAATTTTGTGCTAGATAAGGACAATCAAAATCTTAGGATCCCAAATGACGCCAATTTTAAGATTGAAAGATTGACTTACATTCAACTATACAATGCTGTATTAAGATTATCCTATATTTTATCAACAGATTACAAAATCAAGCCCGACGATATTGTTGGACTTGATATGCATAATAAGCCATTATTTGTTGTCTTTTGGTTTGCTCTATGGAATATTGGTGCCAAACCTGCGTTTTTAAACTACAATATTACCAACAAAACTTCATTAATTCATTGTCTAAAAATCTCAAATATCTCTCAGGTCTTCTTTGAACAAGATTTCAATCTTCCAGACGATACCATTAGTTCAATTAATTCAGAGTTACCTGATCTTAAACTAACCTTTTTAAATGAAGATCAAATAAACTTAAAAATTTATGACAATTCTTCAAAAGTCTTTAGACTAAACGATGAATTGAGAAACAAATCAGATAAACCCTGGTCAACTTCAGCACTAATCTTCACATCAGGAACAACTGGCCTACCAAAGGCTGCGATAATGAGCTGGAGAAAAGTTTGTCTTGGTACTCCACTATATGGTCATATAATCAGAATCACAAATAACTCAACCGTTTTCACCTCAATGCCACTATACCACTCAACATCCTCAATGCTTGGTGTATTGCCAACCTTTGGTCACGGTGGTTGTATTGCAATAACTGAAAGGTTTTCTGCTTCCAATTTCTGGGCCCAAGTCAAAATAACTAAATCCACTCATATTCAATACGTGGGAGAAATCTGCAGATACTTAATTAATCAGCCAGTCAACCCAAACTATGAGAAAAATCACACAGCAACCATAGCCTATGGCAACGGTCTAAGAACAGATATCTGGTTTCAGTTTAAACAAAGATTCAATATCCATGCTGTAGGTGAGTTTTATGCTGCTACAGAAGCTCCGATTGCTACAACGAGCTTCCAAACAGGAAACGATGGAATTGGTGCTTGTAGAAACTATGGATCCCTAATTAATTATATTTTATCATACCAACAAATTTTGGTCAAAATGGATCCAGACACAGACAATGAACTTTATAGAGATGCCAAAACTGGCTATTGCAAGGTCACTGACGCTGAAGAGCCCGGCCAATTATTATTTAGAATCTCAAGACCAAAAAAGCCTTATGTCGACTTTCAAGGCTATATTAATAATGAAAAAGAAACAAACTCTAAATTCGTTCGGGATGTATTTCATAAAGGCGATTGCTGGATTAAAACTGGAGACTTGTTGAAATATGATAAAGATGGTTTAATGTATTTTATTGATAGACTAGGCGATACATTTCGATGGAAGTCTGAAAACGTTTCAACCAACGAGATTGAGATTTTAATCAATAACTCAAATTTAGTGAATAATTCCGTTGTTGTTGGTTTAAAGATTCCAGGACATGAAGGAAAAGCAGGATTTGCCACAATCATTCCAAATTCCAATTTTGATCTTACCAAATTAGTCAATTATTTCATGGATAATATACCAAAGTATGCTGTTCCAGTATTCATTAAACTTGCTGATGAATTCATAACAACAGACAACCATAAAATCATCAAGAAAAGTTATAGAGAACAAATATTGCCAAAGGGAAAAAATAATGACGAAAAATTATATTGGCTTAACAAAAACAGATACGAGGAATTAACAGAAGAAAGCTGGAATGATATACTATGTTCTAAAATTCGTCTATAGTTGCTTACTATCAAATGATTTGAATAGGTATAATAAGGGTTTTTTTTTCCTTAAAACAATGAAGGAAATAAGATATATAATTTATCAAAATAAATAAAAATAAAAATAAATAAAAAGTAATTTCGTTATAATTTGATTTTGTAAATTATGTTTTGAGAATAGAAATTGACTTCATATTTTCATGTTTAAAGGGAAAACCCCAATATTCATGATACAGCCGTCAATATGTCAATTATATCAGATAAGTCTTTAGGGTCCAATAACAACCGTTTAATAACTGATAAACTGCCACTAGTAACTGTCACTAGTTCATAGTAGTTGTATTTTCAGTAGTTGCCGAGTATTTGTTGAAAAGTTGAATTATACAACCCCATGATATATTCAAAATTCGTTATAACTTTTTTGACGTATGTTAAAGATATGGTGTGTTTTTGCAGGTCCAAGTATCTCATGAAGATGAAAGACAAACTATAGAAAAACAACATATTTATATAATTGTTTTCATCTGATACATTTGTTCATTTTAACAAAGTTGGGTTGTTTGATAAGAGTAGTTCAACGGCAACACACAAATAATGACCTGTTAAAATGAACAGGCCAAAATGACTATAGAAAATAGAATCACAGTACTTCCACTACTTCATTATTTTCAATTGCATATCTTCTTCCTAAAGTATCACTAACTCTAGTTCACAATACAATGTCTAGATCAAGTTAGGGAAGCCCAAATGTATTTATTATTAGAAGCACTTGTATTATTGGAAAGATTTGAAGGATATCTAAATTATATTACCAAATTATTGAAATATGAATTACTAACAATCATGCATCAGTCCTTGGTCAGGTCAACCTATTATGTTTTTCTATTAACATTACCACCGAATCCAGTTGGGATGATGATTCCTTCTTTGTGCTGTTGTTGAAGAGACTCTTTAACAGTTTAAGAAAAGTGAAGCCGACTATCTCAATTTCAAGTAGACAGCAAGGTTGATTGGTGAAATAATTAAATTAGACAGCAACTATTGTGATATGTTGTGAATTAAGTTTCTTTATTTGCTTTCTGAACTTGTTGCCAAACACATTTCTATATCAATCGATCATCTTGAATCAGTTGATCAGAGACATTTTTCGCTCTAGTGTCATCCAGTGAATGACTTCTTGGTTCAAAAAACCAGAAAACAATAGAATATTTGAGGTAACTGTCAAAAAAAGAGATTAAAAGCTTATTTATTTGCTTAGGCTCATGCATGTCAATGCGGGTTTGTACTAAACGCTCCGCATACTTGCGTTTATTATTTTGAAATACGCATCTCTAATATATGTGTCAAATTCAAAGAGTTGTATCCAATATGGACCTTGAAATTATCAAGAAAACCAGACAAAATATACTAGACAGACTACCACTACACATCCTCAACGCTATTTTGTCCAAGATACCTTTTAAACACATATTTTTGTTTATTTCATCCACCAATCCAATTGTTAAAGCAACATATTTTGAATTATTATTTCAAACTGTTGAATTGAAGTCATGGTATCTTAATGACTACAATAAAACTGAATATGAGTACATCACTCCAAATTCTTGTTTAACATTAAACCTCAAAGATTCTACGCTTTTCAAAGAATATTCGGGTCAATTCTCCACAAGTGTCTATCTCAGAGTAGTTGTTCCTGATCCAGATCTATTAGATCAACATGAAAATTTAATCAGTATGTTTGGCCCACTTAAAAAAATTTCAATTCTAGTTCGATCAATTGTAGTTCAATCAATTAAAGTCCGATCAATGCTGTTTAATAATAATTAAATTTACCCAGAGCATGAACTTGCAGATGATATTTTGAGGTGTGGATCGGTAATGAAAGAATTAGTACTTTCTTACAAACACACACTAAAAACAGTAATATACAACTTTGGTAAATTTTTGCCTCAGGATTTCACTTATAAAATATTGTTACAACGTTGGAAAAGATGCAATCACTTGGAAATATATAGAACTGATCCCCAATGTCTTTTCTCAGATGAATATGTTGGTTATACTTTAGCTGGGTTAACAAAATTAGAATTGAAAGGAGTGAAACTGTCGAAACTTGAATATGATGTGTCAAAACTAATCAATTTAAAACACTTCAAATTGGAGATAAATACTTGGTCCACATTGGAAAACATCAAATTTCCTAACAGTATAAAATATTTGGATATATCATTCAATTATATTACAAATATAAATAATTGGTTATTTCCAAATAACTTGGTTACTTTGAAATTAGATAAAAATGAAATAAATGCATTTGAAAATTTGAATGGGTGTGAAAATCTAGTTCAGCTAGATCTTGGTTGCAATTCTATTTTAAATATTGATGATGTATCCCAATTCAAAAAATTAAGGTGTCTCTATTTGCAATCAAGTTCTATCAAATGTATCACAAATTTGAACTCATTAAACTTGGAAGAATTGTATCTCAATAACAACTTGATTAAAAATATTCAAACTCTCAAAAACTTGTCAAATTTAAAAGTTTTAAATTTATCTAACAACTTTATCCAGAGAATTGGGAAGCGTTTTGATGATTCTGTTAACTTTGTTAGCTTTGAAACATTAATGATAAACGCCAATAGCATTGGATTATCTGAAGATTTTCACACCAAATTATTCAATTTTATAACAACAAATTTGGCCAGTAACAAAATAACAAAGATCGAGAATTGGAATAGCTTGACAAACTTGGCTGTGTTAAATTTGTCAAGAAATAAAATCAATAAAATTGAAAATTTGGAGCTAATGAAAAATTTAAATTGTGTAGATTTACCTTATAATAAAATTGAAAACTAGGACCATTTACTGAGTCTCGTAGTTTGCGATTTTTCATCCAATCAAATAAAAGTAATTAAAAAAAATTAAATCACTTGGTAACTTAACCACTATCAATTTATCATATAACCAAATTACCAAAATGCGGAATTTGAAATGGTTCAACAACTTGAACTACTTGGACTTATCAAGTAACTATATCAAAAAACTAGTGACTATTAAGAAACTAAGCAACTGTTCACATATTAATTTAACAAGCAAATGAAGAAAATTCAAAATGAAACACGATTATCCACAATTAATTCAATAGAGAAGGATTTTGAGGAAAGAGGCCCCTGCAGTCGTTAAATGAAATAAAATGAAAATAATTCTAGTGGGAAACCCCTTGGAAAGGCTCAAAGGGCTTTCCAAATGGGTTAATTTAAATGATTTGGCTGTAGAAATAAGCTTGTTATATATTAATCCAGAAGATCTTCCAGAGTTGCTTAACATGAAAAAACCCGAAATATGGGTATTAGACACTAGGGAAAAGTTTGATAAATTAAAAGAGAAATGCCCAAATTTAAAGGCCCCTAATTTTTTAAATTGATAAATTACTGGTATCTGCAAGCTTGTGGACAAATTCACCCATTTAAAAATTATTTTCCTTAAGGATGTCTCATCAAAAAGGTATATAACTTAGTTATCAATTAGAATTATAAAATGCTCAGCTCCACCAACATAGTGCTTTTTCTGTTGCACGTTCTGATTTTGGTGTCTAGCCTCAACTGTAGATTATAGTTGGCAAAGAGTTTGGCTGAGATAAAGTCGTTTCTAATCTTGAGCTGCACAAAACCGCTCTTAAATGGGTTTGCACAACCAGTTATTATTTAACAAAATGTATATTTCATAATCTGTGACACTCCAGCAGAATATATTGCTTAATTTCCTTGTATCATCATTGCCATCATTGCCATCCTCCCCGGTATTATTTTTTAATATTTGTTTTAACATTTTCATTATATTAATATTCTGATTTTCATTTGAATTCTGATTTTCTTCACTATTCTTATCGATATCCACTCCTCTCTTCTGTTCATAAACCAATAGTAGCAAATCATTAATTATTATCGACTCTATAAACCTCAAAACATTCCCAATATGCAACTCTAGCTCTTCATATATTATAGGCAAATACCTGACATAAAGCTATTTAGAAAAGAAAAAATATTGTTCTTAAATGTAGGCTCTCTTCTATTCATTATTGGTTTTTATATAATGCCAGTAGATAATAGAAATTAATTACCCTCATTCCCATTCATACGCCATTTCTTGCTTCCCATTTCTATATTGATTTTAAACTTTATCTCCGGCTTATCATTAGAGTAACTATAAATATGGAAAATCTCATATTACTAGGATCGTTGAGATTGGTAATTTAGTTATTGTTCTCATTAACTAACACAAAAATGAATATATAATTAGTGAAATTATTAGCAAATTAGTAGAATAGTCAACAAATAAACAAATACTAAATTGAAAAGATTGAGATTATTGCATCATTAAGTCAAGTATATCAGTGCAACCTCAAAAGATTCAACATAATGGTATCTTGTTAAAGGAATTTTGAGTTCATCATTTAACCAACACTGTCTTGAACACCAAATTACCAAGAACCAGTTTCATTTTGACGGCAAATCGGTGATCTACTGAGCTTCAAGCACACAGTTATTTGCATATGTACATATATGTGCATATAACGCATGTATGTAGATATCAGTTTACGTGCGGGTTTTGAAGTGAGAAGAGTGCTTTTTTTTTGACATCCGATTGAGCTGTCACAGAAGGAAAAGAAGAAAGAGAGATCCAAGTAGTAGACAATATAGCTCGGGAAAATACCCTAATTTGAAGCTAGATGAGGTTTTGTAATATGCATTAAGACCAAACCTTTTGTTACCGAAAAGCATTCTCTCAACAAATAGAAATCAAAAATAATACTTCGGTTTTATCTGTAATAAGCATATTCAATATATGATATGAATCCATAGTTATAGTAAAAATGGACCCTTCAATCATTAATCAGAACAGACAAAATATATTAGACGGATTACCATCTCATATCCTTTATGATATTTTTAGCAAGCTCTCATTGAAACACCTATTGTTGTTTATATTATTTGAAAATTGCATTATTAGAAGAACATATTCGCAAATTAGTTTCAAAAGTTTTGGTTTGGTCTTGGAGCTTCCACTAGTTAAGCCTGTATTCAAAGTCAAACATAATTGGCTAAACACATATTTACTAATAAACCTAATCGATATTAAATTTTTAAAGAGGTATTTGGAAAGATTTGCGCAAACTATGTATCTTAAAATGGATTAGCCAAGTAAGGAGTTGATTGATTGTATGATTAATAATATAGTTGATAATATGATCGATAATGAGAATAAAGATTTGTTAAATTTATCTTTAAGAAAAATAGGTATTAAAATTGAATCAATTTCATTTTGTTGCTATGAAGCACTAACTCCTTCAGCTGTTGAACAAAAAAAATTTCAAAAGTCAATAAAATCATTAAAGAAAATGCTTATTGGAAACAGAAAAACATTGAGGGTAATCAAAATCGATTTTGACGAGATTGTTAAAATGAATCACTCTGCAAATCCACAAATATATAGAATTAATCATCAATTACTCCTCTCAGATACATATGTTTGCTATGATTCATTTCGCTTAGACCGATTAAAAATTATAGGGATGCAATTAGATCAAATTGGATTAGGTATATTGAGATCCAGAACATTATAATATCTTCAATTGAAAAATAATAATTTTGAAAACCTTAAAAATATTCAGTTTCCTGATCAAGTAATATATTTAGATTTATCTAGGAATAAAATCAGCAATATCAAGACCTGGATATTACCTGATTACCTGATTATTTAGTTACTTTGGATTTATTTGGTAACAGAATGCCAACCTTTAAAAATTTTAATCAATGTAAAAATATAGTCCAATTTAATTTAGGTTATAATTCCATTTCAAAAATTGGTGACATATCAGGATTCAAAAAATTAAGGCGTCTTTATTTATCATATAATTCAATTAAAAATATTGCAGACTTTCAGAATTTAAGTAAGTTAAAAGTTTTAGATTTATCTGATAACCAGATTGAAAAAATTAATAACACATTATCTGGTTTTATCAGTTTAGAAAAATTAAATATATCAATGAATAAAATAACAGAATTTAAAAATTTTGAATCACCAATGTCAAATTTACTGTCATTTGATTTGTCAAATAATCAATTGAAAAGCTTTCAAAGTTCAAATCCAATGGAAAATCTGATAAAATTAAACTTATCAAATAATAAGATCATAATAATCGAGTTCTTTGATAAATTCCCGAATTTCAAAAAACTAGATTTATCGCATAATAATCTTAAAATAATTAATAATTTGGAAAAATTAAAGAGCCTCACATTTTGCAATATAAAATTAAAGCACTTCAAAACCTCAAAAGTCTAGTTAATTTGAGAAACCTCGACTTATCAAACAACATTATTACTAGATTCAGAATCAGTAAACATGAGAAATGTTTAGATAAGTTGACTGATCTAGATTTATCTAATAACCAAATATCCCAAACTCAAGATTTACAATGCTTTGAAAACTTGAAAAATGTTGATCTTTCAAAAAACCAAATTAAAAATTTCATTACCATCAAGGAACTAAACCATTGCTCAAAAATAAACCTAGAAAATAACATGATAAAAAAAATTCAAGTCAATTCAAATTACTTTAAAATCCATTCAAAATGGAGAGAAATGTTGAGAAAAAAAGACACATCTAGTAAGAGTAAAAACACCATGAAACTTAATCTAATTGGAAACCCCTTAAGAAGGGATTGGGGCCTTTCTGGATGAAGTAATTTGAATCAATTGTTATTAGATGAAGATATAATGCTGCTCAAGCCAAAGGAAATGGAATTGGTAATGTTGAATGAAATTCTTATTCGTTCAAGGCTCTCCACAATAGAACTTGAAAAATTAAGGAAAGAGTTTCGAGATGTAAAGCTTTCTTTGATTTAATAAATTGTAGGGACAGCGATCAAATTTATATATGTTTCTTTGTCAATAACAGATTACAAGATGTAAATTCTCAATGATTATTTAACACTATATAGTGTTTGACTGCTCCAAAACGACGCTTCCTTTGCTGTTTGCTCAGTTTCTGATAATTCTTTCTGATTATATCGTAGTTTTTTAAAAAGACCGGCTTTATTGGAACATCGCCCGTACTATGTACAAAGCGATAGGAATCTAGAACATTCTACAAGTGTTAAGCCGGCACTTCCGAAACTCACTCTTGAAACTCGTGTTCGAGCTTAATACCGTCATCAAAAATAACCGGTAAAGCCGGATTTCTACCTCAAACCCCCGTTTAACATTGAAATTAAATTTAGTTTGGAGTTCTGGACAAATTTAAATTATTTGATTGTACACCAATTTTTATTATAGATTCGTTCATTTTTTTTTCCTTTGCGATTTAATCACTTTGTTATTTGGCAGACTCTTATTGTTAGACTAACACTTGCCTGATAGTTTGTTTTATTTCCTTTATTGAATCAATAACTGCAATTCATCCTTCTGTGTATTATATTGCAGTAGCAGATTTGGTATTCGTAACAAGTGGAAGTCTCTTCGTGTGTGTTGCACGAGGTGTGGTCGGAAAACACAATCCGAGCTCGGACGTTCGTGAAGCCACTATAGTCCGTTGCCCAAACCAAATACACAAGACTTAACCACTTATGAAACGAAAATTGTGTTTCTGCAAAAAACATTTAATCGACAAATACCTTGATGAAGATTGCAATCCAAACAATATAAATATAATCACTAAATAGCTAGATAGAAATAAAATAAACCAAGAGGAAAAGGAAAGAGAAGTCTACTAAGCCATGAGCACTAGAAGAAATCTCTATCCTTCCTTCGACGACTGTCAACCTGACAGCATCCAAGTCAAGAACACTGATAGTGATAACGAAAGGGAACTTGATACTTCACCAATGGCTTCCAAAATCAATGAATTAAATCAGAGAGTTGAGTTAATTGAATCGAATATTGCATCCGAATTTGAACGACTAGAACGAATGCTCCAAAGTGTATTAACTCGTAACAAATGGCCGGAAATCAGTTATCAAAGGTCACAACAGTATGCTTACATAATCACGGTCGAACCGTAATGCTTTCCATCCAAATTCGAACAAAGCATCCCACATTAGTAAGAGCGTTCCAATTTGGCTCTCAAATCCGCTTTCTCCAACTCCGCAGCGGCTTTCCAAAACCAGCAATACTGTCAAAGTCACGTTTACTCATTACAGTGCACTATCATGCATTACTCAGCAGATACCGCCAGTGTGGTTATACATCCCTTTTAGGTAATTCTCCCACGTTTGTTTTTTTTGTTTTGAATCAGTGAACAAAAATTTTTTTTTTGATTTATAATTTCATTTTATTATTTTCATGCTGGAATTTTTTCATTATATTTTGTATATTTTAGTTTGCTTACTTCTTTTTTTTTATTCTACTGCTTTAGTTGTTTTCGTTGACCTATTTTGCTTATTGATCTGCTTTATTTTACTATTAATGTTATTGTGACTATTCTCTTCAATTACAAATATTATTCTGATTTATTTTTAAACTTCTAAACTGTAAATCTTGTTAATATCATATAAATATCTTTGAAATTCTCTCTTTTCATTTATATTTTTATTCATTCATATAATTATGAAATTTATACAAACTCATTTGTCTCTCAACTCTTAGTTTGCTATTTTTCTATTATCTCATTTAAATATTCAATCCAAAATGACTCTTCAAGAAAAAAAATTATCTGATTTACCCACTTATATTATTCAACAATTATTTCAAAAGCTTCCTTTTGATAAGCTCTTATTATTTACCTTATCATACAACCAAAATTTTACTAAGATTTCAACTAATATCTTATACACAAAATTACTAATTGTATCAAATAGATACGATTTTTATAACAACATCATATCAAATACTCAAAACCATCAAGCTTCAGACCTAAATTTAAATCTATTATTTAGAAATCTATCTGTGGCTTCTCCAATTGATAAAAGCTATATCGACGCTCATCACTATAGTAATCCTATCCCTATTGGTAATAACACTAAAAATTTTGATGATTTTAAAAATAATAGAAAATTCATCAAATACTATAATACTTTCAAAATAAGAGTTGATGATTTACCCTTATTTCAAAATAAATTGTCCCAATTAACTGAATTTTTAACCATCAATCTCACTTCTGATGTTGAAGTACTACAATTGATTAATTCAAATATTAGATTTGTTAATTTAAAATATTTAAGCTCCTTAATCAAACTACCAAGGGATTACACCGATACATACCTAGTTTACCACTACTTGACCAGCTTAATATCTTTTAAATCAATGAAAAATATTAAATTTTTAAAATTTTTAATAGTCGATTCAAATTCAAATTCGTTTAATATCTTGGATAACTTCATTTTTTCAAACTTGACTAAAAATTTATTAACTCTAAATTTATCATATAACCATATTAATAAAATTCAAAACCTCAATACCTCTTTAAATTTAAAAAATTTAAATTTATCCTATAATCAAATTGAAAAAATTGAAAATTTTAATAGTTTGAAAAAACTAAAATTTTTAAATTTATCTCACAATAATATCTCCATCCTAGAAAATTTAAATAATTTACACAATTTAATCATCTTAAATTTAGCTGGTAATCTTTTAAACAATTTCAATTACCTCAATGATAATGACAATTTTAAAAGCTTTAGAAATTTAAAATTATTAGATTTAAGTTTCAATCATAACATCTCTCAAATCGATAATTTAAATAATTTTACTAATCTAATTTTTTTAAATTTATCATCAAATATTATCAATGAAATTCAAACTGATAACATAAATAAGTTAATCAAGTTAAGAGTCCTAGACTTATCAAATAATCAAATAACTCAAGTAGCTAATCTTAACAGCTTAAAATCATTAGAAGTTTTAAATCTATCAAATAATAAAATTAGTAAACTTGATTCCAAAAATCTTATCTTTTTGCCAAAATTAGTTGAACTAAATTTAGAATTAAACGAATTAACGGAATTCATAATTAATGATTCTGACATCTCTGATGAAACTGACAACGAAAATTATAATGAAATAATTACTACTAGTGATGATGATAATGATAATAATAATAATAATAATAATAATAATAATAATAATAATAATAATAATAATAATAATATTAACAATAATAATGAAGTTAAAACGGCGAACAAAAGAAATTTAACTAAGCTAAAATTCTTGAAATTAAATAATAATCAAATTTCCAAATTTGAGTTGAATATCAAATACTTGAAATCTTTAGAAGAAATTGATTTATCGCATAATCAAATAAAAGAAATTGCAAAATTTAATAAATTCAATAAATTAACCAAAATTAATTTTGCATTCAATAAAATAGTTAAAATTGAAAACTTGAAAAATTTGAAAAATTTGAAAATATTAAATTTTTCATTCAATTTAATCGAAAGAATATCCGGCTTGAAGTTTTTGAAAAACCTTGAGAAGATTTACTTAATTTCAAACAAAATAACCAGAATACGAAAATTTGAAATCTATAACAATGAAAATGATAACAGCAATGATAGTAAGAATGCTAACCCATTGGAAATATTCATACAAGGAAATGAAATTGATAGACTAAAAGACAAAGATGTAGAGTTTTTAAAAAATCTTAAAAGCGATTCGGTTTTGTTTTACAGTAACTCAATAATGGATTTCCAAAAGATCAGATTTAATAAAGATTTTTCATATCTCAAAGAGAGGATACGGTTCATGAGTTTAACAGACTTGCTTCTGTTATGATCTCTCTCACCATACTTATATCTATATATTTGTCCCTATATACACATACCTAAACTTATATTTTACACGAAATCAACACCCTTAAATCTTAAGATTCTTAGTGCTCTAGCACACTATTTCATCATTAACCCATTTTGTTTCTTTTAATTGCACTCCATAGTCATTGCAATTAACAATTGACGAGAGCAGCAGAAGAAGCAGAAGCAGAATTGTGTTAAAGAAATTTCACATCTATAGACTCAAATTCACCTATAATTCATATTCCTGGTTTGTTAGTCATCCTCAAGGAAAATATTTTTAAATTTTTCATTAGCTCCAAATTTTCAATTTTATTGATTTTATTTCTTGACAAATTTAACACAGCCAAGTTTGTCAAGCTATTCCAATTCTCGATCTTTGTTATTTTGTTACTGGCCAAATTTGTTGTTATAAAATTGAATAATTTGGTGTGAAAATCTTCAGATAATCCAATGCTATTGGCGTTTATCATTAATGTTTCAAAGCTAACAAAGTTAACAGAATCATCAAAACGCTTCCCAATTCTCTGGATAAAGTTGTTAGATAAATTTAAAACTTTTAAATTTGACAAGTTTTTGAGAGTTTGAATATTTTTAATCAAGTTGTTATTGAGATACAATTCTTCCAAGTTTAATGAGTTCAAATTTGTGATACATTTGATAGAACTTGATTGCAAATAGAGACACCTTAATTTTTTGAATTGGGATACATCATCAATATTTAAAATAGAATTGCAACCAAGATCTAGCTGAACTAGATTTTCACACCCATTCAAATTTTCAAATGCATTTATTTCATTTTTATCTAATTTCAAAGTAACCAAGTTATTTGGAAATAACCAATTATTTATATTTGTAATATAATTGAATGATATATCCAAATATTTTATACTGTTAGGAAATTTGATGTTTTCCAATGTGGACCAAGTATTTATCTCCAATTTGAAGTGTTTTAAATTGATTAGTTTTGACACATCATATTCAAGTTTCGACAGTTTCACTCCTTTCAATTCTAATTTTGTTAACCCAGCTAAAGTATAACCAACATATTCATCTGAGAAAAGACATTGGGGATCAGTTCTATATATTTCCAAGTGATTGCATCTTTTCCAACGTTGTAACAATATTTTATAAGTGAAATCCTGAGGCAAAAATTTACCAAAGTTGTATATTACTGTTTTTAGTGTGTGTTTGTAAGAAAGTACTAATTCTTTCATTACCGATCCACACCTCAAAATATCATCTGCAAGTTCATGCTCTGGGTAAATTTAATTATTATTAAACAGCATTGATCGGACTTTAATTGATTGAACTACAATTGATCGAACTAGAATTGAAATTTTTTTAAGTGGGCCAAACATACTGATTAAATTTTCATGTTGATCTAATAGATCTGGATCAGGAACAACTACTCTGAGATAGACACTTGTGGAGAATTGACCCGAATATTCTTTGAAAAGCGTAGAATCTTTGAGGTTTAATGTTAAACAAGAATTTGGAGTGATGTACTCATATTCAGTTTTATTGTAGTCATTAAGATACCATGACTTCAATTCAACAGTTTGAAATAATAATTCAAAATATGTTGCTTTAACAATTGGATTGGTGGATGAAATAAACAAAAATATGTGTTTAAAAGGTATCTTGGACAAAATAGCGTTGAGGATGTGTAGTGGTAGTCTGTCTAGTATATTTTGTCTGGTTTTCTTGATAATTTCAAGGTCCATATTGGATACAACTCTTTGAATTTGACACATATATTAGAGATGCGTATTTCAAAATAATAAACGCAAGTATGCGGAGCGTTTAGTACAAACCCGCATTGACATGCATGAGCCTAAGCAAATAAATAAGCTTTTAATCTCTTTTTTTGACAGTTACCTCAAATATTCTATTGTTTTCTGGTTTTTTGAACCAAGAAGTCATTTACTGGATGATCTTAGGGTCGAAAACTTATTTCATTTACGTATCATTATTGATTATTTAGTATCGAAATTTTTCTGGAAATAAATTTGGATAGCAAGTAAAGGCGTTTAGTTCACAGAAACAATTTGCAAAGTAAGGAATGAAAATGATTGTTTTGACTCTTTAATATTACCAACTAGTATTGATAGTCATTGAAAAGCTTTGAAAATTTCCAGAAGAAGAGAAATTGTTATGATTATAATTAAAGCAGTTTTTATCTCCAAACACTCTCAAATTTAAAGAAATCTTCATTCAGTTTGTTACTTTCAACTTCAAAAATGAAAATATCCTTAGCTATTTAAATTAATCGCAATATTCTCTGAAAACTTCAAACCCAGAGCTGGTACTCAATCTCAATCCATCTCTTCAACTCAAAAAAGGTATCAAATATTGAGAAATTGAACATTAAAAATAAATAAATGAAAGTTTTTGAAAGCTAATTCTTAAAATAATAATAGCAATAACTTGAGAAATGACCTCCTATGAAATAAAAATCTTCTATTAAAACAAAATAAATTATTTTGTCTATTATTCATAATCTCTGATATAAATTTAAAAGGTTGTTTAGTGGAAAAGATTTTATCAATCTCTCAAAAGTTTTATATTCTGATGACTCAAAATATAATTCAATCTATGGATTCTTTAAAAAGTTTAAAACATTCATGCTTTTCTTAAAATTTAGACTTACCTCAATTCAAAACAAATTATCGATTCTTTGTAACTACACTAACTCAAATAAAATAAAGTCTTCTATTCTTCCTTTAAATATATCCTAGAAACCAATTTTCAAAACAAAAAATTGAACAACATTTCAATGAATATAAATCTGTAAATAACCTCATTTATTTATTTATTTATTTATTTATTTATTTATTTATTTATTTATTTATTTATTTATTTATTTACTTATTTTATTTTATTCAAATAATTAGATGAAATCAAATTTTTCAACTAATTCTTTTGAGTCTCATTTTGTTTTTATTTTACTTTCATTTTTTATTTCTGGCAACTCAATAATAGTGAATCTTTAGACCCAAACCCTGCGTATGAGGCAACATTGATATCAGCCATTTATATCAGTAGCAACTTCTTATGGTATATATGACTAAAGACAATATTCTACCAAAACTTGAAGTCAAACAAATAGAGTTTGGTAACTTTTATCCAAGCCTTTTTTGAGGAACACCCATTTTTGATTCTGTATATTCTTGGGGTTCTTAAATTGAAAATGCAACTCTATTTAGTGCGCCTCCTTCAATTTCCTTTTCTTTTGAAATTTTGTTTTAAGCTCACCTGGAGTTTTGAAGAAGATCATTTGCTGAAAAAAAATCTTTGACAATTGACGATGAGTGTCTCTTCTTTTTCAGTTTTAAAGATAGATTGAGACCTTTGAAATACTCCAAAATCAAATGGTTCAAATAATTTAAAGTGTTAATTGTCTATCGCAGTACTATTAGTGTCATTTCTTCTTTTGGATGCATCCAGGTAAAGAAAACACTAGCCATTGAAGGATGAGTTTCTATATCTAATTTTTCTAAACTGATAAATTTACTGGAAATGCAATAATAATGAAGTGATAGTCAGAAAATAATAGATCTAGTATCAAGATATGTTCTTAAAACTCTTTAGGGAAAGTCTCTTCTCTATTTACTAGTCGCTCATTTGATTTGAAATTTGGGTTAAATTGATGAAGCGAGAAGGGAGACATCAGTTGAAGACTTGGTTTTGGGGGATAGACCTTTCATTTGAACGAAATATTATTAGAACAATTAAAAACTTAATTCCAATGACAACAGTAATGGAATGATATAAATCCAAAATGAGTTGATTATAGGAATATCAGAAACAAGCATAAGGTGTATAAGCGCCTTTTTGATGCACTGAAATAGGTAATAAAAGTGATAAGGATTACATTGAGTGAGTAAAAATGCGTAGGAAGAGTGAATGATTAGAAGAAGTTTATTACGATATAAAAAGACATTTGCAATAAGAGGAGGAAGGAATTTATAGATGGGTAAATGAAAAAAAAAAGATGATTAGTGGGTAGATAGATATGTAGAGGAATACATAAATAGGACAATAAATATAAATGAGAAAGGGAAAAAAAATGATATATTTTTTTTGCATTTTTCAAGATAGATTTTGAAATTTTTTAGAGATTTTCTTAATTATTTTCATTTTTTTTATTTTTGAAGATTTAAAATAACTGGGAGGTAAATAAGAGAAAATAGAAATAGAAAATGAAATGAAATGAAATCAAGATACAAACAAATCCAAGACATTGGAGAAAAAAAGAAAAAAGACAAAAGATAAAAGACAACAAAACTAGAGACAATAAATCGGATTAAATTAAGTCAAAATCTGATAAAATCTGAAAAGGGAATGACAAAAAAAAATAATAATAATAATAATAAATGGATATATCAATTGATTATATTAAATAATTAATTATATAAGATAGGTTAACAGGGTTATATGAATTTCGGTTAATATTGATCAGGTTGATTTTGGTAATAACCTGAACCATAATTTGTAGGCAAGTATTGAGGAGGAACGTTATTTGAAACAGGAATATTATTTGAATATTGATTTACAGGAGTCTGTTGAGAAGATTGATGATCTGGGGAAGTATTTTGATCCATGCCATTGTTTTGGATTTGTTGTTGATTTAGTTGTTGAGCTTGTTGGTTTTGGCTTTGTTGATTTTGTTGATTTTGGCTTTGTTGATTTTGGCTTTGAGTTTGTTGGCTGTCAATTTCGGATGGATCTTCTTGATCATCAGGAGCGTTAAGACAGGCTTGGATGAGGTTTTTACCTTCAGATTTTGTAACCAAGGGTTGCAATTTGGGGGTTGTGAAGGTGTAAACTAGACCAGTTTCGGAGACGACCAAGAGAAGGACTTGAGTGCCAGTTAAGACAGACAATTCGTAGGCCTTTTTCATGATACCAGCTTTTCTTTTTGAGAAGGTTATATGACGTCTTGATTTGTCTTGGATGAATTTGATGTCGATTTTTCTTCTTTCCTTTGGCTGTCTTCCTCCGGTGGGAGCAGATTCTTCTTCGTCATCATCCTGAGGAGTAGCAGAGGCTAATTGGTCATCGTCTTTGATGTCTTTATATTTTTGATCGACTTCAGACATTGTTGAGGGGTTAGAAAGAGGCTGTAATGGTGATTAAATGGAAGTAAGGAGTTGTTAGTAAAGGTGTTTCATTGTAGATTTGGAACAAGAGGCATGAGAAATAGCCAGAATAGTTGATGATATACATCAAGGTAAAGGATATTAGAGAATACAGTTGATGATGATAACACTTACAATAAATGATTGATGGCTGAAAGAGGTAATAGTGATTTGTTTCCTAAATAAAACAGGATCTTTTTGATTAAGAAACACACTAAAAGAAGATAAGAGAGGAAGGTATGAGAAGGGAAAAGAAAAAGTACCAATTGAAGGTATATAATGAGGAGGTAATTAAATTGTGTGTGGATATATTGAGAAATGTGTTTATAACTATTGATTGCAATCGAAATAGTTGTAAAGAAGATGGATAGTTAACTGGGAGAGGAAGAAAAAGGGAAACAGTAAAATTTTTTTTTTGGATTATTTTAATTCTGATTAGCTTGTAGAGTGTGGTTTGTAAGTGGTAATTATAAATGTGTAAATTGAGAATTTTTAATATTTCTTTTGCGTTTATTTTGATACTTTCCTTCTTTTTATTCGTTTTATTCTTTTTATTCTTTTTTAGAAATACTAAATTGAGAATTAGAATTGAGAAAGGAAAAAGGAAGAGGTAATTATATATTTGAAATCTTGCTTTAAATAGTAATAACAAAAAAAGGGAAAAGAGAGAGATTAGTAATTTGTGAAAAGGGAAGAAGTTTTTTTGGGCAATATTCACTAAAAGAGTAATTTTATTCGTGGTTCTGACCAGCCCCAGAAAACAGCCAATCAGCAGCCAGAATTCATATCACGTGTAAAGTGCCGTTGATATCTAGCCCGGTTTCGTCAGGGGTGATCCGCAGCAGTGGAGCGCGCGTTTGGCCAATCACAGACGGTGTTTGAGGAGAGAAAGACACGCGCTGAAACGCGGATAAAACAGCAACTGCGGCATCTATTTATATCACCGGGTAGCAGTCCAGCACCTGATCGGGCAACCAGCATTGCCACACGTACTAGCTGCACACGTGCACACCACAAGCCATAGCGCTAGTTGGGCTTTTGGGACGCAAAGGTGGCCGCCACAATAAGCGGGAAGACAATAGTGGCGTCGGCGTAGACCTTGGTGGTGTGAGCGTCGGCTTTGATCTTGCCCCAGGAAACGGCTTCGTCGGGACGGGCACCGGCGTCAGAGCCATCGAACTCTTGGCCGGTGTTGATGTAGACAGCGTAGTCTGCGCCGTTTCTCATCAAGCACGCGTTGGCAATGTGGTGCTTGATCAAGCCGCCGCCGAGAATGATCATGCCGGCGTGGGCAGCTTCCATCGACAAGGAGTTCATTTTACGGATGTCAGCAACGATGTCCAAACGGAGCTGTTCGGGCGAGCTCTTGAAGGTGTGGAAGAACAACATGTCGCCGATGGAGCCGTCGGTGAGAGCGGGACAAAGAACGGGAATGTCGTTCTTCTGCGCCCAGTACAAGACACTGTTTGTGTCGTTGATTTCGCGGCCGAGCCTGGCGATCATGGTGGAGGGGGTCCAGCACGCGCTGCTGCCGTGGTGGAGCGCGTCGCAGCCCAGGGCGCGCACCGCAGTTTCCTGCTCCTGCAACATGGCATCCAAAATGGGCACGATCCACTCCTCGAACCGGCAGTAGTTGTCGTTAGGCACGATCAAGTTGCCGATACGGTTCATGCCCTCGTCACGGAGCTTCTTGCCGGGCAAGCTGAACTCGCCCAAGTAGGTGGGAGCCAAGCACTTAATGAGGTCCTCTTCGATGCCGCCGGCCGTGGAAACCAACACATCCACGAATCGGTGCTCCACGAGATACCGGATGGTTTCACGCAAACCGGAGGAAATCAAGTTGGAGGTGTACCCCAAGAAGATGGTGGTTCTTTGGAAGCCCTCAGCGTCGAATTTGCCCTTGTTCCTCTCGTGCTCCTCGAGCTGGCTGATGTGTTTGCCTCTCCAGCGGCGCATTTCCTCGATGATCTCGCACGCCTTTCCCAACGACGAGGCCTGGTACCCAATGGTTTTCATGCTGGCAACCAAATCCACTGCTCTCATGTTGAACGCAGTCTGTGATGAGTAATCAATGCCTGCAACTTCAACAAAGTCCTCTGGCACAGGAACAGAGCTCTTTAACACTGCATCAGCAGCGATTCCGGGCTTCTTGCCATCTTCCTTTCCTGACATCTTTCAATCTCAAATTCAACAAAATCCAGCAAACACCTGTATTCAATCAGCAATAGCAATAATCTACAATCAATAGTAGCAATACTAACAATGGTTAAAAACAATCAACAATAATCAACAGTATTTCTCAAAGCAATAGCAAATGTTGTCAATTTATAGCCCAATTCTTCCTTGGCCAATTAAATAATACCATTTCTTTTTTTCATTCGACTTTTTCCACCAAAATTTCTTTTAAATTTCATCTCTTTTCCAGATCACATGACACATTTCCATTTTTTTGGAATTTCAATTCTTTTTTTATTGTTCGTTTTTTCAACTTCATCTATCAATAATTTGGCACCAATCTATCAACCAATAATACCAACAGGCCTATTCCAATTCACTTTACATCCAGTATCTCCCAATTTAACAATGCCTCTTCCTGCCACTGTCATAGTCATTGGTATGGCTGGTTCTGGTAAAACAACCTTTCTCCAACGATTGAACTCCCATCTATACTCCAAACACCTACCTCCTTATGCCATAAATCTTGATCCTGCTTGCTTAAAAGTCCCATTCGGCTGCAATATTGATATAAGAGACTCTGTGAATTATAAAAAAGTAATGCAGTCTTACAACCTAGGTCCAAATGGTGCAATTGTAACCTCTTTAAATTTGTTCTCGACCAAAATTGATCAAGTTATAGATTTAATCTCAAAAAAATTATCTCCTTCTCAATTGAATGAAATCAATCAAAACAATAATCAAAATAATAATCAAAATAATAATCAAAATAGCACTGAAAACCTTAAACATATCATCATCGATACTCCTGGTCAAATAGAATGCTTCATTTGGTCTGCTTCTGGCTCAATCATAACTGAATCTTTTGCCTCGACTTTTCCAACTGTTATCGCCTACGTCGTCGACACCCCAAGAAACTCCTCCCCAACAACATTCATATCAAACATGCTTTACGCCTGCTCCATCCTATACAAAACAAAACTACCCATGATCATAGTATTCAACAAAACTGATATCCACGACTCGACCGAAATCATAAACTGGATGACTGATTTCGATCTCTTCCAATCTGCCCTCAACAACGCCTCCTCCAGTAATGAATCAACAACCTCTTCCGGCTACATGAATTCCCTCGTAAACTCAATGTCCCTAATGCTAGAGGAATTCTACTCACAACTAGATGTCGTAAGTGTCTCTTCATACACAGGCAAAGGCTTTGACAACGTCCTAGCCGCAATAGACAACAAAGTCACTGAATTCAACCACTACTACAAAAAGGAGAGACAGCAAATCATCAAACAAAAGAAAAAAGATGATCTATTAAAAAAGGAGAAAAACCTATCAAACTTGATTAAAGATCTAGGCATTAATGATAATCACAATCACAATCATAAACCTGAAAAATCAAAAATAAATACTGACTCCGTAGACGTCTTATCAGACTATGATAACTCAGATAATGATGAAAACTCAGGCTGGGTAGATCGTGATGATGATGAACCTGATTACTCTCCTTTAAACACCCAATCCACAAAACTTGGTTCCCAAAAATCTTTACAAAAAAGATACCAAGATGCCCTAAATAACTCAAATCATTCCAACAACAAAAACCAAACTGAAATTCTAAATCAAATGGCAAATTACATCTCCAAAACGCAATAAATAAATATCTTGATAAATTTTATATAAATAAAAAAAATTAAACAAAGAAAAAAAAAAAAAAAAAAAAAAAAA